AACACTTGTCAATGCACATTTTTGCATTGTAGCCTTGGTTTGTACCAAGTTTGAAGTCAATCAGGTGAAAGAAAGTGTTAAATTTTGGAAGCGGAATGACATTGTAAATATTTTTTAAAAAAAATCAAAAAAAAAATCAACCGATGACGTCATGGTGACGTCCTTTCGAATTTTTTCATACTAGTACCATTATCTAGCTATCCACTAAGTTTCATGACAATCGGACTTTCCCTTATATGTGTTTTCAAAAATCGCATTTTGATGACGTCATGATGATGTCACACATTTAAAAAAAAATTGTGCATATACCTATTACCTAACAAACCAAATACAAAAAGAATTTTGAATTTTGGATGTTGCGTTCCTGAGATATGGCTTAAAGGTCCAAAACTTTAAAAATGCATATAAAATCGCACGATGATGTCACCTCAATTTTTACCTATAACACATCCCGGTCTGCACCATTTCAAAATAGGGGTGGATCAATGAAATCCTTACAACTTCTTTTTCAAAGTCTCTGTCGTTTTTTATTTGTTGCAGTTTTTTGGTAGTCTTTGACCTGATGTTTTCTTTGAGGTCTTCGAATTTTTTTAGCTCTGTCGTAATCAATTGAAACTCTTGGTGAGGGATGTCGCCATCGTTGATGCCCTGAGACACGTATTTTTTTTAGTATCGTATTGAGCTTGGCGTCTGCCAATATTTTGATCTGGTCTTGCTTTTTTGACTTTGTGGACCATCGCTTGGACGCATATCTAAGCGAAACGCCAACACCAATAGCGCTATAAAAGTTCCGTCCAACACGAATCCAACGGGAGCAGTGATGATCCCCAAGATAGCGGGGATATACTGACCGCTGCCGATATAATCGTGGTGATCAATCTCTTTAATATTTTGTAGGTGAGCTCAAGATCATCTCTCTCTTTTAACTAACCGCCCCCAATGCTACAAAATACTACTGAGGAGTAACCTGTAGTATGCATTTCTTTCCATACAAGTGTGCACAGCACATGTAGTATTCTGTGGTATTTGGTACTTGACCCCCAAACAGCCCTTTGGGGGTTAGGGTTAAGATTTGAGATTGGATCTCTTTGATCTTTTTGAGTCTGTACATCTTTGTTTCTCTGTTACTATTTAATGACAGCGAAGCTGCAGCCAGAGGCTGTAACGACAGCGTGGTTACGCTGTAACCGATGAACAGGTAGATCGTTGGAAATCAAATCCCATGTCGTTTTATCAAAATCAGTTACATTTTGCGACATACTGCACCACTACGCGTTGCGGCGTTGGACTCGATCTTTTAAACGCGAGTAACAAATATGTTTTCATCTGTATTGTAGGTCAGCAAGATCTTGTATGACATGGCCGTGCCTATACTGGGGGACGACGCATTTAACGCTCTAGACAACAACTATAATCGCAGAGCATTTGTCGACACCTGTCAATTGTTTGGTATCAATCAAAATAAATCTTTTAAACAGACGAGAGACCCGGGGTCTAACGGTTTGGGTACCCAATACATCTTTTATAACTGCGGCTTTGTGGCTAATACGATAGAGCATTACCCAACGATGACAAACCGTTACGTGCCTTGGATGGTTATTGACGTTGAACAAGATGACGTCGTCAAAACAGCTTGGTTAGATTTTATACCCCGCACAAGTTCGTTTAAGAGCGCGGGAACTACAAAGATCAACGAATTGACCAGATCGTACGTGTACGCTTTACTAGGTTTGCAGGCTGGTAACTCGGTCTCGTTAAATTTGTCAAAAGAGTTCACTTCTATGGTTTTAAAAGATTCTTTTGGACACGCATTGACTTATTTTTCCAGCGATGACGCCATGAATTTAAATGAGTATGTATCGCAGTTGACCGATCAATAACGACACATACTGTTCTGAATTTTTAGCGATCGATGTCTCCTACCTCTTTTTCGTTTTTGTGAACTGAAATACCCTGCATGATTAAGTGAGCGTCATAACTTTGTAAATTGTGTATGACGACAGGTCTTTTAGACTGCAGTAGGCATGCGCCGCTCCTCTGAATTTACCCGTGATGTGACAGTGGTCTCTTACCTTTTTAAATTTGTTTGTTTTCTTTTCGCAGTTGACGCATTTAGACTCGCGGTATCCCGTTTTGTTTTGATACTAGTATTTGTTTTTTCTTTTTTTTTCGTCTTGGGTTTCTCGGGTTTATCGCACTGACAGTCGGTTAAAAACTTGGCATAAATTCATTTTTCGCAAATCCAACACGTGTCCGAGTTATCGTAATCAATTTTGTCTCGCTTGGTAAATATCATGGGTACTGGAGATTTAAATACTTTTTTGATGTCTTGTTCTAATTCTAACAGTTCGCGTACAAACTTGACTGTAGAGTCCTCACCCCTGTAAGTCTCTTGATACACATGTTCGCCGTCGCATCTGACGACGACCAACAAATAGCCACTAGCTCTTTGAACGTGAGTCTTGCGAGTGTGTGTTGCACACTCGGGCAAGGGGATTGTTATTTCTAGCATAGATTCAAGATCGTCGTAAATGACAAATGGTGCCTATTGTTTTTCCTGTAGTTTTAAATTCTAGTATCGGTGTGTTCAATACTGGCTCATCATTTTCATTGAGTACGGGCTGACTGTTTTAGTATTTTTGTTTACTGGTAGGAAATATAATCTTAGACGGATGTGCATCTACACCCTTACAATCGACGACGTGACTGTCTAAATTAGCTTGAGTGGTAAAATGACATAGACATTGATGACAAAAATATTTCTTGTGTTGGTCTTTCATGTTGCTGGCAAATAATCTCGAAAAGTGTTTCATCCAACAGTAGTGAAAATTAGCGCCTTGGGAAAACGCAAGTCTACCGGGGTACCTTCGTTTTTAGACACATATAATGGAAATATGTTATCATCGTCCGTGTAACTGTATACGTTTATCTATAAATTATTTTGTCTTTCTATCCTGGGTATCTGATCAACCGGTGTGGGAAAGTCTACGCCTTTAAAGTTTAACCCGTCGTCTGTAGTGTAGAGATCCTCAGTCTATGTTTGTTGATCAATCTTGTGATTGTTTTCGATTTGCTTTTTGACTTTGTCTGTGTACAACCCCAAGGCCGCTCTCAAGCTTCACCTCACTCACTCATCGTCTGTGTGTTTAACGTTGACAATCAAGTGTTTCATTTTGATTTTCATGGGTAACTCGATGTAAGAACTACCTCTGAGTGGTTGTATTGATTAGTATTGACGTAAAGCGCGAGTATCTTGTCAAGTAAAACCCAACCCGATCCCTATATTTTTCATCCTTTTTAAATATCTCGTCGATTTCTTGTATTAATCTCTGTTTTACTTGACTGTGATTTAAAACTACTCTCTGCTTGCTGCAATGTTTAGCTTCTATAGCGTTTCGAGAATTTCGTCCGGATTGATTTTAAAGTATCTTACTTTGGGTGCTATCTCGAATTGTAAACCCTTCAACTCTTTCAATTCCGACTTGATTTTATTTACTATCTGTTCCGTGTGAGTATAAAAAAACTTGACTAAATCTTTGTTAAAAAGTTTAAGTCTCAGTTCAGTTAGGTGATTTTATTTTTCGCCAAGTTTTTAAATTGACTCTCGTAATCTTTTATAACCTCGATGTAGACTTTACTAGAAAGATTCACATTTCGATTGAATGGAATATTATATCGTTCGACGTTATCCTTTAACGTTCCTTTGTGCCATCTGTGATATCCTCTAGCCAACGGTCTGCTGGTACAGCTCTCCATTTATTATATATCTAGAAAATATTGTTTTGTTTCATTTTTTTTGAGGTCACAAAACAACAATAGCGAGCCGCGTGACTAACTGCGTCGAGCGTAAAAGGGGATTTCCCTTCTTTGTTGAGCAAATTTTTCAAGGTCACTCGCGTGGCAAGTCCGGACACGTTGAGCCTTGCGCAGGGATTTTCCTACTTTTGTTCAGCAAATTTTTGAATTTTTGAGGTACTGGCCCAGACTGATAGCTTTTGTTCTTGAAGCGGCCCCCTACTAGGTATTTTTGTAATACACACCTGTCTTGCATATTATCATGAATTTTCTCAAACTTTTTGGATGCATGCTCATGGCATCATCGCATAAATTTCAGCAAAAAACTATATTTATCTCATCTAAGAATATTTCACATACATCTAGTAGGTCAAATTTCAAATCAGATCGCATGAAAATGTTTGTCAAGTGGGATTAAACTTATGCCATGGGGCCCAGTTTGTTGCCATAACAAATTTTGTGAGATTTCTGTGCAGTGCTGTGTATTCAACCACAATCTATACTGTGAGTGTGGGGACTCAGCAACTTGTAAAGCGATATGCTGATCAGGAAGGAGGATCATTTGTGTCAGTGTGGGACATACAGATGTTGTTGCTCATTTTCATTGAATCATTGAACTCTATGCTCATGTTCACTAGTGATGAAATATCCTTTGTACATATTTGGCTGTTCTTGCTGAAACAGCCTTTGTTTTCATTAAGATTTTTTCCCCTTTTTTCTTCTATTTCAGACTCCTGCCATAGCATTTGTACACATTTTCATTGTGCATGGCATTTTGGGCACTTTAATCAATCTGATTGCCTTTATACTAGGCTCACACATAAATCAGCACCTCCAGATGTGCAACAAATGTTAACGTCATCATGACGTCACTTCACGTGTCACGTGACATCACATTAAAGGTGCATATTTTGGGTTCCGATTGGGTTGAAACTTGGTATGTATTTTGACCGGGATGTGTTATAGATGCAAATTGAAGTGACGTCATCACATGTCATGTGACATCACATTAAAGGTGCATTTATCTATGGCCTATATCTACAGAACTATAGGTCCGATTTGGTTGTAACTTGATGTGTACCTAAACCTGGATGTGTTATAGATGAAATGGTTGGCCATTATAAACCCTTAAAGAATTTGTGTACATAACAACGACCCTAGAATAACAATTTATGTGTATACCTTTTGTATGTTTTATGTGACAGGTGCAACTGTGACAAGTGTAAGTGATAGATATGTGCGGCTACGGTGGGACACATTCTACCAGGGCGAGTACTATGAACCATACTATATGGAGCTGGAATTTAAAGGTCAACTGCAGGTGTATCGACACACATTACCACACTTTCTACAACTGACAAACATTGTTGATGAACATTTGAATGAAGAGCTGACCTACTTTGTGGATGAGATTGGTGATTTATTGAATGCATATGTGTCCAGAAGGCAGCAAGTTGCACAGCTGAAGGTACGGCATACATGTATTCACAGTATCATAACAGACATCTTAAATCACAGTCATGTTAGATGCATGAAAGTTCAGTCACTGTGAACTAGTCATTTACAAGTCATACAAAAGCATAATTTCTTCATTATACTGCCTGGTCATCAACAATTTGGACTGGTTGTGGTTAGTATCAAGTAGTGGTAAAAGCCTAAATTGTTTGAAATGGGTATATTAGTGATTCCAGGGCTAAGGTCTCTCTCAAGTGAAAAATGGCCTTTTTTACAATTTTTCTGTCATGGGGGGGGGGGGGTCCCTTCTGCACCCCCATGGATCCGCCACCGAGTCTGGTTCTCTGACCTTACAATTCTGTGATGTCCATGACTTGCTCCATTTCGTCAAAAGTAGAGTGAGGGAACCAGACTACAAGAACAACATTTTTTTCGTGGTTTTTTTAAGCATCCATGAACAAAACTTTGAACAGGTCAGTGTAACAATATTTGCTATAAAATACACACTTTAAATCTGTCCGTTGCTGAAAATTACAGCAAAAGCAAATGTTGTTTATTGCCTTTAACAGTTGGATAATCCAATTGGTAAAGCAGTGGAATGGTAATCCAGAGTTCTTTTGTTCTAGTCTTGGTTCAGCTGTTCTTATCCAAATTCATGTGACGTAGAGTATAGACTTTTCAAATCTTATTCAGCAGTGACGTCTGGATATTCATACAAGATGGCGCAGTCATTCATATTTACACATAGGCACTTTTTCCCCAAAAAACAGCTGGACCATTCCTCTAGCATTGCTGGAGACATTCGTCATAGTCAGTCATTGGACTATGTACAGATAACCTTTCTGTCCAGTAATGGAAGTTGCAGTCCGCTGACAGTAGATCTATATTACGGAAACTTACATGCTACACGTCCAACAAAAGTTCTTCTTGCTGATAATGACAGTAAGTTTATATTCAATGAAATAAATTCATTCTTTTACTCGTACTCGGTACTAGATATTGCTTATGTACTATTTTGGGAATAATCGTAATCATACTTGGTAATGTGAAAATTGAAGTCATGTCAAATGAAATTTGCCATAAGTTATGGAGGAGGACATTGCTATCGACATCCTCAAGCCCAAACAGGACAAGATTGTCAGGTTGGACACAAAATGGATGCTACATGCACTTATGCATCCATTGGTTCTTTTTCTGTGTTCACTTGAGTGTGGTAACTTACGAGGCTGGTGTTTATGCAATTGCTTTCTGTGGCATACACGTCTAAACTTACCTGTATTTTCTGACATTGTACATAGTTTGTAAGTTTAGTGTTATCCAGAAACAACTTTACGAATTGCAATGCCCTCTATATGACTGTGATTGATCTACAAATTAGTAGCAATAAATGCATATTGATGTGTTGATTGCAGATGACAGCATAAACAGTGATCCATCTCTTTTGAAGAAGCTACAATCTTCATTGAAGCACAGAGAGCTATCCAAGGCAATATCATCAGCAACAGGCAACGTTTAAGGGTTCCTAACTGATCTGATCAAGTGTGATGGACGTGATCAAGCTAAATGAGTCGTTTGTCAGGAACTTTTATTTGGAGATCCAGGCCAAAATAGGGCCACTTCATCACATCACTTTATCACATCTCTTGGTGTTCCGACTTCCATAATTTTTGAACTAAAGATGGTATCAGCATGCGGTTTTCACAGCAGTAATGCTGAGATTGTGCTCTTTTGAAATCTGTAAAAAAAAAAATTGATCAGGGATAACAAACGACTCATTTAGCTTGATCGCATACTTCACTGTTTTTATATAATCCACCTTTCAGTGAGAACCATTTGCATGTTTTAGCATGAATTTTGAGCCAATGACAGCTTTCTGTTTCTGGGTTCTGTGTGCGAACAGACCGGAGAGGGCAGTATTGATCACTTTCAAGAGCCCCATGGATGGCACACACCGCATGAGCGGACTGGTTCGTTTTAAAATGTAATGAATCATCGCTATCTGATATCACTAATTATCTTCTGTTATTGTTGATGTGTGTATCAATGAAAGAAAGCAGAGTGTGGAATTGTTACTGGTAAACCTTGGATGATAAAGAGCATATAGCTGGATTGTAGGCAATTCACCATTCTGGCACAAAATAAGTTGGTGGAGCTTGTCATCACTGAGTATACATCAGGTTAAAAAACTAACAAAAGTATTTTCATTAACCTTTACCCCAAGGTGATTTGGACTGGGGGGGGGGGGGTGATTTATTTCTGTGTGTGATAAGGAAGGGTAGGAGTAACAAGTTTGATTGAATTCTATACAATTTTGAACTGGCTGTCTGTTTAGGACATAATATACAAATATAATTGTACAATGAGTGTGTTCGATTACTTCCCTCGTGCTTACCCGTACCTTTCATCTTGGGTATAGATGCACATGTGCAATCCGTAGCAATAAACGAACCATCTACAGTTACTCGAGGGCGAGTCATAGCAACCGGCCCTGGTCAAGAGGTCATGTGGCAATTAAATCCACTTTGCAAATTATGGATTTGATCCGTCGAAAGTGAGCCATACTATATGTGCTCTTCCAAAGTGAACAAGAAGTTCCGGGTATGTTTAAAATAAACTTACTTGCCTCCCGTTGTCTAACACTAGTGTGAAGTGAAGCTGACACACTTTTGAATCCACCGCCGCTGCGTTAGACTTAGCTGCCATGTTACCCATTGTATTGTGGAATACTTACCTATACGTAACCGGCTCAGCTGGTCGGTCACTTCGGCCAGGCTCGAGTAAATTGAATGTAGTCGAGCTTGCACAATTTGGCACGGGGGAAGTGATTGAATGCAGGGATTGCATGCGCTGATCAGGCAGCATCATGGCAATGAAAATGATTTTGCTTTTGTTCCTAAAACTCATTCTGTTGCAGGAAATGTTAACTTAAAATTATGTGGCTCTTCATACAACATGTTATGTAATTTATTATCATGCTTGGTCATATCAATGGAAAAAGGGAATGGGAACAAAATCTGTAGTAAGACATTTTATTACGACACCAAAAATCCCTTTAGGCCGTAATTATGTACATGGTATAATATGCAAACATTTGATACCTGTTACCCCCAAAATACATGTATTTGGTTCACACAAAAAGTAAGAACAAAATGGATATGTTGAGTTTAACCCTCCACCAGAATTCCAGAATACTGAATTGTTAAGCACATGTAACATGAGAACATACAAAATGCATGAAAGTATCTGCAGTTCATGAATGCTGTGAGGATTTTGTCTCTTGATAGTTTCTTGAAAGACTCTGTAAAATAAAGGCTTTCAGACAGAGATACGAGAATCAGGATTATTAAAACCCACACGCACAGATTCTGTATCTTGATTGGCCGAGAGAGAGTCACATGCATGGTATGTATTTACTATTTTTGCTATCTTGCTGTGCACAGCCAAACAGACTATGCGCGTAAAGCAACCTTTTTTATAGAATGGTCCATGGATCACAAAAAGAGGCTAGTTTTACTATTACACTTGAAACAGTCGATTTTTACCCAGCCAGTGAGTAACCTATATGTACACATACCATATGGTGGAGAAACTTTTGGCAAGAACTTCTGGTTAGTGACTTAACCCTGACTAAAATAATTCCTATCGTCTTATTTTGTCTCATATGGAAATAAATTATGGATACCTGCACTGGGGCAGACATTTTCCTTGCAGCATTTAAACACTGTACAAGTCGTTTCTCCCCATTAGTGACATTTTCTCATGACTTGCTTGCCTGGTAAAGGTGTACCGGTACTATGTGTTATTTTTGAGTTGTATCCCCATAAATAAGTGTACATAATGGGTAAAACAAAATAAAACTGCGTTTGGTACAGCGACGTACAGTACATGTATGTTTTTATTTCATTTTCAAGTTGTCTAGCATACAATAGTTATTCACTGTTAAATGAGACATCAAATGAAAAGAAAACCACCCAGGTCGAGGTATTTAGTTATACATTACAGTTTAAAATTATTTGCAGCCCCAAAATAATTAAGGCATAATATCTTTTGTGCAGTGTAGGCGCAAAAGCAACTCAAAATAATGGGCCGGGGGGGGGGGGGGGGGGGGGGGGGGTCTTAAATTAACGAACATACATTCTCTGAGGAAATTGAATTTGTTGAAGAGCACAATCTGTATAACTATTAAGATTTACATTGGCAGTTTGCACAATTGTTGTATTACTCGCTGTATTCACCCTGTAGGACACAATATTGCACATGCATGGAAAAGAAATAGAGCCTTAACACAGGCCAGCTAACACTCGCAAGCTTGGTAGTCCTAGGTTGCATACATATGAATGAAGAGAACTGGGGCATAAAATAAATTTTTCTGAGGAACACATTGTGTGCAAATATCTTATCTTAAATGTATGAAAACTATTCCTTTTTTAAATAATTTCATTGAAAAATGCACTTAAATATTAAACAAATTCCATGCTTTTCTCTGTGGCCAACTGAGGGTGCTGTTGCTGTGATGTCAATTCAAGATGAGACTATTCAGTTTACATGGTTTAGGGGTTTTCTGTTCAAATTATGAACCCCAAAAATTGCTCATTGAAAACAGTGGGAAAAGTTTGCTCGTTTGGTTGCTGCCATGTACTGATACAACAAATCACCAAAGAATATATTATTTTACATTGGCAAAATATCTAAAATTCTGGCAACTTTCAGTGCTGAAATAGCTGTAACATTGAGGGTTTTGCCTGAAATAACATCACACTTTTGATCATGAATATGGAAATTGCATTCGCATAAATTTAAAGTAAACCCCAAAAGGCACCAAAATACCCATGAAAATGGCAAACCGAAAATTTAAAATAAGGTTAAATGGGAAACAAAGGTGCATTTCCGTTGCATTGCATGGTCCTTCAAACATTTGCATTTTTTTCTCAAGCACTTATCAATACCATTATGTATGTGATTGGTCTCACCACACAACAGATCGATGCCTGCCTGGACTGGCACTTATACACTAAAGGATAAGTAGGAAATGGAGTATGATGATACTGTAGTAAATTCAGTATATGACACAGTTGTGTACATACAGCAGGGGCAAGATTGGTGGGAAATGAAAAATTCACAAAGTAAACTGCAGAGCATTTAAGGGTCACAGATTATTTTAAATAAAAATGTTTAATAAAACACCAACCGGTTTTAAACACTTTTCCCCTGTGTCCAGGGTGTCACAAGGAATTTGGACTCCTATGGAATCTGGTCCCTTTGACCTTTTTATTGGTTGAACCCTCGCACATGACCAGTCACTCTCCTAATTACCTTAACTTAGGTCTGCACAATATTAATAATTACAAGAGATTCGCGTTTGTTGAGTTACAACACAGAGTTGTCGGGCTCGTATCTATTTATTGTCATAAACTTTGCCACAATAATCATCTGAAAATTCATTTTAAACATGTTTCAACCTGCCACTAGAGGGCGATCTAACATTTTTGGCAAGAACTTGTGGTTGGTGACTTAACCCTGACTAAAATAATTATTTTCGTCTTATTTTGTCTCAAATGGAAATAAATTATGGATACCTGCACTACAGTCCTTTTGCAGACCATGGAGCTATTTATAGCTCCATGGGCAGACATTTTCCTTGCAGCATTTAAACACTGTACAAGTACTTTCTCCCCATTAGTGACGTTTTCTCGTGACTTGCCTGGTTAAAGGTGTACCGGTACTATTCGTGCTATTTTTGAGTTGTATCCCCATAAAGTGTACATAATGGGTAAAACAAAATAGAACTGCTCACTGGATATAAAAGCAAAGTGTTTGGTACAGTGACGAACAATACCTACATGTTTTAATTTAATATTTTTTCTAGCAATACAATAGTTTTTCACTTTTACACGTAAATGAGACATCAAATGAAAAGAAAACCCACCCTGGTCTAGGTATACATTACAGTTTAAAATTATTTGCAGCCCCAAAATAATTCGGTTACAGCCCGATAGCCGAAGATTCTTTAGTCCCAAGGGTCATTAGTCCGAAGGTTCATTAGTATGAAGGTTCAATATCTTAAAAGGACATCACATGGTCATCGGATGTCTTATCGAGCCTATTGATTTTGAGGTCGACATGTCAAAGGTCAAGGTCACTACTGCAAATACAATAGAAATTTTCCATTTTGGTAAGGACACTGACTTTAGAAAAACTGCCAGCATGCCAGGGAGATTGCATGAGTCTCACTTGCAGTATTTTTGATAATTGTATTGAAAAGTGAATTTCTTTAAATATTAAAAAATGTCCATGCTTTTCTGGACAACTGAGGGCGCTGTTGCTGTGATGTCAATTGAAGATGACACTATTCAGTTTAAGCGGAAGCCAGAGCAGGTCACGGAAGATTGGTAAAAAATGGTCACTACTTTTGGTTCGTGTGACCAATCTGGCTGCTGGGTCTGTATTTTATAGTCCTACTTTCACATTACACGAGCACCAGCCGCTGCATTACACAAAACGCTGCTTGACTGGTATTAAACGAGTACATTTAAAACCGGTAAAGAGGCCTGGTTGTCAAAACTAAAAATCTTGTACTGCGCGGCATGGTGTTTGTGGTGCAAACACCATGCCGCGCAGTACGAGATTTTTAGTACTACTCGGGTGAGGCACATACCATAAACATAGCTAGAGAGGTGTTTCACAAAACATGAAAAAAATTTGTTGGAAATTTATAATTTTTGACATTTTTCACTGAAAAATGTGAATAGGATTGAATGAGTGCTTGGCCGGTATTAAACAAGCACATTTCAAACCGGTTAGGGGCCTGGTCGTCAATATCTGCATCCACGCCTCTAGCCAGTTTTAAACATACTTGTTTAATACTGTCCCAGAAAGTTTATTCTTTATTTCTTTTTATTGATAAAATACCCTTCAGAAACCTCAGGAATTTCAGATTTGGAAAGAGATCCCTTAAAAATCCTGAAATCAGGAAAACTCCCGACAAATCTCAACCCTGGTGTAATGACGTCCCAGAGAAAGTGACAGCATGAAGTACAATACATGTACACTGCAGCAGACAACCACTTTACTTAGCACATTTATTAAAAAAGAAATCCATACTTTTCCAGCAATATTTGAATATGATTTCATTCTGGACCATGTCTTTGCCATTACTCAAAATAAACACACATGTACATTGTATCTTATTTCATGAGAAAGTCTAATATATATGTGCTTAATGAATGAGCTAAATCAGGCCATTGTGTAGACCAGATGCATGAACAGACTTCCAGTGAACAGCCATTTTCAATCAATTGAACAAACCTCTGTGTGCTCTGGGACCAGCTTTACTGGGCTCGAGTTGAGTGCGTTCGATTACTTCCCCCGCGCTTACTCGTGCAAGTGTGACAGCGGTCGATTTACCTCTCACGTGACTTCTCGCGCTTACTCGAGCCTGGCCCAAGTGACTGACTTGCCGAGCCAGTTAGTTGGGTAAGTATCCCATAAGGCCATGCAAGAAACATGGCTGCCAACGTGACGTCCGGCGGGCGCCTCAGGCCGTGTGCTTCCAGAGCTACAGCTACGTCAGCCCGTCCCCGCGTATTTTCAATGGGCGCAGACCTAGACCTAGCTCTAGACAGTTGATTCGGATGCAGCCTCAGTGTCAGGTCAAAGTTCAACTTTCCAGCTCTTGCACGAAACTTTACCCGAAACCATTCGTTTATTTAGCTCCACTGCGCATGTCTGTCATCACGCGAGGAGCAGGCGTGAGTAAGCTGGTGGAAGTAATCGAACGCACTCCTTGTCTTTCTTAAGTTTGGTAAGAAATCACTGTGTATGAAAAAGCAATTTAAATGACTCGGATCACAAATGGTTAACATTTCAGACATGTATGCTATTTCAAGAGTTTGCGATAACTCCTTATGGTCCTGAAAAGCTACATGTTCATGACAAAATAGCCTTCTTAAACCAATCCTCTAGTGAGGCTATGCTTTGTCAACATTCTAAGCTGCAAGTGCCTGACAAGGAAAGATGCGTGCGGCAATAACCCTACATGACTATTAGGGAAAGGTATGTCTACAATTGGTTAACCCTTGTTGGTGGCCCTCTTTGCTCAAAAAAAATATATCAAACGTTTGAAGTCACGGGAAAAAAACCATTTATTTTAGTTTGTGTTATATCTATATTCAAAATTTAATGATGAGCTTTTGATTAATCAAGCAAGACCACTTTGTTTAAGCATGACTTAACTAGAAACAATTATGAAACTATTTAAATACAGTGAACACATTGAAATAACATTCATGTACTGTATGTACAGGTTGAAATGACATTAACACAAAGAAATACTACACGTGAAAAAAAATACATGCACTACAAAACATTTAAGTTTGAAAATGAACTGTGAAAATAATGGCACTAATCTAATAAGCTCCTGGCTATTCAATAATTAAAATACACTATTTACAAGATTCAATGCCGATAACTTCCACTGTTATATCGTTCATGTCTTAGATACTGTAATGTCATTGATACACAGCATGGTTGCATCAGGTTTTTAAGAATAACAGTAAGAGATTTAGCCATGTACTGTCCACTGTCTTGCTTATTACCTGTTTGTCACATCAATACTACAATGCACCATTATTCATTTGCCATCTTACGTACATAGCAGTAATGAAACCATTTCCTCCAATGCTTTGGCCAAAGTAAGATACTTGTGGGATCAGCTACGCAAGTTGAATATCAAATTTACATTCAGTCCCTAAAGCTGTTTTTCTCTGCATTGGGTACCAAAACCAGTGTCTTTATTACAAAATTAACGTCTCTTCAGAAACCAAGATATGATATAATTTATCAATTGACTGACTGACTTAATGTCATGTCCCCACACCATGCCAAGTAAACATCAAATTAATTGACAGTACAATGTTCTCTTAAATCTGATGTACCTTGACACAATGAGTCAATTACTTGTACTGCATCTGTATAACGTTATGAAAACATAAATCTATCTTGAGAGTAACAATGAAGTAATCAAATGGCCATTCCAATCTCATGAGACAGTTTTTACTAATGGCAAGCAACAGAAGTCCCTCAACACAAAGCTGCTTGATTATTAGCAGAAACATTTTATCTCACAAGAACACTGCTTGACCTGGAAATGTTGAGTAGAAAACTAATTTGACAATTCTTTCATTTAATTTAGTCAGCAGTCATCTCTAAAAAAATACTTCCTTTAAATGTTGGGATATTTAAGATAACAAACACAAACTTTCAACATAATTTGGGTCAAATAACATTAAAACAATGAATACATGCAAAGGACTACTTATCAAATGTTATGCACAATAACATGCAGAGAGGCGAGGCAATTTAAGGTGAAATCTGCATGTACCCCTTGACACTTTGAAGCCAAAACACACTTTCAATTCCAAGGTCAATACTGAGCCTGAGCCTGTATTCTAGCTAGGGAATTTTGAAAAAAGAACACATATTGAGCAGGTACTAGTTGCCAGTTACTTACATGTTTTTCTTAAGAATGTTGTTATACTGCAACTAAGCAGATATACATTGTAAATGAACACTGAGGTTTGTAACATAAGCATTACTAATTGTGGCTGCTTAAAAAGCAGTTACAAGGATTTGTATTGTGGAGAGGATGTAAAGAAACATGTGCATGTTCAAGTACACGTATCCAACATGCTTTGGTGCAGAATCTCTGCAGCAGTAAATGTAAAATCAAGCTGACCTTAATTATCTTATGTTTTTGTTTTGTTTAGACTCAAAATATAGGCAAGGTCATTGTACATAATATACCCCAAACAATATAATCCCTGTTTAAAGTCCACCATATTTGCCCAATATGAGCATGCTAAATAAAGCAGTAGTTGACCTGTTTGGATGAATGAGATACTTCTGTCCCTCAGTAAATTGTGTTAAAAGCAGGTCCTGGCGTAATAGAAATATCAGCAAAAGTGCTGATCTGTTGAACCTCAATGGCTTGTTGCTTCTTCAAAACGAGCAAAGTGTAGAATTTGGAGGCAACTTGCTTTCGAGTTTGTTTTCTGGTCATGTCAGTGAAGGTGAGGATGTCTTCCTTTGCCAGACGATTACGGATGCTAGTCAACATTTGATGAGCTCTCTTGTTTAGTATCCTCTCCTCTCGTTCTTCAGTATTCTCTCCTTCACGTTCTTCAATCTATGTTTTGTGAACAATGAAGTATGACGAGAGTTTAAGTGGAATACAATGGAAACAAAACACACAGTGATTAGACATAGAATCCAAAAATACCTGTCAAGTCTCTCAAGCTCCGGGTAAAGCTGACAAAATGTCTTTTTCACAACTTTTTACTAATTTTCAAAATGTTGCTATTGGCTGTTTATACCAATAAGTTAGTATACAAATATTGAGTGGCTTAGAGTAAAATGGGAGGAATATTATCGCAAGATAAAATCTGGACTTTTCCATTTGCCGAGTGAACTGGAAAAGTCAAGATTTTACAGAGCAATAATATTCCTCCCATTTCACAATTTAAAGCCACTCAATATTTGTTTTATATGACTGACATATTATAGATCCTTGTCATTTGATAGATTTGAACTTTTATTTCAATACAAAATTGGTGGAAAATGTATTTCTCTCTTCCAAACCACCCCTTCACGAAAATGTTTGAACCAAACTCTGTAAGGCCAAAAAAAAAGTTTCCGGTTTCTGGTATGGAGCTTGCCCAAAAAAATGGTGCGGCGACGCGTTTTTTTTTTTTTTTACCTGTTTTTTTTTTGCTCCAAATGTATGCCGATAACTGCAAATGGTGCCCGACTAAACTTAGTGCAAATTTATGGGAGTCCAGAGAGGCCACATAAAGCTTAATTCTCAATCATAACCCCATCTAAAAACATGTTAAAATTGTGCAGCAGCAGGATTCCAGTCAAACCAGTGAGTTTGGCGGTTTTGAGACATCATCTATTATTGAAAAAAAAACTTGTTCATTTTTTTGGCATAACGCTGGCTCTTTGGAACAATAGGCACTAGCGCAATGCTGAACATGCACACCAGCATGCATTTGCACACAAACACCTCATCATGGAAAATAATGATCCCAACCTCGTCCCCAGTGCTTACTTTATTTCCAACCTCGTTTCCAATAGTAAGCCCTGGAAACTTTCTTCCTGTATCCTGATTCGATACCGCTATTGGCTAGTAATGGATTTATATCATGTACTTGGTGTTTGTATTCACAACGTGCAGTACGTGTTTTCGCGATCATAACGTCCACGCCTTCACGAAAATACTCATTTCCTTTTCAATTTTTCATACTAATGTGAAATGTGATACTGCATGTTGTCTCGATAAGATCGTAACAGTTTAATTGGAAAAAAAATTGTGTTTTCGTAACTCGAGCCATGCTCGCGCTGCGACGAATTCATTCTGTTTTTACCCCAGATGCCGCATACAAAAACAGACGCCTATGTAACGCACAGGTACGCACCAGACTATTTCTCATTTGCATACATATTCAAAAATCTTGCACATGCAAATGATCCAATACCAGGGTGAGAGAGTAGGTAGTGATGAGCGCATACTGCTCGACACCCTGGGGACGAGGTTGGAATGATCCAACTCTTGATTATTATTTCTCATTCCCCATGGCCAAATGGGACTTTTTGAGCACTGGCGTGAATGGAGTAATAACGTATGTCATGTGATGTGAGTTCCACCAATCAAATGACAAGGATCTGTATGTCGGTTATATAATAAACGATGCTAGTCATCAGTGTTTTGCGCCTTTGACTTGTTTAGCAGACTGAACATCAACATACCTCTTCCTCCTCCTCCTCTTCATCTTCTTGCTGTGCACCCACAGACTGTGGCATGACTGATGGAATGTCATAATCATCATCATACTCTGGACCAAACAGATCATCTCCTGCATCGTAGTCATCCTCACCACTGGAGACTGAAGCTCTCCGTACTGACATGAGAGACATGTCAGGTAATTTGGATGAGCTGGATTCTTGCCTGGCTCGAATTGACTGGTCCTCTACCAGTGTCGTATCATGCTCCTGTACGTTCACACCTGTAATGTGAAAAAAGTCCTTCCAATTGTATTTTTCTGTGAATTTGTATGTTTGAAGTTGCTTTCCCCTTGCTCCCTGAAAATTGATGTGCTTTTTAATTGCTATTTTTCTAGCAATGCAAATGATATCTAGTCACTTTTAGTTATGGAATATTTATTTTACAACAATAACTCAGGCTTATTGTGTAATAGCCAAGTGGAACAGAAATCAACTACAGTGGGCGATGATGTCAATGATGTCATTGACTGATAATGTGCTCTTGCACCAGTCCTTCATTTTTAAGGAGTGCGATCGTGCAGGCGCTCCTAACGCGCTCCTCATCTGTCCCAAAGAAGCGTAAAAAAATTGCACTCCTCAAAAAATCTAAGAGGACTTTTCAAACAATGGACAATATGACAATATGACAATAAACAGTGGAAAACAGCACTAAAAAGGACTGTGTGATTTGTTTGTAATGATGTACAAACTTACATTCCGCCATGAATTAAATATGCATGATACCATGATGCAAGCAGGCCCGGACTAGCCACACAGCCGGCCTACGTCGTGTACATGTCACGCACAGCAACAACTGGTTTCACTATACGCGCGCTGCTGGCTGCAGAGACAGTTATCTGCTACGTGTTTTTATTGGTCGGTAACAATAGGCCATGGGCCAAAATCTGTATCAGGTCTAGAAGTTGAGGTTCATCTTAACTTTTTGGTGTCAGCTTGCAATAAGGTCAACTTTACTAATTTGATAGTGCTGAATCTGAACCTGGCTGTTCTCAGTGGTCCAAATTGCACATAAAAGTTATGGTGACATTTTTTCCTCATTATTTGGCCCATTTTTTGTCAAAAATAGTATTTTTGCCATAACTTCTATGTCTTAAGTTCCAATGCTTTCAAATTTGACACAACAGATAAATAGGACTTCGACATGAATAATATAAGTAATTATTTAGCGCTCGACACGGTGCTTAAAATTTGTTTTGTGGAATTGATCCTTTCAAACATGAGCATGATGAGATTTCGAGGAGGCGTTTTAAGGATTTATATTAAATTTAAGTGCCTCTGTCATCCCTTTACAACACAAATGAATCACAAGTATATCACAAGTCATTCAGTTTCAAGTAAATAATAGTGACACACTATTAATTTCTCCATTACGAATCGAAAATCGAAAAAGGAATCGCGCAGTCTTAAAACAAAATTCATACATTACTTGACATGTACCGGTAGGAGATAACGCGTGAGCGGATATGGGGCCCGCAGACTTCGAAGGCGCGTGCAGTACGCTCTGTTTTAGCCAGTCAGCGTCACTGCTTAAATATTCCCCACGGCCAGGGGTTGATGGAGGAACGCGAATGCGCCCATGGAGGCGAGGCTGATACGCAATGGCAGCGATGCATCGCGATCGCCCTCATTTGGTACAGTTATATTGGGCAAACAGTCCCCTTTATTCTAATTTGTGCAAACGACATGATGTGCACACTTTAAGCTATCAATTAACATGTTCCAAACTACTTATAACCGAGAAATTAAGTTGCCACTAAAATGTTAAGACGAACCTGCACGTTACAGGCTTTGGCCCACAAGTTTTCAGTAACAAAACAGCCAATCATTTATATCGATCTTCTTTACGGGACGCTCAGTGCAGAAAGCGGTGAGCCTCATGCTTTGGGTCGACACAAAAATGTTGCACAATGCATACATAAAATGAGTACACATGGAGTTCACGCAGGAAATCCACTCAACCTGTTGGACAATAATCATGTGTAAATACTGTCACGTTCGTACGTGCACGTTGTATTAATGTAAGCTGTTCAAGAAGGGACCCTGTTCCTACGATGGAAAATTTCGAGCTTTGGCTATGAAACTGCTGAAGTTGATGGCTGAAAAATGGTCATCAAAATTTGGTGTAAAGTTTGCCACTTGTACATTGACAAATCAAACATGACGGCAGGATCCGCGGTCAAGCGCTTAAGGACATAGTGACTTTTGTGAAAGGCTCAACGTTTGTGACCAAACACACAGCAACTCAGCACTTGGCTTTTGTAATACCATCATGACTAGCTAAGTTTAAAAGTGTTTATATTTTTTAATTTACAAATATAAATCTTCTGGTTCAAATAAAATGGAAACAAACACTGAGACTATTTAGGTGTCATAAACTCATGTTTCTAACAGAATTAAACACTGTTAAATGATAAACTGAATACAAAAAAAGAGGAAGTCTGTACTGCCCATGAAACTTAAAAAAGCAATGAAAAATGAAGACAATGGACTCCTAGAGTAAAAACCAATTGTCTACCCTGTTTTTTTTGTACTTTCATTTATCAGTTTATTTTAAGGAGAGCTATTTGCTTTCCAGGGAGATTTGAGGAGAGTGATTGATAGCTCTCCTGGATTTTCTTAAAATGAAAGACTGTTGCACTGTCACCTGGTGCTATGTAAAACTAAAGAAATACCACATAAAAGCACACTTTGAAACAACAACAAAACGAACAATTTGCCAAGTCCACAAAATTGATTACTTCTTCCCGTGTATGTGTTTCTTTTTATTTTTAATATTATTTAGTGATTTTAAGGCTCATATTTTGTACCAGTAGCGAAGCAGGATTTTATTGGTCGTTGCTTCTGTTAAGGAAGTGGCATTTCATGCACGCTCATTGGCATCACAACGAACCGTGTTGGTTGTGTTAAATTTTCCTCAATATAATTAATATTTTTTACTAGAAACGTTGCAAGTTTTGAAAATTTAATGGGGCAAGTTTTGACAATTTAATGGGGCAAGTTTTGATAATTTTTATGCCGTCCTGTGGAATGACCACTTTCACCCTCTGCAATTCAATGCCTTGTCTGAATACTATGCACTCTGTAATTGATGCGCTTTAACAGGCACGCTAAAATGGGTTGACTAAAATTGGCATCCCCCGTCTCCAACTCCTCTTTCTCTCTCTATCCGCTCAACTTCAGGACCTGAACAATCCTGAAACATCTTTAAAACAAATAAAAAGCATTTCAACTATGATTACTTACTCTGTGACATGTGGTCATCTCTCATTCTCTCGGGCTCCTGCTCCTCTAGATCCAATGGCTCATGATGACTGCGCAAGTCCTTAGGGATGTCTGGAGTCAGATTCTTAGTAAAGACCTACAAATGTTTTCAAATAAGCAAACCAGAATAAAACCACAGCAATACTTTTTGGCTGTAATAATTCTACATACCAAAATTCACATTGTGCACTGCAGCCAGAGTTAACAAAGCTCCATAGGGTGTGTGAGATACGTATTAAAATAGGAGGATTCAGTACTGTAAGGGTTAATGTACTTTTACCTTTATGTTGCACCACAAAGGTAATACATTTCAAATGTTGAGGTATAATTTTGCAGGTTTTGGGCATTTGTACCTTAATGATGTGATCTGAGTTGCTCTGTCTTCCAGGCAGGTTGAACAGTTTCTCAGCTCCTCCCGTCTCTTTCCATAACATCAGCTTCTTGGTGGGTGGAGCTAAATCCAAGGTGGATACAATGTCCGAGGTGTCCTTGAGTTGGGACTTGATCAGATCACCAGCAAGCTCTTTAATCTCATCAACAACTAATTTACGTTTCCGTCGTTGTCTTGTTTCTTTCACACCAGCTGTAAACAAATTATTGGCTGCATTGTAATTATTTACCTGAGCACAATAGTGCTAATAAAGGCAATGGTTTAAAACAAGCCCAAGTCAAACACTGTCAGAAATATAAAAACTTGCCATATTCCGTCCTTAGAATATGCCTATTTGAATTTTAAACTTTTGAAGATGTGGATAAGACAAATGTCAAAGTCAGTATGAATAAGAGTGCTACTTCAATACATTGCACTCACAATGAAAGCAATTGGTGCAAATTTGAAATTGAATACAAATCAAGCCAACTGATGTTGAGGAACATAAGGGGCCTTTCACAGTTGTCAACACTATCACAAGTGTACAAACAGTACACTTTTTAGGACCCCTCCCCTCCCCTAAATTGTACAAAATAGGTGATTTTTGGACAATAGATTTTTATTCAAGAAATACTATATTGTATGGTAACAAAAGGATACAGTGGATTTAATCTCAATGGACATGTCCCACAGAGATGAAGCATAATCAATCATGCTACAGATGCCACAGAAAACAGTACATTTTGTACATGTATAATATTTGTTTATTCTACTACATCACATTAAACAATATTTAGAATATTATGTTAATTTTGGTCAAGATTGTCTTATTGGTATTTATTAAAATGGAACATGTCAGAAAAGTTATTCATTCACATTTAAAGTTAAAATGAGCGTATACAAGGAGAAAGATGATCAGCCTTTACTCAAGCAAGTACAAAAAGACTGGGATTCCAGAATGGTGAGCTGAGGTAGGTACATGTATGCACAAGAAGTATAACATATGCCCTTTCCGTTTCTTTCATTGTCATTGTTGTGTTAAATCCTCTCACTAAAATCAAAGATGTGCTTGCAAAATTTTGAAGTCGCAAAATTTTCAACTCTTGAATTGCATCAATCCCAGCAAATAAATTCTATAATCGGACAGACCTGTCCAGACAGATCTTGCCAACTTTCCAAAAGCAAATTTATTGCAAGGGGCCCTTTTATTCAAACAATCTGACATAAGTTCACATTAATTAACACAATTCAGAAAGTAAAGTTGTGTAAGATAGGCTTGAACGGTATTTCGGTAATACCGGATAGTCACGGTTATTTTCTAATACCGATTATCACCGACTAATGATTCATGAATACCGAAACACCCGTGAACTCGGTATGGAATTTCAATACCGCGGTACTCTTCCTTAGTCATGTTAGTGTTCAAAATCTTTGCAAAAGTAATTCAAACAGAAAGGCAAACAACATCTTTGACAAGTTTGTTTCCATTCTTTGTGGTTCCAGGGATCCAGTTTCATGTCGGCATTGTCAATTGTCAATTGCCGTTGAAAGATAAGACACAATTGTCAAGCTTGACTAGAAAACCCGATACTTCAGCTGCAGTACTACAAAGGCCTTGAAGTTCTGCTAACGCCGCCGTGTTTGCGGTTTTCTTTGTGTGTATTGTGTCTGGACGGAAAGTTCAAACAAAGTTTTACACAGGGAATGTTTTGACGGTCGTGACAAAAACCTGATTGTGTTAATGGTTTTTTTCGTGGTTGGAGATTCGAATTCTACATCATCATGTGTAATTTTGAAGGCAAAACATAGTTCCTCAAGAATATTTCAGCAACAGGAAAAAAAGTTTCAATCTTGGTTATGACCGCCAAAACTTACAGGCTTCAGTCATGGAGCAAGATTCCGTGTTTTGCATGCGAGGTGCACGTGCAAAGGGAAGGGACTCGCCTTGATTCACATGCGATGCTGAGCCGTCCGATCCAAGGAAATTGAGAAAAACATATTTCAAAGAAAGCGCAATATCAAAGCTATCATGATGTCTCATCATGGGCCTTGGGAATAAATGTACGATCTATAGCAGTGTCGGCACCGACGCGGAAAAGAAAAAACTCTGGACTCGCCTGAATATACAATGCAGCGAGTGTGAGCCGTCCGGGAAAATTAAGACAAGAAAATATTCCAACGAAAGCGCAATATAAAAGCCATGATTTCTCCTCGTGGGTAAAAACTCTTGTACGATCTGTAAGCGTACACTTTAGTGTTTACGAAAGTCCCCGAATACACCTGCGTCATGTGCGTGGCCGTACATGTCAGTGCATGAGTGCATGATGATACGCATACATGCGGTTCCACACTGGTTCCGCGATCCGCACAGAGAGAGTCGAAACACGTGCTTTAATATTCCCCCACCCACTGCATTCATCGATCTAAAACACCCTTTTAAAAGAATCTCATTGGCCATCTAAATCTACGCTCGGAACATTTTTTTTCAATTCATGTTTAGGTACGATTGGTCCGTTATTCATCGGTACTGATGTTCAAAGGGAAGGGACTCGCCTGAATCATACGATGCTGGGTCGTCCAGATAAAAATCGAGAAAAGAAAATACTTTAAAAGAAAGCGTAATATAAAAGCCATGATATCTCATCGTGGGAAATAACCCCGTATGATCACACGTTACCCCCCAAAACCTACGCCCGTCCTGCTGGGTCCACCAAGCACAATGACACGTGCTTTTTCCCATGCACTGCGTAGGTCAAGCTGATTGGCCATCTAATGGCGCTCGAAACATTTTCCATTCATGTTTTGGTACGATTGGTCCGTTCGTTATGAAGGTCACGGCACCGACAACTTCATATTACAGCATCCACAATTGCGCATGCTTAACTTTGTGATGATTACCAGAATCAATCACGGACCGATCACGTGAGAAGGAGTACGATTATTTTTTTATAGGAGTCCGATTTTTACTTGACACCGGCGAAGCACGTAAGGAATCGCTGGTGGCCGACATAAATTACATGAGCCTATATCACTCACAATGGATACCAACTGAAAGCATACGTTCGCTAGGATAAGGGGATCGTCGCGTGGTCAGCCTCTGGCATCGGTCGACGATCTGCATTATTTTTTAGTGGACCTTGTCATGCCAATGACTTACAAATTCGAACAATACAATACCACAAAAAGTAAGCTTTCCATGTTTTATAATCTGTTACTATAATATATTGTTTTTACAAACAAATGGACTGATAATGAAACCAGGACACTTTTAATGTAGGAGATTTGCGGCGTGAAGCATTTGCCGGCGGCTTATCAACTCGGCACGTGCTACTTATTTTTTCCCCCTGATAATGACATAATATCCCACTTAACATAATACCGCGGTTTTAGTGAACACCGCGTTTTTTTGGTCACTGGATACTGCGGTACAGTAAATGCAATACCGTCCCAAGCCTAGTGTAAGATCATGGAGCATGATGCTATTGGAGATATAGAAGCTGCTCTCTATTCATTTTTTTTTTAAAAGGTTCATCACAGCGATAATGGCAGCGAACATAAATTTTTTTAAAAAAATAATCATTACACAGCAGCAACTTGAGCAATATTTCACATTTACCAATCAACAAAACATGGGCTTTTCTCAAAGTACATGTATTGCAAACAAATTTAAACAATCTTCCCCTGTGACTCAGCCTGCTGTGTCCAGAATCTGGTCCTAGTCCAAGTTTGCAGCTCCGTGATCATAACGATAATGGCTTCAAAATTTTTGTGGTAAATAAAAGAGAATTACCCGCATAAGGTGATTTGTATCAGTGGCAATGTGAACAATCTGTAGGTTATCGAAGATCTGGGACAAAAAGAAATGAAAAATATGTCTTATCCAGGGATTCCTTGTGTGCGAATCCGTGTTTGTTCCTACGTACATTGCAAGACCACATGTTTTGTGTGTGCATACCTGTAATACATACCATGAATTTGTTAGGCCTACCTCATCTCCTATGGTCAATTTGTGCAAAGCACATGCAGAGGTACATACATTGAGGGACGATATGATTGCTGTGTCATCTTACCTGCCAGCATGCTGGCAGGTAAGATGACATTAATTTCGATCACACAATCTTTGTGATAAGTCATCGATTATCTGGCATGATATTAATTGACGAAATCAACATTCTTATGTTAAACTAGAACGGCGAAGCCGCCATGGCTCGCTGTCCAAGGCAGGAAGGGAGGCTGAAGGTAGGGTTGGGGATGGGCATGATGGAAGGGGATCAGGATTCTTGTTGATGTGCCTAGGTGTAGGGGTCAGTTTTTAAATGTCAACATAGAAAGTCAACAGATTACCTAATAAATACATGTGTATATAGGTTAGCCGTCACTGTATTATGGGGGAGTTTTCCATTGTTAGGGTAATTAGGACCCAGTTGTGGATTTTTGCAGCCCCAACAGTGTTTTCTGCTCCCCATACTTGTATTACCATGGGAAAAATCTTGTGTAGTCGCCACAAATGCAGAACAAGAATGGGTATACATGTACATGTAGACACAGCACCATCACCACCTCCCCCAAACCTTACCCCATCCAAAAACCTTACCCCATCCCCAACCCGCCCCCTCCCTCTCCCCCACCCAACCCCCTACCCACACCCATTCCATCCTCCCCTAACCATCCCCACCCTATCACCTACACATCCCAACCCCACCCAAACTCCAATCCCTATCTCCTTCCCCCTCCCCTGACCCGTACCCTCCCCTATCCCAACCCCCTACACCCACCTACCCCATCTTCCCCTATCTGTCCTTACCCACCCTACACATCCCCGCCCTAACCCTTACTCAAATTCCAATATCCCGCCCACCCCATTCCCCCACCCATACATCCCCACCTGACCCCATGCAACCCCAACTCTGATCCGTATATACTGCCCCCTCCCCTTATCCAACCCCTACAACAACCCATCCCTACACATCCCCAACCCAACCCCTACTCCGATCCTATATCCCGCCCCCTGCCCAACCCCCTCCTAACCCAACCCCTACATCCATGCCCATCCTCTCCCTACCTGTCCCACCCCACCCCTACAAGTTCCCACCCCACCCCTACAAATCCCCACCCCACCCAAACCCAGTATTCCAACCCCTCTCCCCACCCCACCCCAACCCACCCCGCCCCACCCATCCTAGCTCCCCTACTCATCCTACTCACACAAACCCTAGCTCCAACCCCTATCCCCCAACCCACCCCACCCTCCCCTACCCCATCCCTACTCCAATCCCATAAAACTAAAAGATCAAACCAGAAGCTCATGCACATCCCCAAAATGCATAGTGTACATGTACATGTTATACCGATATACACACATGTACATGTTATACCAGTATACATGTACATGTAACAATTAAAAACTTTAACATTTCCTTGAATTAAAGTTCCTCAATAAAATCATAAAATTTACTGCAATGATATGAACCTAACTGAAGTTATAGGCCTAGAGATGATACATGACAACTGCATTTAATTTTTTTCCCCAAGTTAACTAAAACCAAAAACTTCAACATTTTTATCTGAACGCGGACGGCCGGACAGACGGACGGACGGACGGACGGACGGACGGACGGACGGACGGACGGACGGACAGACGGGCGCCCGGACGGAAATTGGTATTACATAGGCTCGCATCTGCTTCGCAGCTCGCCAAAAAGAAAGAAAAGCAAACACAGGCCCCCTCCCCCCAGCGTACGGTCTGTATGCTCATGAAAATGTTGATAATTTTGAACGGCCTTGTAGTTGTGACGACTTACGCGAATGCTGATATATGCTACAAGTCATCATTTTGCCGACTTACATGAATGGTCTTTTGCGCACATGATTCATTGCACTAATTGACTTCGATTTACCCTGGATTATCTCCTTAATGATTGAGTTGAATCCAGCAAATTAATCCTTGAATTGTATCATCACGTTTGGGGTATACATGTAGATAGTGGAGACCACGATTCATATGTACGTGCACAGTAACAAATTAAATGCGTGCGTAGTCCGGTATTTACCACGCACGCATTGACTGCAGCAGAAGTCATTCAATAAGATGACCCCCAAAATGGACAGAGCGCATGCGAACAGCCTAGAGGGGGTACCGGTATTGATATGTTCATGATGCATATGTGATGTATGCAGCAAAGATCCTATAGCGCCGCGTAGTGGTATGTAGTAGGGCACCCTTTTTCGACACCAATGCATGCAGCGATCACAGGCCGTGCGCAACCACTTTTCACTCGACACTTTGCCAACCGCAGTACAGCAAGTTGATGCCAATGTGTGATTTGTTGAATGCAGACTTACACAAAGGATTTTGTAATGCTTTTTATGGAAAGGGGACCGAGAGTAACACGACGACTTGAGCGAAATGGCGACTTATAAAAGCTGACTTAGAAATAAAAAATTCAATTTTCCATTGTAAAATAAATGTGTTACAGGAACTGGGAAACCTACCATTAAAAATCTTGTATTTTAGGCAACATTATAGAAAATACTAGTCTTATAAAAAATGGAGGCACAGTGGTAATAAAAAAAAGAGTTTTATCCACCTAACTTTTCATTCTGAGGTAACATATGTCATTTGTTTAAAACAGAAAGGAACCAAAAAAGGAATAAAAACAATATTATAAAGAAACAAATACTGCAGAAATATAGAACTGACCTGTAATATCAATGGGCTCTAGGGCAAAGGCTTCTTCTTCATTGGGTACTAGTGTAGTCTGGTCTGCCGGTGCATGCGTCTCAACCATCTCAGCTTGTGGAGTTTCATTCTCAGCTGCACCTACTCAATTCAAATACCCACAGAATATAAATAATCAAAATTATACCACAATTACCACATGCATTCAATTTAAGGCCCTAGCAACTTGTACTTTAAATTGTCCATGGCAGAGATTTTTTTCCCCTCAAAATAAACATAATGAGGGTCATTTCTTACGAAGATCAGGGTTCTCTCCAGTATTTTTTCAACCTGTCGGGGAAGTTTGTCAAAACACCATGCACACCACTGCTCAACATTATTCAGGACGACCTAAGGTTAACGATGGCCATATATTGCACAGTATCAGCATGCGTGACTGCACTAGTGTTGTTTGTGGGCAACGAACCACATGCTGCGGCACAACAGTTTGTGGAAACAAGCTACCGGTACGCTGTATCGCTCCAAGTACAAGCGGTACAACCTGGATATAAATAAATTTAAATGGAAAGCACATACCCAGAAAATAGAGATCATGTTCTGTAAACTAACTCACAGACATTTTCTTTCTCCGTCGATGATTGTTTGGTATTTTTACAATTTTTACTCTTTTAGCGTATGTCTAACATTGCTGCAAAACGATTCCATGTGGCACTGCACTGCCTGCCAGCGGCATGGAACTCGTACAGCAGCACAGCTTCGATCAGTTCTTCATTTTTAAGGAGCGCGATCCCGCAGGAGCTCCTGCTGCGCTCCTCGACTGTCTCAAAGGAGTGTAAAAAATAACGCTCCTCAAAAATCCAGCTAAATTGGCTACACGTAATATTCATTGTATTAAGGCCCAAACTCACGTTTATCCTGCTGGAAATTGCTACATTTTATAAACGCACGAACACCGAGCTCATACTACCATCAAAGATCTTGTGTGTGTGTGCAGAGTGCGAAATTAACGGTTGCCTGGGGCAACCAAAAAATCATGCGGGGAACAATTGAGCTGACCGTGGTTGCCCGCCGGACAACCTTAGTTCAGGCAAGGGCCTACCATTAATAATTATAAAATTGTATTTTCAAGCTCAAAAAGATTTGGTTTTTGCCCCCCCAAAATTAGTAAAATGTTGCAAATTATACCGATGTTGATTTCACTTCAGGAAGCAAACAATAAATAATTTGCGCCGGACAAAAAAAACTCGAGAACGATCAGCAACACATATCGCCGTTCCGATGCGCTATCCGATTCGAAGTTCCGCTATTACACGCTGGCAAACAGATGTGTACAGCGGCTGGTACCCAGAAGTTAGCTATTTTGTAATGATATTTCGCATGCATTTTTGCTCTGTGTGGAAAGGCAACCTGACTGTACATTCTGTCTGCTGGAAAAGCAATCATGTGTCCAAGACTCAATACCGTAATTTTCTAAATATAAGCCGCGCGGAGTATAAGCCGCAGCACGCAAAAATCTGCAAATTAAGATCTGAAGTCGGCGTATAACTTAAGCCGCAACGGCCTATAAGCCGCACCGACCGCAGCGGTTTCAATTTTGTTAAGGCCTCCAAATTCTAGTCAAATTGCTCTGAGTCAGTTCCATTTATTACACTACAGAGCTATAAAAAGGGCCACAAAAGTTATATCAAATCTTTTACAATCGATACTCTTACAAACAAATATGGAAATTGATGATGAGAAATAAACAACGGGAATTGCTGCCAGCTGCCCCGTCCGGTCCCCGGCCTTAAAAGTTAGTGCATGGCCCGGCACCGGCACCCTACGCCGGCAAATGACAACATTTTCCCGCAGTACTTGAGAGAGTATGCAACCCACCGTGTGTTGACTGACTGGAGCGCTGCAAACCTTGCTTTTGTGGCAACAGATGCTGATTTGTTTTGTCGTAAGAATAAACAGGTCCGTTTTTACCTCAAAACTTATCAAAGTTTTGTGATTACTAGCGGGTAGTAACGTTAAAAATTTGATCGTAACTTTCTTCAAAAATAGTCAAAACCATTCCTATAGCACCGTAGGAGACGATGCTGTAATTTTTATGGACAAATCCATTAATTTTGTAAGGGGTGATTTAGTCCCTGTTTTGAGTTTTACATCATTTCTTGAATACATTTCAAGAAAAAAATATATATTGTGACGTTGAACAACTGACTATCTAATAAAGAAATGTTTCCAACACCGTAAAAAGTATGAGGCGTCGTTTTCCTTTTTTTAAACAGCGGAAATATTGGTAATTATTGTTCCCAAGAAAGTGCACCCCTTGATTACCACAAATGGTGTGGTCCGCTGGGGAAAGCATGCTGCATGGCTGCACTAGTATCACCATGGAGGAATCCGTACGGCTGGTCCCAAGCGTTGAAGACAGCTTTCACCGTACTTTTTACCGCTCGGTACCTATTGGTTTCGGTTTGTTAATGACTTTCTTAATTGATAATTCATTTCAGCAACACATCTCTTCTTGTACCAGTACATTAACTACACATGTGAATCTTATTTTTATTCTTCAAGGCTCGGCGTATAAGCCGCCCTGTGTATAAGCCGCAGTAAACATTTTCATTGTCAAAATCAACGTATAAGCCGCGGCTTATATTCCGAAAATTACGGTAATTGAGTCGATCCCGCGTTATTGTGAGAGATTATTATTTGTTCATCACGGGCCCGAGGTTGACAATTCTATGAACGTTGGAACGGAACGAACGGCGCGCGGTAAGGACACTTTTTTTTTATCAATGAGTGTTTCTGCATTTTGACCCAATGAGATTCTGCGATTGGTATGACCAGGCATGAGAATGGACTGAGAAAAAAAACCATGAAAATATAATGTACCAATGCGAAGCGCAGCGGGCGAAGCGAGCGTAGCTATCGCGGCTCACGGCCGGGGGTTCAGGGGCCCGCCTTAGGGCCCCTATAAAATCTAAAGGTAACCAAACCCCTAAGATAACCAATTTTTATAGAAAAAGGAACTAAAAATGGAAGAATTTTTATTAATAAATACCTTGGAGAGTTGATGGTTTCTGATTGGTCGAAACTCGATCACGTGGCCGGGCATTAACAGTGATAATGACCGGCTTCAAAGAACAAGCGGAAAAAATGGCCCCTGAACTAGCATTGATCCAGCCCCATGGAAGGCAATGATTGGCCAAATTTACAACAGTCATACGGTAGCTTGTATTAAACAATACAGCACTGCACATGCGCTCAACCACCTTCGCGTGACACTGACGCGAGCGTACGCAACACAGTTGCTATGGGTGTGCGCAAACGTAGGGAAGTTTTAAAACGACTGGACATCGTACATGTACATACAGCAGTGCAGTATCTGATATACTGAGGATGTTTACGACGAAAGCGTAGATCTACGATCTATTTTCTTTAAACACTTCGCCCAACGACATATTTACCTTTCCTAAACCAAGCATCTTTGTAATTCTGGACACGAGGAGTGTGTAACGAAATTTCAGCTTCCTCCATCAGGTAAAAATATGAAAACATTGTTGTAAATATTTTGTTTCGCTACGGCAGCAGAAGTCCAAACCCTGGACGTCGTACGCGTACGCAATGAAGACGTTGTCCAGCAATGTCCAGCACAGCCTGGGCCCGGCTGTTGGTGTATATAACAATGCTTATCGAAGAGACAGGGTACCACGCATAAGTTAAAATATGGCCCATGAACATGAGTCTGGAAATATCGCCGAAAGAAAGTCACAAAATTGGAGCATTTTAACTGTTTATTTCGTTAAAAAGGTATTTATTAATGGGAATAACAGTGTGAGGATCCAGTCTTCACTGCGTGATAATGACCGGGTTTGGGGGTGACCGCTGTTAATGGACCTCGACTGCGTCTCGGTCCATTAACAGCGGTCACCCCCAAACCCGGTCATTATCACGCAGTGAAGACCGGCTCCTCACACTGTTATTCCCTTACTAATAAACTTCTATATTCTGTTTACTACATACATGTATTTCAATAGTACATGTACATGTATGCACTTTCAGCTTGAAAATTACAACCTCAACAAACTTCATGGCTCATACCAAGTTACAATGAGTAATGTATTTAAATATAATACAATTTAAACATTTTGTTCTGTATCTCAATACATGAAATGCTGACTTTACTACCAGTTTGTGGTGGACAGCCACGTTTTATTTTCATTTCAAAAACAAAACCAGCCATCTCCCTTTTCTACCTTATCAGCTCTGCTTTTAGCTCTCTGGTTCCATTTCACGAAAATTTTCCGTAAATATAACACTAAACATAATAGAACCGTAATTTTCGGAATATAAGCCGCGGCTTATACGTTGATTTTGCCCATGAAACTGTTTACTGCGGCTAGTTATACGCAGGGCGGCTTATACGCCGAGCCTTGAAGAATAAAAATAAGACATGTGTAGTTAATGTACTGGTATAAGAAAAGAGGTGTTGCTGAAATGAATTATCAATTAAGAAAGTCATTAACACACCGGAACTCAAAAGGTATCGAGCGGTAAAAAGTACGGTGAAAGCTGAATTCGAACCGAATCAAAGTTCCGATAAAACTTGTCAAACCAAACCGAACCCAAGGGCTAATTTTCAGCACTACAATGTACATGTACACTACTAGATGGCTGGCAAGTTGGAGTGCATAACAGACATTTGCACAACATATACTGAAATTGTTAGTGTGAGTCAAAGTAAATGCTGACAGTGTGAGTTACTGGGATTACAGAACAGTAGAATATGAAAGCTATTTAAGGGGATGAGGGTATCAACCTCAAAAATGCCAATAACTCTTTTACCCCAACCCTCCTTAATCCTCCAAAGTCCTCCGGGCAGTTTTGGAGGATTTTGGAAGATTGAGGATGAATGCAACATAGAATTTTGCAGGGTTGGGGAGGATTGAGGACACATGGACATTCTGTACCGGTTGATTTTGGAGGATTGAGGATGAATGGTGTTGGAAGAAGAGGAAGACTTTTGAGGACTGAGGATGAATGCGTTTTGAGAGGCAGGACAGTCAGAGCACAGGATTGTGATGAATTGAGGTAGTGGGTATCCTCCATTTGATCAGAAGTGAAGGATTTGGAGGATTGAGGATGGTTCCTAGCAAAAAAGGGCCAAGGGGGTTAAGGGTTAACATAACTGAAGCTTCACCTTTGTCTCTGTGGATTTGTTCTGGTGATTGTTTCTCTGCTGTACTAACTTCTGGTCCCATAGACACCTCTCCTGCCTGGATCTCTGGTTGCTCATCAAATAATCCTCCGCCCGTTTCCATAAAGCCACCACCTTCAAATTACAATATGCAATGGGAGAATGTTTGTGAACCTTTCTTCCTAATCACAACACATAATTGAATATTGCTCTATCATTTCCTTAAATAACAATATGTTATTAGGTGATGCTCTACCCGTCGTATCTTAGCCCTCCAGTAATACTTTTAAAATTCACAATCTAATACCGAGAGTCCTGTTTGATGAACTGTACGTACAGTATAAAAGAGTTGACTTGTGTATACAAGTCAACTCTTTTGTATACATGCAAGTCTGCAAACTCTGAACTTGTAAGGTAGCGTCCTTGTGATTTTTCAAATGTTCACTTTTTCCCAAACGACTTTTCAAAGAATATGATGTTTCTTGAACGAGTACAGTAACTGGGTTGTTGTTTTTTAAAGCAATTTGGAGCTTGTTTCATGCTAAATTTTGACTGAGTTTCAGAATAAGGTGCATGACAAAAGAAACCCCGACGTGTGAGTCAAGAATCAATTTACTGTATTTCACAAATTGCCCTTACTGTGACGTATGCATTGTCTCTTCGTTGTTTCCAAGGTGTGTCACACTCAGACAGCTGGGTAATTGGCATAAAACACAAAGGCATGTGCCACCCAGCTTGTTTGGTATAAACCACAACTTGAGCATGTGTTGGTTCACTCGTTTGGTAGAAAACACAAAGACATGTTCAGCATGGCTTATTTTGCAGAAAAAACAAAAACGAGTGCCGACCAGCTCGCTTTGGTCTTGCTGGGTGGGGCGCAAAATCCTACAGGTGTGCTAAAACCATGTGACAAACAATTCTTAAGTTCTCCATCAGGCTGGTGAAAATACCCAGAAAACCAAAATCTGGTACTTTTCAAGCTCATAATAAGATGGTACTTGCCCATAGAAATGTGCTGAGACATGTTGTTGTTACATCCAAAATGGCATTAGGCCCCAAAAAATAATAGTTCTGCTTCCGGTTACCCGACCGACCCTATTTTTAGGCTGCGACCCTAAAATTTTGTATCGGCAATTCAAAAAAAAAATAATATTAATGATTCAATAAATAAAAATAAAAACCTTTTTGTCTTTTTTGTCTTCACAAAATACCTCTCAACAACCCTTTTGCGTCAAAAAAATGCTTGTATTTATTTGTTTTCTTACTTACATTCGCTATTTTTTCAAAAGAAACTTCCGTTATTTTTACAAATTCGCTTCGCGATATAACTACTTCGCAATTCGATGTCACGGTCACTATAATCACGTGCGTAAGGTCAATGCGGCGACGACTGGTTCCCGCCGCACCGCGCAGGGGCCAATTTAGAAGACATGATGAAAATGCGGTAACTAGTCTGTGCACGGCTATGCGATCGATACCGCTAGCACGTGCACTGTCAACTGGTCGGATTCGACATCGTAAAAATGCCAAGAAAACACCGATGGAGAAAGAATATTTTTGCAAGTTAATTCACAGAATTGATCTAGCTTGTCTGTGTATGTATATACCCCATTCAATCTGCATAAAAAAAATGGCAAAAAAAAAAAATTCCGACCGACCGACCCTATTTTTGTAAGGCATGTAATCGGAAGCAGAAATATTCTTTTTTTTTGGCCTTATGTCCAAGCTTGTAACAACAGTACACTGCCCTTTGGAGGGACTGGTGAGCTACATGTATGTACATGAGTTGTAGCAACATGGGGTTCAACATTGAGGCATTAATTAACTGTGCTAAGTTTGATAATGATATGACATTATGAAAAGACCAACATACTGACCAAAGAAATGATTTACAATGTCTATGGTAATAAGGCCAACAAAAAAAAGTCTCCGGTTTCTGGTATGGAGCTTGCCCAAAAAGTGGTGCAGCGACGCGGCTTTTTTTTTTTTTACTGATTTTTTTGCTTCAAATGTCGGCTGATGACTGCAAATGGTGCCCGACTAAACTTAGTGCAAATATATGGGAGTCCAGAGAGGCCACATAAGGCTTATTCACGACCATAACCCAATCTAAAAACACGTTAAAATTGTGCAGCAGCAGGATTCCAGTCAAACCAGTGAGTTTGGCGGTTTTGAGACATCATCTTTCATTGAAAAAAAAAACTTTTTCATTTTGCCGACGCGCATGGCTATGGCGACGCGCGCGCATACCAGAAACCGGAGATTTTTGGCCTAAGGGACAACTAAAACAACAATATATTTACACAAACAAAAAACAAAAAAAGCTTTTGCAATGACTTTGACTTGGAAAAACCAAAAAGTGAGGATTACAAGTCAGTTCTTACCAAGCAATCCTTCTCCCATGACCATTTCTCCTCCAAAGCCATCATCTTTCATGGGCTCATCTAGCCCAAGATCCATAGGTTTTTCCAGTGATGTGTCTAGTGTCGCATCTTTTCTCTTGTCTACATCACTTAGCAGGTGTGATTCATCTCGGCTGGTCTTATACATAGACTCCTCTTGCTGCTGGGCATCTCGCATTATTTCACGCTCATCAAATCCAAGATCTCCTGATAAATTACCAAGAACAATAACAATTATAATGATGCACAACTTTGACAGTGTGATTGATATGAATCAATCAAATTAAATCTTTGGTTAACACGATAATTATAACAATCAATCAAATTAAATCTTTGGTTAACATGATAATAATAACAATCCTGTTATTTAGGGCTAAGGGATATCCAATACAGGGTAGTTATTGTGCAGAATTTGAGCCAACCTACATGTATTAACAACGATGCTATATTCTGTGCTGAATTGACACAGTATGACTGACTCCATAGCAGATCCAGGAGAAATTTTACCATTTTGTCACTTAGATGCTCTCATGTGTGCTAAAAGGGAGGATGTCTTGTTGCCTCACACCAAAGACTGGTTACTTGCAAAGGCTGGTTACTTGCAAAGGCTGGTTACTTGCAAAGGCTGGTTACTTGCAAATGCTGATTAGCAGTTATTTCCACATGAATGAGCACATTATCAATTCAACATACATGTAAAGCCAGTTATTGCCATGCCACATAGTAATCTTAGTATAACATAACATTTTTTTTCTGTATTGGAAGAAACAAAAATTATATTAACACATCCAAATCAAGAAATTCATTTCATTTCTATTGCATGGGTCCTTCAAAAAAAAGAGGACATTTATAACACTTTTGTTTACAACTTTATCAAATGAAAACAGAAAATATGATGATTTTGAAACTTCATGGACCCAATGAACATTCAATACAGAGAATATGAATATACTGACCAAAGCCATCATCTTGTGCCAGGGTAATGGATCCCAGGTCTTCCTTCATAGTTATCTCCTCAACTCGGCTCTGGTTCAGTGTAAACTGTTTCTGTACTTCTGCATCACTGAAACATGAAGGCACAACACTTCACTTACATGAATACTTTAATTTTATTAGTTAAGGTTAAATTAAATTCAAAAATGTTCATTTTGGGCAAAATGTGGCAGTACAAAGTTTCAGGTTGGCATTTTGGCAAAAAGAAAAAAAATCTAGGTAAGTCAGTTTACCCTAGTAATGTCCTTCACTGTAAACACTTCCTACAATCTACATGTATTCAAAAAGGACTACAATATGCAAGAAGAAAGAAAAGGTGTCTTAGCAAACAAAATCGCAAATGCAAATTAGATCAAATAAATATAAAACCAATTTTCTAAATATCTGATCACGGTATTTGGTTGATTTTAGATTTTTTTTTCTTCAAAATTCCCAGCGATGGCATAAAAGTAAATTGTTCTCAAATAAGAATGTCATTTTTTAAATACTTGAACACATCAGGCCTTTTCATACTAGAGCCTCCCAACCCTGGCGAACCCAGTGAGTTTTTATTTTTCAACCCCGCGTTCACTCATGTGTCGTTTCAGACTTGTTTTGTGCAAACTGATCTTAGTTTGTTAGGTTACTTTTGTTTGGAACCCTGGCAAGAGTTTAACCTTGGTTGAAAATCTCAACCCTTGTCTGGAGCAGAACATTTTGAAGTGTGAAACGCCGCATGTTTTCAACCCTACATGTATATCAACCCCAACATTATCTAGTGTGAACAGGCCGCTAGAGAAAAAAAAATGGACCAAAACTCTACTATAAATATTACTTGAGGTCAGGAACCGATGTATCAAAGTCATGGAAGACCTCTGGCAGTGTGATAGCAGTAAAAGCTGCCTCCCGATTCTCTTCTGGAAGATCAACCACTCCTGGTCTGAATGCCATCTTAATCTTGACAAAGGCTTCATTGCAGTCTGCTAGGAGATATTTGGCTTTGCGGCTGTGTATACGCACCACCCCCAACAATAAATGACCTGATGTCCTGAGGGCCATTTTAACCTATGTTCAGCATACACAAGGATCAACATTAATGAATGTTCAATACATAAATACATGTATGTAGATAAAAATAATTGACAATACAGGCAATTTACACAATGGTATTGCGGGCCTGTACATTATTTTTTGTTATGTTTTTTGTTTATTGGCCTTAGGCCAAAAAAAACCCCTAATTTTTTTATTGGAAAAATAAGAAAAAACACCCAAAACCATCAATTTCTACCTTTTACCCTTGACTACCCACGGACGCCTCCATATGATCGTACACAAAAAAATAGGCAAAATAAAAATTATTTACCTACCCACCTACCCTATTTTGAAATGCCATGCAATCGGAAGCAGAACTGTTTTTTTTTTTTTTTTGGCCTAATATAAACTTCCCCACAACTACAGGTGGTGAATTAGCCTGCCAATATGGTCTAAATATATATACATTATACATGTAATCACTGTTGTTCTGCCATTATCAACATTATCTGTTGCATGCAGTGTAAAATGGAAAAGCCCCTATAATGTCAATATTTATCGATAATTTCAGGTGTTAGATCGTCCCTCTGTCGCGGGTCACCCCTCATGAATTATGCATTTTAATTGACCTGGCTGTAAAAGTGGCACATGCGCACAGCTTTATGTCGCTTAAGCAACAGCGGTGACCGGTAGGTATATGTATGCTGATACAGCTGATCATTCTGCAAACTTCACCCCTATTTGCATAAATTTAAATATGCATAAGCCACTCTAAATCCCCTTATTTCATTGATACACTGTAATACCAGAAATGTAGGAATTTATTTTATTTCTCAGGATATGAACAATTTTCACTTTTCAATATTTATGTCTGCCACTATTGGGCTCCCTAAAATAACCAAAAATTGTGTTACTTTAGGAACAGTTCATTATTTCAAATAGCACAATTCAAGATGTGAAAATGTTTCAATTTATTGCAAATTGTAGTTAATTTCCCACAGAAGAATATTAATCCAACATTGGGGAATGGGCACTGGTGCAACAGTGAATGGAAAAAGAGCATTGCATAGCTTCATTTTTATCATACCATATCTTCAAATGACCAAGATGAAAATTATCAATTGGTGTGTATTCACATGTTGCCAAGTCATTTCAATACATTTTTTTTATAAATCTCACTAAGACATGGTCACTTAATATCTTTTCTGACATTTAGGTTATTTGGCACAAGCTCATCTGTGAAGATAAAACACACAAAAACTAAACAAAAACAAGGTTATTTTCAACTGTTTACCTTTGGATGAATAATGCTATCAACACATGATGGTACATTTGTTTCAAACACATGTGCCTTGGTTAACTTCTTGTCCCAGTGAGCAGCCAGCCATATCCTGGCAAGTGGGCCTTTCTTGCTCAGCACAAAGTGTGCATAAAACATTGTGCAGGGCGGATGTAGCTAGTGTATGTCCGTACTTAGGTCTACAACCTGTGTAAAGATAGAGTACATGTTTAATGTGTTGTATATTTGTTATCCATAACACAGTCAGCATCATCTCCAACAGTATACACGTACCTATGCACCCCTCAATTGTCCAAACCATTCCACTACCAACCTGTGCTGCCAAGGTCTTAGAGGTTGAACCTATGGAAAAGTGTGTGGAAAATGTGCTTTTCATTTTGACGTGCTAATTAAACTTCATGATTGTAGATGGGGAATGTTTCAGACGTCAAATTCCCTTCGCAAATGCGAAGTCATGAAACATTCACTGTGAAATTTGCCCAAGTTGAAATATGTTTAACTTTACAAATTCACAGTGCGAATACTTGACATGACATCACAAATTCATGCTCGCTTTCGTGCCGAGTATGATCCGGGCTTTACTGGGGTTGCGACGCGTCGCATACACGCAGCGCTTCATGAAATTGGGTACAGAGGCAGTTTGACTATCCTAGCCCTAGTCTATAGTCCGCACTGGAGTAGACTGCATGCAGGGCCATACATGTACTGTACATGTACATTGATTCCAAAGGTTGGTAATTTGAATGGAAAAAAAATCAAAACTTTCATGGAATTCATTCCAACTCATACTCGGCATTCAGGCTCATTTACCCTTACCTCTTAATATTTGCCCTAAATAAGGACTTCAGTATACAGTGTTTAAACGTCGGTGAAGGGCAAAACCTAATTTGATTTATATCACCCCGACGAAAAAATTCCATATTATAACTGTAGGGTTTATTTTATAACTTGTAAACAGGACAAGTTTTTAAGATGACAGATGATGATTTTAACTCTCCTGTGGTTTGACCATTCAAAACACCTCAAAATCTGGGTTCTGGCAAATTGGAGGACAAAAAATGCAGGACCTTTTAAAATCCTCCAGAATGTATTGTTACTGCACTACCACACCTTTCAATTCCTTTCGAAAGGTATTGAAAGGCAACTTACTGAATTTGCCCACAGAGTTGCTTCACCTTCCGAAACCTTTCGAAAGGTTTCAAAGTTCCAGCACTATTTCATCTTTCAAAACCCATTTAGTCAGGCAAATTTAAAATGTTTTGAAAGGTCTGATAATTCTCTGCCAACTGCACTGGGCATAGCAGGGTTAAAGATAGGATCGGACTTGGGATTTAAGACGAAATATGGCCCTGCATTATTCGTGTACACTTCAGCGAACACAATGTGCCTCATGAATTATCCCACCCAACTCGGACACATTATTTCTTGACGTTAAGGTCCCGTACTGTCAAAATGGACTGTAGGATTTATTTGATAACTTTCAAACAGGACAAGTTTTTCAAATGACAGATGATGATTTTAAAGATAGGATCCGACTTGGCAAGTTTGACACGGTCGCCGCTAAGTACTAATGGCCCTGCATTAACCTGTTTTTAAAGCGAAATAGCGCCCTCATGCATAGCAAATTATGTCTGTGATAAATAAGGAAAAAGTACGTACGGACCGTGCCTTACAATTGTTATGACGTGAGAACCATTATTCTGCGGCTTAAACCAGAGAACAAGGTCTTGACAAAATTAGGGTCAGTATGAGTACTGTATGTTGTTTTAATTGCTCCATCGTATGAGCATCGTGGGTCTTTTCTGTACTTTTTACACGTCTTTAACCCTTACTCTCTGAGGGTAGTTTACTGCATGTCAGTTGGTTATGCCAATGCCCTCCAGCTGCAGTTAATTGGAGGATAAACTATCTTGACTGTGAAGGCTCCAATTGGCAGGAGTTGGAGGCCCTGGAGGGTGCCTGATACTGACCAGCTGGGGGCACTCACTTTGTTATCAGAGGACTCTCATTGTTCTCTGTGGCATGTATTGGAGTGCCTGTCCAGTTACCCTTGAAATGACATGGCAGATATTGGAGGGCCATGCAAAAAACATAGGAGATTTTCTTGAGGCACATATTGGCATGCGTTGGAGGGTCTAGTAGGGTAAGGGTTAATAGAGGATCCGGCCAGGTCCGACTAGGTCCGACCAGGATCCGACTTTCACCCAGACCCTCAAAAAACGACCTAGTTGGCATGGTTAGCAGTTAGTGGGACTAGCCTGGGCTTAGCCCAGGTGGACTCCCTTTCCTCCCTACGTTACGGAGAGAGTCAAGGATATGAAGTGCTCAAAAACGGGCGAAAAAATTTATGACCAATATTTTCAATATTTTTACCTTGTTGGAGAAGCCAATTTTTACGTCGTAGTATTCTATGTGTCCTTATCTATTGGGCCGCTGGGTTCAGGAATTCCATATAAGATGCTGACCGACCTTAATCAGGAAAATAAACTCTAAAGCAACGTTAAACTTGTATGTTGTTGTAGACTCTTTTCATCAGTTTCTCACCGCCGAGTCTAGTCGTACGTACGTACATGCATGACGTACGTCCGTGGCGTGCAGCGTGAACGCGCAGTGCACACGCGCGATTTGCTTAGTAACCACTAGTCTGGTTCCCAGACCTGACAATTATCCCCGACGCTCATGTCTAAATGGAACCAGACTAAGACTAAGTAACCACCCTCAAACGCATGCGCACTAACTTGTAAGCGCGGTCGCCTATCCAATGACCGGGCATGTTTTAGCGACCCTGACCAGCATGACCAGAAATTTGTTTCGGCTTTGGTCATTGGTGGAGTGTTTTCATGACTTCGGTTGGCTGGAGTGACGTCACTGTACTCCTAGAACTATGAGGCTCCACGCAGTGGAGCCTCATAGGTTCAGAACCCCGCAAAATTGTTGTCAGCACAAAACACTAATTAAGTACAAAAACGTCCATCCCAACCAAGCTTTTTCCCACAGAACCGCTGCACAGTTTGCCCCTAAACTCCGTACAATACCTCATGACATACTCACGTTATGTGCACCCAACAAACATCGGTGGATTCTGTCTGTTTTCGGCAAAAATGATGAAAAATATGCCCTTTCCGCACTGAGCCAACCTAACACTTGAAACGAGCACGCGCGCAGAATGATCGCAGTCATTTTCGGTTCGATCGCTCGGAGCGCGCCGCGGGGGGTATGGTGTAGGGGCGGAATGATATTATGCGCATGCGTACAAGTGCAAGTACGTACCCCCGCGGCGCGCTCCAAGCGATCGGACCCGAAAATGACTGCGATCATTCTGCGCGCGTGCACGTTTCAAGTGTCAGGTTGGCTCAGTGTGGAAAGGGCATATTTTTCATCATTTTTGCCAAAAAACAGACAGAATCCACCGATGTTTGTTGGGTGCACATAACGTGAGTATGTCATGAGGTATTGTACGGAGTTTAGGGGCAAACTGTGCAGCGGTTCTGTGGGAAAAAGCTTGGTTGGGATGGACGTTTTTGTACTTAATTAGTGTTTTGTGCTGACAACACTTTTGCGGGGTTCTGAACCTATGAGGCTCCACTATGTGGAGCCTCATAGTTCTAGGAGTAACGTCACTGCACGTTCCCACCAAAACCAACCAAGGAGGGCGCTAGCGTGTGCGCGGTGCGCTTTCGTAGGACGCGGTACGGTGATGAGAAACTGATGAAAAGAGTCTACAAACACGTACAAGTTTAACATTGATTTAGAGTTTAGTTTCCTGATTAACGTCGGTCAGCATCACATATCATGCGAATTCCTGAACCCCCCGGACCAATACTATAGATAAAGACTAGCTGGAGTTACCCACCCCTGAGTTTTATCATTGGGTTGTCTATTAGGGCTGGAGCGAATTTTTCTCGTAACTTGTAAGTCTTGTAGTATAGGCAAAATTTTTTGGAAAATGTTCAATTTTGTCCCCGTTACACACTAATTGCAACTGCAACTCACCCCAAACTTGCCTGGAATAACCATTACACAGGTCCTTGAAGTAAAAAACGATCCACGATGAAGATTCAGCCTACAATTGCAGTGAAAACAGGAGGAATAACCGCTAACTTGACAACCTTGCTGGATTGGCCAGGACCGCAATTGGTTTGTGCACAAAAAAAATTGTGTACAATGAATGGCGGTCGATTAACGGGCACAGAGAGCGATCGCTGTCAACTACTCGTTTTTGCCGGCTGCGCTGGCTGTTGGCGCATGACGTCACGCGGAAGCGTAACACCCGATGACTGTTTCATGCACTATTGGTTGCGGTTCCAGTACCAAAGCTGTGATGCGAGTGGTAAACCTTATATTAGTGCATGAAACAGTCATCGGGTGTTACGCTTCTGCGTGACGTCATGCGCCAACAGCCAGCGCAGCCGGCAAAAACGAGTAGTTGACAGCGATTGCTCTCTGTGCCTGTTAATCGACCGCCATTCATTGTACACAATTTTTTTTGTGCACAAACCAATTGCGGTCCTGGCCAATCCAGCAAGGTTGTCAAGTTAGCGGTTATTCCTCCTGTTTTTACTGCAATTGTAGGCTGAATCTTCATCGTGGATCGTTTTTTACTTCAAGGACCTGTGTAATGGTTATTCCAGGCAAGTTTGGGGTGAGTTGCAGTTGCAATTAGTGTGTAACGGGGACAAAATTGAACATTTTCCAAAAATGTTTGCCTATACTACAAGTTACGAGAAAAATTCGCTCCAGCCCTAATACAACCCAATGATAAAACTCAGGGCTGGGTAACTCCTAGCTTGAGTGACTCCAGCTGACATGCTCATATTCATTCACATGTAGCGCTGGAGGAAGGCCTGTGCGTTTCCATGTGGTAGCAAGAGACCCTAAAAAAATGGCCTCTCCCAAAAATTGTTCATTTTCACCTCTAATATCCCACCCCAGAGTTCACCCACATACCTCATACATTCAGCAGTTATTTACGAAGCCTAATGATCGATTTGAAACAAGACCAACAAAAAAAAAGTGAAAAATCTTGACGATTTCGGTGGCTTGTCCGTAAAAATACGCCTGTTCCAACGGCTGTCTTCCATTTTGTTTTGCTAATTATATTAATGCATGCATCACGTGATGACATAAAAAAAATCGGCGCGCACGATGTATTTGGGTACCACACCGCTTTCAGGCGCCGCAAGTGAGTTCAATTTTCGTCTGGTGCGTTGTCGCGGAAAGCAAGACAACGAGAATGCTCTCCACGGCAACGCACCAGACGAAAATTGAACTCACTTGCGGCGCCTGAAAGCGGTGTGGTACCCAAATACATCGTGCGCGCCGATTTTTTTTATGTCATCACGTGATGCATACATTAATATAATTAGCAAAACAAAATGGAAGACAGCCGTTGGAACAGGCGTATTTTTACGGACAAGCCACCGAAATCGTCAAGATTTTTCACTTTTTTTTTGTTGGTCTTGTTTCAAATCGATCATTAGGCTTTGTAAATAACTGCTGAATGTATGAGGTATGTGGGTGAACTCTGGGGTGGGATATTAGAGGTGAAAATGAACAATTTTTGGGAGAGGCCATTTTTTTAGGGTCTCTTGCTACCACATGGAAACGCACAGGCCTTCCTCCAGCGCTACATGTGAATGAATATGAGCATGTCAGCTGGAGTCACTCAAGCTAGGTAACTCCAGCTAGATAAGGACATGTAGACTAGACATGCTAGAGTATGTAGGCGTGAAATAAGCTTCTATAACGAGGTAAAACATAACAAAACTCTGGTCAAAATTGTGGGTGGTCTTATGACATATGTAGAGAATTGTCATCCTGGACGTCAGTCGTAATGCAATGAAGACTTCTTCCAACCTGGGCTAGACATTCTAGACTACGACGAGTGACGAGCGAAGTCTTACCTGCAAATATCTTCAAAAGATTGCTGACGTTGTATATTTAAACTGTACGGGCCTACTAATAGACTTGTATAAATCTTTGAGTCATTAGGCAGGCTACGTTTAATAGAAACAGCTCATCTGCATCGTTGGTGTTGACGGTCTGCACCCGATCCCTCTCCTGCATCTAGGTATATATCTCGCATAAATGCACAACATTGATAAAAAAAAAAATGGCCGACCTCGACGCATATACATATTTAGCGGTATCCAGAAGGAGCTAGACAATGTGTAATCTTATTTTAATTTCATCTTTTTGCAAACATTGCTCGATAAATATATTGTAGATGTATTTAATAATTATTAAATGTAGTTTAAAGATAGTTCTACTTCTTGTTTTTTTAAACTGAATTCAATTTATACTGACCTTCTAGTTACCGTTATTTGAATTGAAACCAAGCGTTTTCCCGAATCTCGTAATCGTTCATTCCCGCCCAAAATGTCGAACCGTACACGGTACAGCTGCGGCTGGCAGCGGCCTGCGTTTAATTTCGCTGGCTGATGACACCATATTATTTATATTGTCCAGCTGATCCCTTGGACTTATCTGCATAGGCATCCCTCCTGTTGAATATATCTTTAAAATTTAAAATATATTAATAATTTCATTAATAAATAATTTATTAAATTGATTAACTTAACAACATTAATTAACCTCACGGAACTACATTCATTCATATTATTTTTGAAAATGCTTTACATTACCGGTACATTGCAAGTGCTGTACACTTTTTAAAATGCAAACATTCTTTAAAAAAAAAAAATTTAAATAAATTTTAAATTATTAAGTAATTTAATAATTAACAAATATATTGTTTGCTTTGAAAAAAATCATGTTGAGCCATAAACAATAATACACATGATTATTGACTTGAACTTGACTTTATTTCATCTCATAATTCACATGAGTACGAGGTAATAAGCAGATAATAAATACAATTAATAGAGATGCAGAATCCATCATGAATAAGAAAGCTTAGCTTGTGGGTATGGACCCCGATCTTGCCGATAATTAGCATGATTATATACACAGACAAATGGATTATAAACACAACAAACATGAATGAAACAAGACAATTGGGATGGAAGGCAAACCGGAATAAATGAAAATAAATTTGGAGTACTGTGGCCTCGTGGTTAAGGGCACTGACTCGTGGCTGTGGCCGGGGTAAAGCTACAGGTTAAGGGTTCGAGTCCTGGCGGGGTCATGGACCATGTGCCCTTGGGCAAGGCACTTTGTCACTCATTGCTTCTCTCCACCCAGGAGATGGTTATTGTGATCGAATTAGCTTCCTTGCGCCTAACAGGCTGCATCGAGCTGTATACTCCCCAGGGAGCTGAGATGGTATTTGGAATGTTTCATGTGCCCAATGAGAAGGGGGGTAATAATGATATAGCGCCTTGAGCACCAGTCCTGGTGGATACGTGCGCTTTATAAATATCCACTAATATTATTATTAATTACAATATTATGTAAAAATAATGATAGAACAAAATCATTAACACAATCAAGAAGAACCTCTGATCAATAGCTAAACGTTAATAGTGAAGAAGACTCAAAGTTGAACTAAACAAGAGAAAATCGATTTCATTATAAAGTAAAAAGAAAGAATACGTACATGTCTATGATTTTATCAGAATGAAATGATCACAAATTTATTGAGCATATCCATTAAACTATGACAAGATAAATAGCGAACAAGGCTTAGGCGTATTTATTTAAAATGAATTGCTTGAAGTTTTTTTTAATATGATATCAGATTTGGTATTTTGCAAGGGCCGCTGGAGGGAGTTCCATAGCTTGGGACCTTGGAAGGGAATGGCTTTTGGGGCGAGTGTGGTACGGACATTGGGGAGATGATAATGGGCAGACTGTCGGGTTGCATGAGAATGAATGGCGATGTTTCTAGTGAAAACCGATGCAAGACAACATGGAATAACATTCTGAGATATTTGGTGCATGAAGATACCGAGCTGAAAGGTGTAAAGATCATATATATTAAATGTTTTATGAGAATAGAACAGAAATGTACATTGGGAAAGCCTCAACTACAAGGAGTCTGTTTAGATGACACCGGGATGCGTTAATTCCCCAGGCTAGAATTCCATATGTAGGATAAAACTAGAGTATTATACAAGGTATAAACAAAATATAATGGGGAATAAAAAAAAAATTCTACTAATAACACCTATATTTCTTGAGACAATTTTACATAAATGGTCAATGTGATATTTCCATGATTATCAACGAGTATACCTAAAAGTGCTAGTATAGTTTCAGAAATAATCATTGCGTTATCAATAATAATAATTCTTGGTAATTTTTGGAGACTGTGCGGCTAAATAACATACACTTGGTTTTCTTTAGGTTTAGAGATAATCTGTTGGATTTGATCCAGTCCGATACTTTAATCAATTAATTCAAATTACTGATGAATATATGTGTATAAGTTAGGTGTATAGTTTATATAAATTTATTTTACAGTCATAAAGATATTGATGTACTAATTAATACTGTAAATTCCGAATTAATTAAAGTTTTAAGTTAACTATGAATTAAAAAAATATGTTTTACTTAAAAAAAATCCTGTTGAGACGGGGTCTGTTCATATTAGTCCGCCGCCTCTTGTAGATCCAACGCCGCATAAGTCCGACGCCTCATTAAAGTCCGAAACAGCGCCGGTTTGTCCATTGTCGGACTTAATATGAGGCGTCGGATTATGATGCGTCGGACCTACGAGGCGGAATTAATGCCTAGGTCCGACCGTCGCCTCATAAGTCCGAAATTTCGGACTCATATGAGGCGTCGGAATGAGGCGTCGGACTTATGATACGGCCCCGTTGAGACTATAAATAAACATGATGCAAAGTGCACAATCTCAAACCAAAAGGAACAGTCAGGTGGCATATGGTCGGAATCGTGACCGACTGGTCCAAAGCACCAAACTTGGCAGATAGATTCTTATAGCCCAAGAAAAGATATTTAGAAGGGGTGACACCTGAAATTCTTTTGGGAAGGGTGCCTAATTTGAATAAATCGTTAATCCCTGCCGTGTAATATATTTATTCCCATATTTGGGTATATTTTTATTTTTTTATTTGAAAAGTGTATTTTGGTGATTCTACTTGCATATTCTTACTTCAATAAAATTTTCTAAAGCATATAATTATAAGTGACTGAATAAATAGGAGGACATAGTAAAGAACCAAAATTGCTACTGTTTTACTCTAAAGTTGCGCGCATTTCCCTTTTCCTCAGATACCATCAACTATAGTCTCGCCAAACGTGGGTACTGATGAGCTTCAAATTCACAAAGTTACTTACTGGCATAGTTACCCTGACATAAATAAGTGGGAAATCGTGTGAAAATTGATAACATCCTGATGTTTAACCCAAAAGACCAAAAAAAGAGGAGAAAACGTGGTGTCCGTAAATTGGGCTTCTACGGGAAGGGTAACGTGGGGACTTGAACAAGTTCAACGAAATCCCCCTAAATAAGATATTATTGTTGTTTACAATAATTTTGTCTACGCCAAAACGTTTTCTCAACAATAATTTTGGGAATTTTCTTTGAACTTGTTCCAGTCTCCCATGTTAGGCAACCCTTCACCTACTTGTTAGCCCAATTTATGGACACCTCGTTTTTTTCCCAGTTTTTGTTTTCTGGGCTAAATATCACAATGTTATCATTGTTTACTTGAGGTTTTAATAGGGTAACTGTACCAGTAAGCTACTTGGTGAATTTGAAGTTTGACATCAATGCTGATGTTTGGCAAGACTAATTGATGATATCTGGAGTCAAGGAAAATGCGCGCAACTTTAGGGCATAATAGTAGCAATTTTGGATCGTTACTATGTCCTCTCAATTATTCAGTCACTTATATGCTTTGGAAATGTTATTTATGTAAAGATATGTAAGTAGAATCCCCAAAATACACTTTTCTCAATTTTTTTTTCTTTTTAAATATACCCCCATATGGGAATAAATATATTATACGCAGGTACCGGTATTAACAATTTATGCAAATGAGGCACCCTTCCAAAGAGAATTTCAGGTGTCACCCCTTCTAAATATCTTCTCTAGGTCTATAAGAATCTATTTGCCAAGTTTGGTGCTTTGGACCAGTTGGTCACGATCTTGACGAAAATTAGATCTAAGCCACCTGACTAGAAGAAAAGCCACTGCGCATATGTCTCCCTATTATCGCGACATCCCTCCATATTATCGCGGCATGGGACATTTTTCCTTTTGCGTTGCCAAAACTCCTTCAAGTGGCGATTCTTATCCAGTTCACCGGTCATTTAAGGACTTTCTGCCGAGTTGTATAAAAAGGATGATTACAAAATGTAGTGTCTTTCGGGACTTTCGACGATTTTTAATAAATATTAACGTCCCCCAAAACTTGCAAATTTTCCCTCACCGTGTCTGCTTAAAGGTACAGTCTATATTTTAACATAAATCTTTAATGGTGCTCTGTCCATGAAAGTTCCATTGTCTGGTTCCCATTCTTTAGCTGCAAGTGTAAAATGAAGTCGAAAGACGATATTTGCACCGCGAAATCGTAAAACTTTTACGAGATCAAAATAAGCACAGCGCGGTAACAAAAATAAAACGGCACACCGTGTAAAGTGAATGGCGCCCCCAACCGCCAATTAGTAGACTTGCCTCAGTGATTTGTGTTCACCTTTCGGGGGAGGGGCTGCAGACAGATAGTCTTTAATCAACTTGAAACGTTACAGGGAAAATATCAGACTTTATTCGGGGATGTTTCGGTCAAACATTAAAGGGAATGCACAACATTTGCTTTTGCTAAAATTTACAGAAATAAATGGATTTGAAGGATTAGTATATGTTATAGAAAATATTGTTAAACTGACTTGTTTCACGTTTTGGGCTTGTAGATGCTGGAAAAACCAAGAAAACTAAAGCATCCTTTAAAATCTTAGCTCCTTCTGTGCTGATTCAAGAAAAACTGTATTTTTTTTCCAACGCTGCGACCATGATCCAGCATTGGAGAAAAACTGGCTTTTTTTTCAAAAAAGTGTTCTTAATTTTTCATATTTAGTTTTTCTGACTTTTCTTTGCAATTGATTACACACCTGTGAAGGGGTACAAGCCTGTGCTAGACTGATTATCTGACCTTACAATTCCCCAAGTGTATTAATTGCGCCGTTTCATCATAAGTGGGGTAAGGGAACCAGACTACAAGAACATGATAGGTTTTAGACTGTCAGTCCCTAACAATTCAGTAAGGTATTTCGTAATAATTTGATCATTTCGTTTTTTGATGTTTGCAAAGGTTGAATTTTCCCTTTAACTTTGAAAAAAAGTTGAGATCATTATAAAAACCACTTCCCGCATACCGCGATAATAGGGAGTCCACCTCCGTTGGCACACTCCGAGTATGTCTATTTTCACAGGTACTTAGTACTTGCATGGTACTTTACTCCACGCGCATGTGACGCGGAAGTCTAACAAGCTAGGAGGCCTTGGGGGAAGTGGAACTAAATTAAATCCTATAAACTGATACAGGTGTTGTGGTTTGGGGCGTCTATGGTGTCTTGAGGGAGCTTGTTCCATTTCTGGATAGTTCTGGGTAGGAATGACTGCACATAGAAGTCTGTCCTTGCTGCAATTTAAGTACCAAGTAGATAATAGGGCAACCCATCCTACTGTGAGCGTAGTATGAACATGTATTAGAGATCGAGAATACTATAAAAGCGTCGATTGCTCAAAAGTCTTCAACTTGGTCTTTCCTGCAGTCTGATCTCTGGACCGCATGTCATGCCGAGTTGTCCCGAACTTAATGTGTGCAGACCTAGTACCTGGCATGTAAAAGCGGATATTCAAGCGAGAGTGGTCCACTCTTGCTTCGTCTAAGAGGTTGGAGATGCGCCTATATAGCCTGCAGAGATCCAAAAGGGGTTGCGTCATTTAAGTCGCTGATAGGCAGCAGGTCACTGGTCAGGGTAATGCGATGGAATTCCCGCAGGGTTATTTCCTTCCGTTGACAAAAAAAAGGAGGAGGGAAAAAAAGGGGGAAAAGAAAAGATAAAGAGGTGCGAAGTCATAATAATTGAATTTAATGGGTGGGAGGGGGGGAATGTCCCTGCCCACCCTCGAAAAAAATCAAGCTTGAAAACGCTGGAAAATATGGGAATTAGGGGAAAAATGTGCTTTGCCCCCCTCTAGAAAAAAATCCTGGCGACGCCCATGCCCACAAACTTTTCAGGGTCCTTTGGGGCGACCTCTTCGACGAGGGGCATCGGGATTCCAGAGGAGAACTCGACTCATTTAAAATTATGTCGATAAACGTGACCGGCTAGCCGAAGGCGACGCTGTCTGATGATGGTGGAGATAGGCAAAACATCATGTGAAAGCATGCTGAAGGCTATTCTTGACCCTGAAAATGTATGTTTGACACCTAGACTCAGTGTGATTCAACGTAGCGTAGAAGCTGCAAAATCGGTAAATGCAACATCACAGTCTTGCACCGCATTTTGAAAAGAAACTGACGTTACAATGCCCCGTCTGTCACCAAAAAAACATGAACAAGTTGTGTATTTTTACATGAAAAGACCTTGTTGGTTCAAAATGAATTCCTATCATGGTGACCAAATGCTTGTGCCTACATTATTTTACTCAGCATAAAAAAATGCCCCGTCTCAAGTCTGTCAAAATATTAATGAGCCTGGTGTTTCCTGTTCTATATTTTGAATTACGAAGTGAAGTGTTCACTGATTATTGGCATAAAAGTGATTAACTTTAAAAGAAAAACGTTAAATTTCCCAGGGGAACAGACAGCGTGTTTCAACGAAAGTCATTTTCAAAATGTCCGTCCCGTCCGTCATGCTGATATCACTTTGTCACTATACAGCCACTGAATCCTCTAGTTTCATGAACTGTTTTTTTTTTTAATTTGAAAGAGTGTCTACTTTGACTGTATACATAACTTAGGGTTACACCTTACATATTGCCTTTGAAAAGAAAGTAGTGTAAATCTGTCCCGTCTGGCACGCGCGCCGGATTGTGAATAACTTGACCCAATACTTTTGTGCATGCACAAAGTTCACCTTTGTTGTTCAGTTTGGCCCTTATTATGTTGGAGTAGGCTAATTGTCCGTTTGGCATAACTATTCTCGAAGTGCCTTTCCGTCCGACCTTCGTTTTGTCCTTTGTACTCGCGGGTTATTTCGGCATGATTTGAAGGGAGGGGTTATACAAAAACAAGTTTGTTTGAACTTGTCATTTTTAAGGATCTGATCTCTGACTCTGAGAAAAAGTTGACATTTAGGCTAGAGAGTTGCCCCCCTCTAGCCGGTAGGTATACTTTCACTCTATTTTTTTTTAAAGCCATGCTGTTATGGGGGCATAGGCAATGGTGAATTAATTATTGATGGGGCAAACCACCATCCTCTGTCTGACCAAAGACATTTCGGAGAAAGTTCAAATTTTCCCTAAGATTCGTCAAATAACGTTCGTCATACCATGGAGTGAGGTAGAACTATACCATAGAGCGGATCAACGTGTCGTAGCTAGACTGATGAGCAGACTATTACTAGATGAGGAGCCGACAGATGAATAATGATGTGCGTCCGGCCGGCCGGCGACGTCCCAGGCAGGTAAGATAGAGGGCGCCCTTTTCGAAGATCGTACATGTACTTTGCTTTAGAATTTACCGTACTGCACCGTACCTATCACGGAGTACCCCATTGCATTACATGCATTGCGTGTACGTGTATTTTGTACGTGTACGTACCATGCATACCCGGCACACTGCACTGCACGAATACTTTAGCTTTCTTCAAATCAAACCAAACGTAGACTAGTTCAGTTGTACAGAATGAGTCATAGGGGCATAGTTCTATCGTAATACCGGCTGTATAATGTGAACTTTTACCTAATGTCTTGTAAAAACTAAAATGACCAGAAAGACTTCAACATTTACAATTACAGTCAAAGATTTCACCAAGCAATGGCGGAAGAAACCCCACAAGTTCAGGACGGTAAGTATGAATAATGAAGCTCAGACCATGGACAACATGATGGAGGTGTTTCCTACCTCCATGCTCAGACCAAATGGCTATGCACTGCTGGTTAGGGCGATCGTGTAGTACTGTGTACTGTAGGGCCCCTGTTTTGTTTCGATTGTTTTGTTGCATCCTTTATGGGGCGATCGTGAAGTGTAGGGCTCGGTTCCTATAAAGTATAAGGGAGCAAAATCCACTTTAAAATTATTGGACCTATTGTATTGGACCTACCAAACTAGTTGGCGACATTTTCAATAAACAGGTAGGGCCTAGGCCTATAGGGTTTTGATATTTTGAGGGAAATTTGGGGGTAAAATGACGGGGACAGCGCGGCGACAACATGCGAACCGAAAATAAGGATGTCGATCACCGCGCGATGTACCTTGAGCACGCACGGCGTGCTAAATCGCAAGGCACAAACCGTGCAGGAAAATCGTGATTTCTACCCCAAGAATCTGTTCAAATTGCAAAACGGGTGTCATTAGAATTGAGAAAAGTCTGGTTTTGATTGTAAAGGTGATTTTTGAGCAATAAAAAACATTTTGACTCTAATTTGATCAAAACAAAACAGGGGCCCTACACTTTCGATCGCCCTTTATGGTTATTTCTTCCATTTTCCCTTCTCTACTCTCACCCTCTCCCCTTCCTTTATTCCTATAATCAGTCACTTACTTCATCGAAATTCAATCTGACACGTGTTTGAAACACAACACAAGTTTTACCGCTACTTGCTAGACCATGCACGATCGCTTGTTGTCAATGATCAATCTGTGGACGTTTTTAAAGTAGGCCTATCCAATGAAATAAACTAAATATTTATGAGAAATTAAGGAAAGATTTCCATATACGAAGTTCACTCAACACCCTGTGTACAAACCCTATGAGATTGGACTGAAAAATTCTAAGTGTTTTCTAAGAAAATGCTTGTATTTTCTCACTGCTCAAATTGACTTTGATGACATGAAATTGCTATCTGGGGCTTGTTAGTCAATACAGAGGAAAATTAGTGAACTTCTAATATGGAAATCTTTCCGAAATGAAATATTCATAATGACATACGCCTACTGCACTGTCATTGGCCGGCTCATGCGTTGTCATGGTTGTCGATGTCATGCGTATAATGTACCACTGTCTTCCAGACACTTAAGTCAATATAACCGGTGACCGGCTGCCTCCAACTTAGTTCTGCACGACGTGAGCATCCAAAATGTGCTCTAGAAACACATTTTTATTAAAATTGTTTTGCATTGCCGAGGCCTCCTGGATTCCTCTTGGGTGAAATCACAAGGTGAGGTGAAAATTGATGTGTTTGGTGGCAGCCGCAGGTTAGTGGTGGACCAGTACGGAATTCTTTCCGCGCGACTTGCTAGCTCATGGATATCACCCAGTGATCGCCATATTTATGGGGGGGGAGGGACATTTGATAGGCGCATTACAATCAGGATGAAAAGTGAAATTTCCGTCTCGAATACACTATAGCACGGACGCCATTTTGAATTGCCTAGCTGCAGCGCTGTGACTAAAATGGTCTCCTCTCTTGTAATGCAAAACTGCCCCTCAAAAACACAAATACCCCTCTTGCAATAACAATATTGTACACCTTCTCGAGATGGAAAACTACCCCTCGAAGGCACAAATGCCCCTCTCGCAATAATAAAAGTGTGCCCCTCTCTAGATGCAAAATTGGCCATCAGAAACAATAGTGCTCCTCTTGCAATAACTTCAAGATGTGGGAAACTGCCCCTCAAAAGCACAATTAGTGCCCCACTTACAACTGTGCCCCTCTCAAGATGGAAAGCTGGCCCCTACAAAATAATAGTGCTCTTAACGCTACTAAAATGGTCACTGAACTGGCCATCAAAAGCAACAGCGCCCCTCTCGCGATAAAAAAAATGGTCTCCCTACATTTACTAGGTAAAAGAATCACAAAGAGCAAGATGGATAACGTATTCATAATTTGTTCTTCGTCATATAGGTTTATAGCCATGTGAACAGGACCATATATTCTTTTCCTTCACTTTCACACCACCGGAAGGTGCCCCTTTTTCTGAGCAAGTGCCCCTTTTTTGGTGTTGCCCCCCCCCTCCCCCAGTATGAAAAGCATTCCACTGCCCCTGTCTGGATGAAAATTTTTCCCATAAGTGATGAATAAATGTTAAAAGAAATTACCAAAGTATGAAAGATTGAAAATAAGCTTTACGTGTGTGCAAGAAACATTTGTCCTAATTGGTTTAAGTGCGCACAACTATCACAAGAATCTAGGACAGCCAAAGGGGCACTACGGCCTGAGATCCCTGACATTTCTTGTTTTGGATTGCTTACTTGTACAGTTTTTAAAGGGTCTAATTGAAAGGAAGCTAACCTAATGTCTTACTGTTCCCGGGAAAATGTGAAAAAAACCTGGTTGTTTGTAAATGTTCTTTTCAATTCAATTCATTCAAAACGCGTTTTGTAGCCAACTTGGGTGTATTTTAGGATGTAATGTCCCTTTAATGTATATTATATCAATATCTGGCGTAAAGAATGTTTTTGCGATTTGAATAAGGCAAAATAAAAAAAATGTGTTTAGCGTCCTGCCTTTTTGAAAAAAAGGAAGGAGGTCCTTTTTCCCCTCCAAAATGGCTGCCCAACCCATTTTCCAAAATGACTGGCCCAGCCTCGTCCCCAGTGCTTACTTTATTTCCAACCTCGTTTCCAATAATAAGCCCTGGATAGGAAACTTTCTTCGTGCATCCTGATTCGACACCGCAATTTGCTAATAATGGATTTATACCATGTAGTTGGTGTTGTTATTCTAACGTGCATTATGCGTTTTCACGATCATTGTAATTAAAACGTCCACACGCGTCCACATGTGGGCACCAGACTATACCTCATTTGCATACGTGTTCAAAAATCTTGCACATGCAAATGATCCAATACCAGGGTGAGAGAGCAGGTAGTGGTGGGCGCGTACTGATCGACACCCTGGAAACGAGGTTGCGACTGGCCAGGCTATTTTTTTCAAGATAGTGTCAGCTTTTTTTTTAGATGGCCCCAAGTTTGACTCAGGAAATGACATACCAGCTTTAGAGTCTAAAAGTACGACTTTTTTTCCGAAAAAGATCATTGAATTTATAATTTTTTTGGTTTTTGTTTCAATAAAAGAAAAGAAAAAAGGAGGCGGTTTCCAAAAAGGCAGTGAGCGGGGTCGCTAAACATGTTTTTTTAAAAAAATTTGCCTGATGATAAGATTTTTACGTGTACCCTGTATTGTAATTCAGAAAAGATTTTCAATGTGGAACATGCGATTTCTTACCTTTTGGTTTGGTCAAAACCATCCTACACATGTAACCCCTATCCCACCACCAGGTGCAGTGACTTGCATAGCAGGGTATTGCGCAATCTCTAAACTTCGGATTACCCCCCCAAAAACTGCAGTCTTTCTACGACATGGCCGTTTGTTCTGAATGTGGCACAACAAACCACTACAAGTAAATTGTGTTCATGCAAGGGGAAAACTGTCCTAAACTTGACAATCAATCCAAAAGAAAAATAACAAAGTCTTGTACGCGATGTCGACTGTGTCAAAAAGCCAAAAATCTTTTTTTTAAAAATAAGGCTGTTTCGGGCCACAATTTTGCAGCTGGTTGGTTACTGAAAATTTAATATGTTTTTGCCTTATGTTTGTGCAGACCCATCAAATCTAAAATTCAAACAAAGTCTGTGGCCAAATGAAATGTAATGGAGTGAAAAGAAATTGTTATTGTATATAATGCCTGCAATATTTCTATTTTTTCATGACAATGGTTTGTATTATTCTTTGGTACGTGTATAATTTGGTTACAGATGTCAAGAAAAAAGTAAGTTTGCGGCCACCAAATCGGCGCCGCCATGAAGAGCAATTAGAACAACTCATGCTCAGCATACGCACTCTGGAAGCAGCATTGGTGAGTAAAAATATGTTATGACAGATTACTTGTCATGGATCTATATGTATGTAAAGTTATCCTGTAATTCACATGTTAATCTTAACTCCCTAGGGTGATTTACTTACACCGCGTTCCCACTTGAATTGGGAAAAGGTGGATCAAGATCCGGCATTTTGGTGTGATCGTTATCTTACCGCAACGAAACCGCAAGACGCGTTCCCACTTATGCTTGATCCACCTTTTCGTACGGAAATGTCGAGTCCGAAAGTTCACTGATTTCGGAATTACGTGTGCTCTGTGGGAGTGCCGGTGTTGCATGCTAGGCCAGGACGGGTCAGTTTTCAAACAGCTGAGCACTATCGGTATCAGAATTCACCGACAAAAATTACGCGAATTCACCGACATAAATCACGGATCTGTAGAGGATCCGTGCATGCATAAATTAACTGGTGAAATCAAACAGCTAGCGCCGCTCATTGTGTGATATCACGGCAGAAACCAATGCATCGATAAGGGATTCCCTGATTCTGAAGCTTCTAATTGGTTAGAAATGGTCACATGATGTACACATGTACTACGACACCATTTTCCAATTTTCTATAATCAATTCAGATTTAAATCTGAAATATTTGTCACCTCCGTACGTACCACGTTATTGGCACTTTTCTCATCGCATACTCGTAAGCTTTTCTATGATTCTGTGCCAAAGTGAAGTGGTTTGGTGAGTGTGGACTCAGAGTCATTTATGGATGGAAAAATAAGTAAAATTTCGTGAATGAAAAAGGTTTAGAAAATGGACGAACACGCAACAAAAATTGTAAAAGGCCTAGTGTAGTTTTGGGATATACCACTTGCGCTGCATGCATGCGATATGCGCGGTGCTAGCCCGTAGTTCAGCGGTTGTTTATTGTGCATGTTGTGTACATCGGAAATTTTTACATGAGCTACACGCCCGAAACGTGTTTCTTCCTTCATAAAACCGCAACATTTTCGCGCCACTCGTGCACCGGGCGGATGTTGACAGGTCAAATTGCCGGATCAGATCCACCTTTTGCGTTCCCATCTGATCGTGATCCGCCAATTGCCGGATCTGATCCACCAATTGGGGGATCTGTATCCTGGTCCAAAGGTGGATCAGAAAAGGTGGATCTGATCCTGATCCACCTTATAACGGTTAGCGTTCCCACTACACACAATTGCCGGATCTGATCCACCAATTGGGGGATCTGATCCAGCAATTTGGCAAAAGGTGGATCAGATCCCCCATTTGGTGGATCAAGTGGGAACGGGGAAGAACCTTCCTTGCCCTTGCAAATCCCAACTGTGTGCATAAACAGTTGGACTCTGTTTATTTGTGGTTTGCCTAATCCCACGTAAAGCACAGTCAGTTTACTAGTGCAGATCCCAACATATCCTGGTGTTGGAGTTTGGCTGGTTGGGGATCGTTAGGGTTAACCCTAACCCTCTCAGATCCTTCTTAATTCACCAGGAGGTTTTAGAGGATTCTGTAGGATTGAGGAAGGTAAAGTCCAGTCACCATGACTCTCCATGTACATAGATGGGAGCATATATGATGGGAGTTAATGCACCGTGAGTATTCATGTACAAACATTCCATTGCTCTCCTCATCAGTCAACATGGTGAAGGGTTTGGAAGCTTCAGGGAGATTATGGTTAGTGGTTATTGGTGCTTTGTGGTGGACTTTTAGAGGACACCATGTAGCCTACCCAGGGCTCGATTTACAAAAAAGAAAGTGGCATGCACTGGTGCATGTAGACCAAAAAACCTACATGCACCGAGAAAAACCCCAGGGATGAAACTTTTCCGATTTTATTTGGAAAACCGACTTTTTTAATTTTCCAACGAGATTTCCGATTTTTTTACAGTGTGTTCCACAAAATTTGATTTTGTAAGGATTTTTCTCACAAAATGTCGATGAAAAGTCGATGAAAAGTCGATGGAAATGGCATGTTAAAATCATCGCGAACGTAGTTTTTACTCTCTTTCACCAGTCCTTATTGGAGTGTTTCAACGGTAGAAACACTGGGCATAACACTGATCGGAGCCTTCTCCGGCTGGAGAAAAGGTTAAACATTGACAGGCGACATGGAAAAATCACTGTGTCGCACCATGGAGGTAGCCTTGTCAATGATCCAGTGGATAAAATCATTATGTTGTGCGATTTTCGGAGGTTTCAAATTTAGTTATGCAAAATGCAATGCTTTAAAAATCGTGATGATTATCTCGAGGACAGCGGAGAGAGCATTAGCGAAACATTTCACTGGCATTTGTTAGAAGAGAAAGACGATCATACCTGATTTTTCCCCACGTATGAATGCAAGTGGAGTTGTGTGGTTGAATGGACATGTCTTTCGTATTCAGACTTTTCCGTAGACTTTCTCAAGTAAGAAGTGAATTTCTTTATTGATGACTCCATTACTCTAACTGTAATTCGGGCATTTTATGCAGTGAAAACACTGACCATTTTTTTCATCGTAAAATTTTGTTTGAATCGAAAATAAAGCAGGAGTAGGTGTCCGGAAATTGGGCATGAAGTGTATTGTACATGCATATGTGAAATTTGTCGTCACTGGATTTGGAATTCACTGCCCCACCCTGCCGTACTTTCCCCTTCCCTTTACCTTAACTCCCTAGGTTGCAGCATTTTTGCTAGAATCCTGCCAAATCCTCCAACTGCCTCCAAGTGAAAATTGCATACAGCCCCAATGCCTCAATCCTGCAAAACCCTCCGTGATTTCTAGAACGTGGTCCTTGGAAGGGTGGCATCTGCCCTAACCCTGCAAAATTGTCCAACAATCACCGTAAGTATGTGGAGGCAGAGCCAATGACATCCTGGAGCAGTGAGGAGGATTCCAAGTATAACATAGGCCTAACTTTATGCTTTGCTGAGCATAAACAACACACAAGGTCTGTCCAAAGACCTTGACACAGTGCATCCTCCAAAATCAGCTACACTATGCCATATAGCCTCAATCCTGCAAAATTCCATCATTTTGCACAGAGAATATTGGAGTATTTGGGAAGGTTAGGGTTAAGCCACCCACCCCTAAATACACCTCAACACGTCAATTTGTGTTCATTGTTATATTTTATTAATGTTATAACCTTTCCTCCCACACTTGATAAACCTCAGAAATCACTAGGGAGACCTCAGCCTGTGGATGGATCCTCAGATGATTCTGAACAGAAGGATGTGCTGCTGGCTGAACAAAAGAAATTAAGAGAAGAGAAGGAGGCCAGCATTACCAAGCGAAAAACACTGGATGAAGACTTGAAAACTATCAATGAACACATCTCCAAGCAGGTTAGAGCTAATTCTGATGCAATGGAGTATGAGAAAGCAGGTGTTAAAAGATTGAAAATGAAAGAGTTGATTAAGTTATAGTTTAAAGTGCAGGAACATGTATATATTCATTTTCCACAGAAAATTACCTTTTTAAGGGAATTTTCATCAAATTTTACTGACATCTCGATTCAACAATAGCAAACAACAGTGTGTTTACCATAAGACCAGTTATACAGGGTGGGTAGGCCTACACCGCGTTACACCCACAGCCTTTGTACACAAAGTCTACAGCGGTGGCACATACCTTCCAGAGCCCATGCATCTCACCACTGAAGATGATCTTGTAAATTGTCCCCCTCATGCAAAATGCAGGCCTGCAAATCCTGGCGGTTGGGAGGTGGACTGCTGAAAATCTTGTTTTTAAATCTCCCCCCCAAGAAGGAAGTCACAAAGAGTCAAATTCAATGGCATGGGAGGTCATTCCACAGCATGTTTCAGTGAGACTACTGTGTCCCTAAAAGTTCCTGAAAGCGATTCCTGACAGCAATGAGCATGAAGGCTAGGGCACCATCTTGTGTCTGCCCACCAATGATATTGGAAGATGTACCATGTGCTTGATATTCGAAATGCAACTGGCGAAATGCAACTGCGGTACAAGATTTTGATCAAAATCCTACTTTGTTTATGTTTTCCTAAATATTCCTTGCTGAACCAGACATACATCTGGTCATGTTCACAATGTTTTACCAAAAGTGTCCCAAGAAGGTTTTCACATACCATTTTCTAAGCAGTGGAACCCAGTGATGCATGACCAGAGGTGTGCATCCAAGATGGAAAGCTTACTGCCCCTGGTTTATGATAAACCATAATTAATTTGTTTGTGGGTTACTTTTATTTTCAGGACACCTTGTACAGGTAGATTGAATCAATGGCATTATTAGTATGTGAGATTGAATGGACCATGTGCTTTATTTCTTTTGCAGAATGATGCCCTATCCAAACTTGATGCTGGACTTTCTTTCAAGACCGAGGCTGCTGTGGATGATGCAATCCGTAAATTGGACCATCAGCTAGCAACAAGACATTTCAAACTCAGTGAAGAAAATCGTATTGTGAAAGAGATTGACAGCCTACGACGATCCAAGAAAAAAGTCAGGTTAGTTAATATTCCAAACGCCAGCTAAGCTCTTGTTGCCATGTTTGTTAATCTGAACTTGCAAGAGTTCCTGCTTTTTTCATTGATATAGAAAATGTTCTTAGAACATGTTGAGTTGTTTTTCTTTCAAAAGTGGACAAATATTTGGTTCAACAATAATGCAATTGATTCAGCAACATTCACTGCTTGTTCTGACACTTTGACAATGCATTTGAAAGTTTTAGAATACATTGAAGGTAAAGTTTTGTTGTAAGAACATGTAACAGTAAGGTGAACATAGTTTTCTGTTACTGATGTACTTGACCATGAGTTACAATTAGTTAGTGTGGAACCTTTTATTAATGTTTTGGTGGTTTCGTGATGGACATTTCTTTTTACACTCAGATGGAACATGTACATTGTACCTGCCTGCTACTAGTGACTTGTCAGTTTCATCAGTTTGTTTGTGGATGTAAATCACAACACTGTACCTGATTTGGTACAGTGTGCACGTACATAGATAAAGTTATGTATACTAGTGATATGCAATCTTTTCATCATTTCTTTTTCCTCAGAGAATACCTTCAGCAGAAGCAAGAGATTGAGAGTCTAAGGGCACGTAAAAAAAACATGAAAGATGAGAGAGATGTAAGTACACAATGTAATTGAAAGTTACGTCAGGCTTTGCAGTTATTTGCTGTTTTTTGGGGGGTATTAGATCACAGTGTTGCAGTTGAGACAAAGACTAAGATCTAAAGGCCAAAGCAAAAGACTTGCCGAACTCTTGAGAGGTCTAGTTTTATAACATATTCGTATCAAACAACTACAGTGAAATCTCCATAAGTCAAACTCTGATAACTCAAAACAACTGTTAAGTCAAACAAAGAATCTATTCCCTTCAGTAGTACAACAATGATATGCAACCCTGCTGAACTCACAACTCTGCTTACATGTCAGTCAAATTTTGAACCTATTCCCTTGCGGTTTGACTTTTTGAGATTTCACTGTATATCACACAGAGCAGATTTTCATGTGGATGCATTGACACAACTACATTCTCAGGTTTACTTATCTTTTGTCAATCTAGTATCAAGTTAGTATGAAGATTTTGCGACAATGTGAATTAAATCAAGTAAATTTCAGGCTTAAGTGGGACAATGAATGACCCATGGAATTCAAGTTTGCCAACACTTTCCAAATAAGACTAAGTGGTGCAAATGCATAGAATTTACAGTGAGACCAGTCCATCATGAATTTGTCATTATGGATAGTACCTGGAGTAGACTGCCATGATACGTAAGTATTGCTAAATAATCAAGTCTTGGTGCTGACATGTCAATAGGTTCCTCTTGGCAATTTACCCTCAATGTCTTCATGAAAATGTAATGGGACAAGTCTTCATTCACACTATGAGCCTCAGGCAATTACAGATATTAAATACGATCTTCATTAGTGGATTTTCCTTTGTTTGACGACCTATGTGTGTACATTATAAAATGATTCATAAATACCTAAGACCCATTCCTATTGGACAATAGCCTGTCATGTGGCCGGTTGATAAAACCGGGCTGGTCTTAAACACTTTTCCAGTGTCACATGAAATTTGGACTCCTAACTGTTTTATTGTTTGAACATTCACAATTATCACTTGAACATACACAATACTACCAGTGAGTCAGTGTTTCATAGTCCTAAATTGACACTACACTCGAACAACTGCGCTCTGTGCCACATCACGCAAAATGCTCCATGCACACGCCAATCTCCATATAAGGAGTTGTTAACGCCTACTTGTGAGAGGCACATGCACCATAATATAGTTAGACGTGTGTTTAAAAAAACATGAAGTTAAAGTGTTGAACAAAATTGTTGGAAATTTATATTTGTTGGGGCTTATTTTTGACTCTTTGACCGAAAAGGAATTTGGGTCATTCCACCGGGTTGGGGAACAAAGTGTGACGTGACCATATTAAGAAAAGCATGAATGCCTTGCTAGCTGTTGCTCTACATAATATTTGTTGTTCGGTGTTTCACTACTGCAGAAAGTTTGAAATCATTTCAATGTATTTTGCCAAAAATATGAGCAAAAAAAGTCATTTTGGATGTAACATTGACACCGTGTCAGTGTTACATCCAAATATGCCATTTGTACCTTTTTTAAAATTTCTGCGAAACATTACCCAAATTCACTTTGCGTACTTCTTACTATATGTGCAACACAAAGAAAAGCTTTTGTTGTGTTGGTCAGGTATCAAATGGAGCAGAAATGATAGCTTGGTTGTGTGGACGTAACATTTACACGGTGTAAAACCCAAATGTCACACTTCCATTGAGTGATTTTTACACCGTTACATCCACACTTGAGGTATTGTTTCTGCTATATTTGAACCCTGACTATACCAAAACAAAAGCTTTTCTTGGTGCTTAGGTGTCCAGTTGTAAATATGCAATGTCAGTTTGGGTAATATTTTACATACGTGTTAAAAATGGCAAAAAAAAGAATATTTGGATGTAACATTGACACGGTGTCAATGTTACATCCAAATTAATACATTTTTGCTCATATTTTTGTCAACGTACTTCCAAATGATTTCAAACTTTCTCAAGTACTGAAACACCCTCAGACAAATTATGCTGATCAATTGTTTAGAATGCATTGATACTTTTTATAATATAATCAAATATATGGATGTAACATGCACTGCTTCCCAACCCGGTGGAATGACCCATTTATGAATGGGTACAAATATGTGCTTGGCCGGTATTCTACAAGACCGTTTAAGACTGGCTGGGCGCCAATAATATCCCTCACCTTCTGCTTGGGCTGTTATCAGCGTCTGTTGCCCCAGCCGGTCTTAAACAGACTTATGGAAAATTGGCCAAGCACACATTTATTCCTGTTATTTGAATGTTCCTCTACCTGTGCCCAGTGGTAAATCAAATGCTTGACAAAGGTTTAGTTGTCATATCAATTTGAATGGTCAACAAACATGTATTAGGAAGGGCTTATGCTGAATGTACATGTAAGTTTTGTTTTTATGATTGTTATAAAATTCATTACAGAAATATTTTCGCCTTGCGTCCTCACTGAAAACCAAGGAGGATGAAGTCAAGCAGAAACTGCAGAGACAAAAGAGCAAGACAGATGAGGCCTGGAATAGATACCGAGAGGCAGGTCCTAAGAGAGAAGCTCTCAAAAAGGGTCAGTAAGAGAGAAATGAAACACCTCAGTGTAAACCTTAACCCACCTCAATCCTCCTAAATTCTCTTGGCAGTTTTGGAGGATTGAGTATGAATGGTGTGTGAGAAACATGAGGATTTTGGAGTATTGAGGATGAATGGTGTTGAAGAGGAGGATTTTGGTGGATTGAGGGTGAATGCATTTTGAGAAGCAGGACTGTCTGACGGTTTTGAAGGATTGAGTCACTGGGTATCCTTCCTTTGAACATACATGTAAGTGCAAAATTTTGGAGGATTTTGGAGGATTGAGGATGAATGGTGTTGAAGAGGAGGATTTTGGAGGATTGAGGACGAATGCATTTTGAGAAGCAGGACTGTCTGACGGTTTTGAAGGATTGAGTCACTGGGTATCCTTCCTTTGAACATACATGTAAGTGCAAAATTTTGGAGGATTTTGGAGGATTGAGGATGGTTCCAAGCAAATAGGGCCTATGGGGTTAGGGTTAATGATAAATTAGCAAAGGAATAAGAGTGAAACACCAATTGTGGTTGTTGATTGAATCCCCTGTATGCAGAAATTGATGAGCTGTATGAGCGCCGTCGTCAGCTGACATCAGAATTCAGACAGCAAAGCAGTAAGTATCACAATCAACAAAAACAGCATCGAGCCGACAGCTTCAGACGAAAAGAAGAAGAGAAGAAAGCACACGAAGAAGCAAGGAAGAAGCAGTGGTGAGCAACTAAAGTTAACTTCTAAAGTTGCATTCAATATTGAATAGTTTATTGTGCACACTTCACATTTTTATGTGCTTCCTTTTGTCAGGACTGTTGCAAATGGATCATACTAATTACTGTCTACTACCGTTAACTACTGTCAACTGCCACAATTACCGTCAACTTGCTGTCAAATCCTTCAAAACACACTAGCTAAACTGACCAAACTAGGCACAGCGTTAATGAGTCACAATAGAATTTTGACTGTTTGGATATTTTTTTTTTATGAAAATAATTTATTTTTCACACAAAAAATGATCTCTTTGCAGCATTGCAGTTGGTGGCCATCTTGCCTTTGCAGAGCCCAGACTATACCATTTTGAAGTATAGGGTTCAAAATTATTATGCCAAAACGTGCACGCCCTTTGTTGTTGGGGGGGGGGGTGACTGGACACCATTTGACAGTAGGTGGCGTTGACAAAACTGTTCAAAGTAGTAGTATAGACCAAGTGCCCTGTGATGTCATTTTACCAGCAGGCAACCACTGGGCTACCCAAACATTTAAACATCATCATTGACATGTTAGCAGTTTATGTGAACACTATTAAACTATTTTTTTCAAGAGATATACATGCAGTGCAGAAGAGAAGCATAAAAAACTGGTATCATGTGACCGCAGCATCCAATTATGTAAACAAACGTCACATGGTCAAGGTCTGTGGAAACATCTGTCAAGCTTGGTAAAGGGGCAATTCCATGCCACAGTGTACCGCAACCTCAAATATGGTATCAGATTAAAGAGGACAACAAGACCCTTTATTTGATAGCTGTGCCAGTGAGATAGAATGTGGTCAAATGTATTTATAGTCTAAAAATAGTTTTTGGGCTAAAAATACAGATTTTAGGTATTCATTTGGGCATCTTGTTTTTCACATGCAAAATGCATGTGGTATTGTGAGGGAGTGTTTTTAAGGCAGAGGGAAAGGTTCATTTTTTATAAAAACAACAAAGGCTTTAGAATACCATGATTCAGTATGTTTTTTATCATGTGTGTGAAGTTGATCTCAGACACGTAACATCCGTAACTTTATAATGTAACGTCTGTAACAACAGAAACACCATGTTCTCATAACATCACAGTATCTTTTTATAAAATGTTGTTGGTGTTTTTATAGGGTGAAACTATATCTACCACAAATAGTTTGGTGATCGGGCTCACTGTTTTGAAATCACTCAAATTAATTTTCTTTCTTCCTTTCCGTTCATCTGTCTTTTTTTTTCGGACAATAATTTTCTGCGGGTTTCCTTCTTTGAATCAACATCATCCCTTATCCGAAGGTGCGCATATTATTTGCTGATGTCATGATGACATCATCAGGTTTTAAATTACAAGCGATTTTGGTTGAAAAAAGGACCAATTTTGTTAACTTATAACTCTTGAACAAATTGATCACTAATGTTCATACTTTGTAATCAGATCGATCATTAATTGATACATTTTTTTTGTCGTGTACACAATCGCTTGACCTTTAGTGTACTTCCGGGGCTACTGGAAGGTCAAAGTTAAGTGAATTTAAAATATGGACACGGGCCTTAAATCAAAACAAACCAAAAGTTCTTTCAAATTATGGGATGATGATAAAACCTGGTATGGACTTGATTTCTGGTCCGAAGATGTGGAAAACTTGGTGACGTCATCATGACGTCATTAGGTCAAAATTTGAAGAGTACTTTGAACTATAACTTGTCAAATGATTGGAGTACCGTTCTCATTTTTTTGTGATCAGTTAGACATTGCCTATGGCAATATTATGGATCCCCGAGCTCAAAGCCATATGACCTTCACTTGTGGTGTTACTGGAAGTGCAATGAGAATTGAATGTAACTTGAAAACGGAAGCATTTTACTTCAATTAAACAAATTGTGAAAATGTTAAGTGAGGGATGCAAACATACAAAAAAATCGACATGATGATGTCATCACTCGAAGGGGCGCCCCATAGTGGCACGTCAAAGAAAGTTGAACTTTGTTAAATTTAAAAACCATTTGTCAGAATTTTACAAAATTGCCCATACATGTACATATTTTTTGGACAACCGCAACTGACTTTGCGATGATTTAGGATCGTGACGTCATAGAACCAGAAGTAATAATGGGGAGAATTTGAAACTAATCAATTGTCTTGTTTAAATCAAATTCATCATTGAACCATTATCATCCAGTGGCACTGTTCGTAGCACAAATAACAATATCCCGTACAATGTTGACCGTGGGCTTGCTAGTGGTATGACGTCATCAAATCGGAAGTTAGGCAGCCTCGACTGCGTGGGTTGTGTTCGTGGTCCTTCACTAACTCCTGCCTTAATACATAAACGATACTGATTGACTATTCAGAGCATACTGCGCTCCCTACATGCACCCATTGAAACAGATGGAGATAGTGATTCCTTTATTGGGGGACGTTAAGACAAAAGATAAGTTTGGCACAGAAACCGCAAAGTGGTTACTTTTTCCCAAGTCAGCATTTGTAACACAAAATTGCTACTCACGAGTACCTACTTCTACTTGCGCCAGGACAGGTACTCGAGTAGATGAAATCCACGAGAAGAATAACTAGTAGCAAACACTACTCGCGAGTATTCGAGTAGTCGGGTTACTCACCCAGCACTAGTGGCTAAATTGATTGTATTGCACAAAAATCTGGGGGGGGGGGGGTTGATTCAATGGCCCATAATGTGTTACTGAGGGTAAGACATTGTATAACTATAATGTAGCATCCTCTTAGAGACCAAGCACACAGACTTACATTGGATTTTATAGTATGGCGGTGATATTGTGGACTGCAGAACCATGGCGGGTGAAGCCCAGCTGGTGGTAAAAGCCTGACCAATTGCTCACTTGAAAGTACGTTTACCCTGCAGACAAATGTCTAGGTAAAAACTTACAGACAGCATTCCCAGAAAATTATGTGCAGGGGAAAAGAAAGATGAAGAAAAAGACGTGCTTCACTAATTGATATCTGTTGTTGATATCTATATTTGTTGACCGTCTAGTTATGTTGGGTAAAATGTGTCTGCAAGATGATGTCATGGTTTTCTGCAATTCAATTGCAGTGCATATCAGTTGTATGGTTTGAATCTTACAAATACAGTGTACTAGACAACTCTATGCAGATTAGATACATGTATTGAGTATGAAAGCACGTAGCTACATGTATGCTAAGATGGTTCTAATAAAAATTAAGATGTTGTAGCTTGAAAGCATACCCTACACGTTTCTGATGCTCTGATGCTTGAAAATATTGGGTGCACTGTGTTAGTCATTTATCGTTCAAAAGTAGTTTTATTTTTTTTATGCTACAGGCAGGAGTATGAAGCATCTCGTGAACCATATGAAGATGAGAGGCAGTTATGTGCAGCCTTGATTAGATACCTGCAGCGTTATCTGACCCCAGACCAAGACCTTCCACTGGGTGCATCTGCTCTATCACCAGGTCAGATCACCCATTCTATCCTCCTACTGATGTCATGTTTTGTCACCCTACCCCAACACCATGCTGAAGTACTCATTTGAGGTTTTGGAATTGTTTGTACATGCATCTTTAAACAACAGTGTTGTCGCTTCAAATCAACTCCATTTTAGTTTTGTGTGGGAAAAGTTGGGCAATTATTATGTGACACCTGTACAAATTCTTTTCAAGAAGTTTGGTTCTAAATTCAGTGCTTGTTTTTTTTATAGTTGGCCACATTTTTAAATTTATTGAACAATAATTTGCAGCGAACCAGTCTTTAACAGTTCTTGATTTCTGTCCACTCCATGTTGATTGTTTATTGTAAATGGCTTAAATACAGCCACAGGGTAGAGTAGATCATTTGCAGCTACCCAAAAAGGAACTGACCAACTTATTGTGAAAAAGCTTACTTGGTTTAAAGATAGTAATGACACTCTCTGTGAAATCTGGCATGCTGTCATTTTGAAGAAAATAACAAAAGGTCATTTTCAAAGATGTGTCAAGTGACACATTTTTGGAAAATTCTGTGAATCCGCCCCCATATGTTCTAATTTGTATTGGTTTGCAATTTGGCGAATCCATGAATGGGTTTTCTCGTAATATACAGCATTCACAGAGCTAAAACTTCATCAGGTTAGTTTATTAAGCATCTATCTTTAGATGGTGAGCACTTTTGTTGGTTCAAATGAACAAAATGCACAAATTACAAATGGTCTACTCTACCTTTAGTATAGACATTTTTTGGTTGCATGTGAACTTGTAACGAGTCATATGGCGCCTGTGTCAAGTGTCCTTAAATGTGCACGTAACTGGGCAATTTGTGCCTTGTTTGATCATTGGAAACACTGAAAATATCACCTTTTGTAGTGCATACCATGCCGTGTGATCAACACATGTAAGGGCGCCCATTCTTGTCTATGAGCCACAGAGAAGTGTGTCTGATCACATATATGGGGCTCATATTGGTCATTCACAGTCCCTTGCAGTACATGGGTGTAAACTAGTGCCCTCATTTCTAGTCAGTTCGTGTTGGGGTATACTAATGACTATTTATATATATTTTTAAATCACTTTTTACACATGGTTACAAATGATAAGAACCACTTGTTCTCATGATTCGGGGTATTAGCAATATTGTAGTCAATTTGTTTTTTCTGAGTACCGAGTACTGCCGAGTACTTAGGTTGCCGAGTATGAGTACTTGTACTTCTGAGTACAAGTACAGGTCTCCGAGTACAAGTTCTTGTACTTCCGAGTATGAGTACTTTATACGGAAGACTTATTTCGTGATTTTCGTTACGAACAAGTTACAACTTGGGAACATAAACGCCACAAATTCTTCACAGGCTGACAATTTTTGTCAAGTGAACGTGGACAGTACAACGTTCAGCGTGGCAGATTCGTGGTAACGTATGTGTACTATGCATATGTGTACTATGTATATAATACAATCCTAGGCCTGTGTTTATGTCTGTGGGCCTGATGCCGGAACCAGACTAGGGGCCATTTTCCAAACCCCGGCTTTGGCTCCGTCTCTCTTTCTCCATTCATGCAGGTTGGCAATGGGGCTGGACCCAGATAGGGAGCCCAAACCGGGGTTTGGAAAACGGGCCTTGCACCAATCACCCAAGTTAATCGAACGACCATTTTAAGGAACACCTCTGCGTTTTTGGCCGTTTAGCCCACACACGGCAAGTGGGTCTTTGTGCATAATTGGCCCAGGCTCAGTCAGACCGATATACAGACCCACTCATGGCTAGCTGGTAACTGTGTTTGTCTGGACGTGCACAGAGGAAAGTCAGGAAACTTTGATTTCTCCGCAGGCCAATCAACCATTTCAAACTGAAAGTAGCGATAAACAGGGGTGTGAAATCTCCGCTATTTAGCGGATTTCCGCTTTTTTGTTCAGCGTGCCACATTTTGTTTTCCGCTTTTTTTCTTCCGATGGTCCAGATTTCCCACCGCTTTTTCCCCCGCGCGTAAGCTTTGATTTTATTTCCGTTTATTTTATTTTCCGCCGCCGCCGAACGCACGCGATCCGCTCTCTACAACATACACGCAGCTCTGAGATGGGGTGCGTGCAAGCGAGTATTCAATGTGCATGTACATGTACATTTACGTACGTACGTGTGTACTATACGATGCCATGTGCATGCATTTTCAGCTCGAAGCCGCGTGTGTACACAACGTGTAAACAGCATCCAGGGAACCAACAGTCATGGCGCTGTGATTGGCTGCAGATAAATATGAATATTCACACATGCGCCACGAAGCGCGTTGGGACTCTTTGCGGCCGTTCCTGATCTATGCATGTAGTGACACGCGATGATCTCCACAATAACTCGTTGTAAACATCGTCTTGTTGCAAATATAAAGCCTTGAAATAAGACTAGTAAATTGTCGCCGACGTGCCGCGCCGGTAGAGGGCATCATGCGGGGCAAAGTTCATGTGTGCATTTCATTGCATGCACGCATCCTGCTGCGTATTCCGCTGCATGCTGATACGTACGTACGTTAGTGTGTCGTTTCAAATGTTTCGAACGTATTTTGACATTAATTCCGCAAGATGTCAGTGCAACACAAATGTGTTATTATCCCAAGAGGTTCGGAGTTTCATTCGGACATTGACAAGACCGATCCTCAGGTTACGAATCCGTGGAAATGGATTTGGATGGAACACATGGTTAACTTAATGGGCAGAAATTAGGCGACTCGATCAGAAGCCGGGACACGCGATGACGATGTGTATCAATATTCTGCAGTAAGGAGTTAAAATATGGAAAACGGCGGTTGAATTTCCCAGTTTTCATATACAAGTTGGCCATTTAGGAAGGAAAATTTAACTTAAAAACATGCATAAATTGCAAAACATTTTCGACCAATAGTTGGCCCAGGCATGCCAGGGGGCTTTAAAATGCACCACAGAGCATCTACATTTCAATTTTTTTTCGGGGCCCTTGGGCGGGCCCCGAACCCCACGCCGTAAGGGCTTCGCGCTTCGCGCTCGCAGGTTCGGTTATTTACAGGTTCAGCTATTTTCAGCTATTTTTTTTGGACTCCACTTAGCTGGAGTTACCCAGCCCTGAGTTTTATCATTGGGTTGTCATCTAGGGCTGGAGCGTATTTTTCTCGTAACTTGTAGTATATTCAAAAAATTTGGGAAAATGTTCAATTTTGTCCCCGTTACACACTAATTGCAACTGCAACTCACCCCAAACTTGCCTGGAATAACCATTACACAGGTCCTTGAAGTAAAAAATGACCCGATGACTGTTTCATGCACTATTGGTTGCGGTTCCAGTACCAAAGCTGTGATGCGAGTGGTAAACCTTATATTAGTGCATGAAACAGTCATCGGGTGTTACGCTTCCGCGTGACGTCATGCGCCAACAGCCAGCGCAGCCGGCAAAACCGAGTAGTTGACAGCGATCGCTCTCTGTGCCTGTTAATCGACCGCCATTCATTGTACACAATTTTTTTTGTGCACAAACCAATTGTGGTCCTGGCCAATCCAGCAAGGTTGTCAAGTTAGCGGTTATACCTCCTGTTTTCACTGCAATTGTAGGCTGAATCTTCATCGTGGATCGTTTTTTACTTCAAGGACCTGTGTAATGGTTATTCCAGGCAAGTTTGGGGTGAGTTGCAGTTGCAATTAGTGTGTAACGGGGACAGAATTGAACATTTTCCAAAAATTTTTGAATATACTACAAGTTACGAGAAAAATACGCTCCAGCCCTAGATGACAACCCAATGATAAAACTCAGGGCTGGGTAACTCCAGCTAGACTCCACTCACACCCCTGGATAAAATAAGGCTGTGGTAAGTCAAGCTATACCATTTTTTTTCGAGTGCTGCCATTTGAGTACGAGTACCTTGATGATTGAGTACAATTGTGACATGTCAAGTACAAGTACCTTGCTGTCCGACTACAAGTACCTTGCTGTCCGACTACAAGTACCATCATGTCGAGTACGAGTACTTTGACAAACGAGTATGAGTACAAGTACTCTAAAAAGTACTCAAGTAGTACTCGAGTACGAGTACTACAACACTGGGTATTAGACATGGACTTGTTTTCAGATTATATATTACAGCTGCTTTTCCCAATTCTTTGGTTGATACTAAAGTACAACCAAAGGGCAAAGCACCCAAAAGATATATCTGAGACTGGGAGACCATGAATCCAATATGCTCTGGACTATGCTAACATTTGTGCTTTGGATTGTAGGTACTGTACTGCCATTTATTATCTGTGTTGTTGATGTCATGTCTCTTATTTTACAGTGCAATCTCCTACTTCATCTGTTTCCGCCTCAATCAGTGGGAGAGATCAAGATGAAATGGCGGAGTATGTTATTCTTAAGAAGAAGACCGATGGCAATGATGTATTCCTCCCAACAACATCAGCCAAGAAGAAACGAGCCATTAGAAAGCACAATCGCAAATCATCCTGGCTGGTAGGTTACAGTAAAAACTTCAGCTATAGTCTATTGAATAATGGGTTGAATAGAAGCAAATGTGCCCCCCCCCCCCAGTATTGACCAGCTGATGAATTATTTTGAATAACTATGCATGTACGCATACTTCTTGCATGCTGCATTTGTAGTTCTCTGTATTAAGAGCTGGTAATACTGGGGTGGGTTTTTGGATGTGCAATATCAGAGATGAAACTTTCAGATTTTATTCAGAATTTCAACTTTTTCCAATTTCTTTCAAAAAGTCTGATTTTTCTGATGATCTTTTCTTTGCAAGATCTGATTTATAAAATTTAACTTTCAACTAATTTGATGGTAGTCAAAACACAGTTTGTTTGGTAGAAGCATGTAAGAAAGCTCTGATTGTAGTAGTTAATGGCTGGATATATAATATGCCTGAAACTACGTAGCAGAGCTTCCAGGCTGTTGCGCTTGGAGATCCACTGCAGTAAACTCCACATATTGTGTTATGTTCATGGGTTCCAGATTTAATTGTACAAATTGCAATGCTTTAGAAATCACGATGAATCAATAATGGATAAGTGATAAGCACTTAGTAATTAAGTGCCAGCACTTGCGAGAAGTTTGAACCACAATTATAAAAAATCTTGTGTTTTTTTTTTCAAGGAAAAGCTTTCGGGATTTTGCAAGGGGCATCGTTTATCACAATACCATCCTGTATGCCTGCCAAGAAGTTAGAATATGTTTTACATACATTTGCCATGATTGGCATGATGGAATTTTTTTGCTGTAATTTGGTTGATTTATCGATAGCTAAAATTCTGATGCAAGTGGAGCCTACTAGACGACATAGCCATTTATTTTCCACAATTATCGCAAATTCCTTCACAAAATTCAAACTTGTGCTTATAAACACATTGTAAAGCCTGCATGTCGTTCCAGGCTAGAGGTGTTCATGTACATGTTCATGAACATACATGCTGGAACTGTGGACATGCACTTTTTCCCTGGGGAATGATTGGTGCCATGCAGTAGTTTTTAGTGCTGCACAGTAAGGCAATGGAACCAGCAATTTTTCTTTAACTCTGAATATTGTGTTTATGCGAGCAAGAGAAAGTTGAACAGTCTCAGAAAATATGTCATTCCTAGGCTTCCTTTTGATTAACGATGGCAGATAGAACATGCAGCAAAATGCTTATGATGCTAAACTAACTTTTGATAAGCAAATTTTGGGGTAAAAAAAACATGAAAGTATCAATGATATTTTTGAGTAAGACATGGAGTGAGAGAGAAATTGCAGTTTTCAAAATGATTAGGCTGATAAAGCAATGGTGTCAATTTCAGCAATTGACTTTTATATATATTTTTTTCGGTGGGGGGGGGGGGAGGGGAAAATATTGTGTCGTAGCAATTGTATTGTGAAATAGTGCAATGTTAGCCATAGTTCTTTCAACGTATGGATTCAGGAAGTAGAGCTCTGTCAGCCAGCACATGTTTTGCTACTAATAACATTTTTATTTCTGGTGTACCAGTGTACCAGATCTTAATGAAGCTAACACTGATCTGTAAGTATAACACTAGTGCATAATTGTAACACCAAACATGAATTTGATTATGAGCTGTAATACTGATATTGTATTACAGAGTAAACCAATCCGCCATACCGCCCAGATTTTCAGTCAGTTTGAGACGCTTGGTCTTCATGCTCCATCCTGCATGTCTGAAGTATCTGATGCTATTGTCCAGCTCACTGCTAAGAAGGTAAGTCCTCGTATTTAAAGTATCATTTTAGAAACCTCAACATTGACTTTGTGGAGTATTTAGCAGGGGCGGCAGGGGGGGGGGGGGGGGGCACTTGCCCCCCAGATTTTCCCAGGCCAACAAAAGTGCCCCTCTCACGGTTATAAATGTGCCCACTCGAAATGAAAACAAACTGCCCCTCAAACCCTCTCGCATTAACAAGATTTTGCACCTTTTCGAGATGGAAAACTACCCCTCGGAAGCACAAGTACTCTCTCACAATTATTAATAAAATTGTGCCCCTCTCCAGATGGAAAATTGGCCGTGCAAAACAATAGTGCTCCTCTCGCGATAACTTATTGAGATGGAAAACTGCCCCTCGAAAGCACAATTAGTGCCTCACTCGCAACTTTAAACTTTTGCCCCTTTCAAGATGGAAAGCTGGCCCCTACAAAATAATAGTGCTCTTCACGCGAATAAAATGGTCACTGAACTGGCCATCAAAAGCAACAGTGCCCATCTCGCGATAAAAAAAAGTCTCTCTACATAACTAGGTAAAGAAACATGGAGCAAGATGGACAACGTATTCATAATTTGTTCCTCATATAGTTTATAGCAAAATGAACGGGACCATATGCTTTTCCTCCACTTTCACGACGACAAAAGGTGCCCCTTTTTCTGAGCAAGTGCTCCTTTTTGGTGATGCCCCCCAGTTTGAAAAGCGTTCCACCGCCCCTGGTATTTAGCAAATCAATTTTTATCATGAACAGTTTCTAATCAGTGATGACAATAGAAACTCCTTCACATGAAAAAAGTCCCCAGATTGCATGCTTTATATTTGCGCTTTCTGTTTTCATCTTCTAAGATAAAGACACGCTTGGTTTTTTTTAGTGAAGGGTAGAAACAAATTCTGGATGAAATTATATGAAATTTTAATCCGAGTAGTAATGTTATCAGTTAGAAGCTGTTCACTATCAACCGATTTGTGTTAAACAAGTTTTGTAATGATTAAATGCGAGTGCTACCAAAAATTGAATATTTATCAATACAGGAGGAGTATGAGGTTGCATGCAAAGAAACTGCGCCTGCCAGTCATAAACTGTCACCAGGAGTGACCAGTCAAGAGACTGGCACCTTACCAACAATCACATCATGTGCCTCAGCTCATCACACAGTCACATCAAACACACAGTCCATGGATTCAAAGCATGATGATTCACACAGTGATTGCCGGCATTTCAACTTGACAAAGCTGGGCAGTAATCTGCCACGCATAGACATTCAGAGTGCTCAGGAGCACAATAAGCAGCGGCAAGCAAACAGTACCCCTGGGGTGGAGTCTGCGCCTGAAACACCCAACAGCGAGGGCAGCATACCACGGGAAGCCGATGGGGACTTGGAATCAGTGGACTCTGGGATAGGAATACATAGGTCTAAAGGTTGCTCATCAGTCATTCCTCCTGCACCTGCAAGTCAGGGTAATAAATGCATAGACACCAATGCAAATACCAGTCATGATGGTAGCAGTCAAGAACCTGCAACACGGGTACCCACGGCTACCCAGTATGCATTTATGATGTCACAGGATCCAGTGGAGGGAAACACACAGGGAAATACTGCCAGTATTCTTAGACAGAAGGAAGCACCATTCTCTCACGAGAGCGATTTAATGGTGCAGGATGCATTATGATGTCATTTTATCGCGTTTTACATGTACACATAGTGCTGAATTTTGGAGTTTTGTGTATAAAGTGTGCATGGGATAGAGTTGACCAAGTCCAAACCAATCCTGTACTTCGTAAACATATTGGTATAACATATGTATGGCATGCAAATCAGTTTTTAATTGCTACATGTCATGCTTTTAAATAAACCATAAACCAATAAACCAACATTTAACACAAAGCTGTTCCTGCAAGCTGTGTGGGATGGTCGAAATGCATTGTCGCCTGATGAGTGACAGAACTTTGACCTGAGGTTCAGCTCCGAAAGCAAAATGGAACGAAAGTTGGTTTCGGGTTGAGGTAGTTGAGTTGGGCTTTTACACAACTTTACTTATTTAGAAAGAAAAAGCACAGACATTGAGTCCTATCGGTGGGCCATGTTCTCACCCTCACATTTTTTGTTGGTAAATGATTATATTCTGGCAAACTGTCAACGGCAGAAATCTCCACGGCATAATGTAGTGTAGTTCACTGCTGCTACTTTGAATCACGTTGGTAAGAGAGTGCAGTTGCTATCAAACATGAATTATTGCCCATTATTTTGTATTAAAATTACCATGTCACAATAATCTGTGTTAAATAGGCTGACACGGTTGGTTGAGTTTATGAGTTTGGTCTTCGAGGTGAGAAATTTGTACATGACTTTTAGAACAGTGCTTTTTATTTGTAGATATCTGAGACAATCTAGTCATTCCAATTGGATGCAAGTCTGTCATGTGGGGATGCACTGAGATTTAGGAAACTTGCCTTTGGGCATGATCTCTGGCTACATGGCATATAGGTTTATGGCTTCTGACTAGTGCCCCACTAACAAAAACAGTGACAAATCGGGGAACCGCCAACATAGGGCTGGATGGCTCAGTTGGCAGAGCATTGGAATTGCAATCCGGAGGTCGCAGGTTCAAACACTGCTCCAGTCTTTTTCTTTGTTTAACTTTAAAAACTGGATGATGTTATGTGTATTATTTAGACCTTTGAAAGTAGCCTCATTCCTCCCTTGTCAATGGCTAATCATGCTGAACTACAAGTGTGAAGTAAGTGGTAAATATGCATACCAATATATTGTAATATTTTTCATCATGGCCCACATTAAGGTACATTCTTCTCACACAAAGATGTTGTAGATTTGTGTACTGACAGTTGAGGAGTAGTTGTGTTTTCTCCACGTTAAACAATATGTGATTACAGACCAGTTTATGCATGTGATGTGTTCTTTGTTTTCTGCCATGATAAAGCCAAACAAGTGCAACAGTTACAAACCACCGGTGTAATGGAACAATGGCTCGGTGTGATAGTTTTGCATTCCATACAAGTGTTCATTTATGCAGGTCCTCTCAAAAGTTATCTTACCTTTTCATTCATATTTTAACATTTTCATATTTGTTGCAAGTGAAATGAGGATGTGGTATGTTTGTACAGTATACCTGCAGTGGGCCTAGGTCAACTGATGAATATATAAGGAAGCTTTGGCTCCTCCTCAGATCAATCAAATTAAAATTCTAAGTATTTTTAGAAATTGCCAAATGCTGACCTGACAATGCAAATAATTGTATCTGGACTACTTGTAAGCCACCTGAACTTTTACTTATAAGCATTATTTGAGTTGTTTAGCCATAGCAAAATGGGAACATTATTTAGAAAAAAGCAGCCAACAGGGCCAGCAATGATTAATGGAGTATTCAAACAACCAGTTGGACTGTTGGTCACTATTTTTCAGTTTGATTAACCCTAACTCCCCAGCCTAATTTACTAGCAACCATACCCATTCTGGCAAATTCCAACACCCACATGGGAAATTGTACATACACACTGTTGGACTTAGTTTCTGGAGGTATGCCAACCCCAGTGTAAAAGACCATCGGTTTAGGGGTACTGTACCTATCCCACCAGAACAAAACCTGCTGTTGGACTTTGATGGGTTGAGTTTGGTTAGGGCTAATCAAATTCCACCTTTTGAAAAAGAAGGCTTCTTGTCATAAGGCAGATTCTGCGAGCCAAAGACCCTCAACAATTGCATGTACAAAACTAGTGGGACAAGCACAAAGACAGCTCGAAGTATTTAGTTTCAATAATGTTGAGATCTTGTGAAAGGTGCTTGAATGATTGGTTATTGAAACCTCCATTGTCAGTATCATTACCAACTGATATTCCCCCAAAATCAGTTGTTGATTTGTTTATAGCCATAACCAAAAAGTGAGTGATTTATCGATCCAAATAGGGAACTTTTAATTTTTGCTTGAAAAATATCTACAAACAGGATTTTGAAGTCAGTAGAGTTTACAGAACTGCTGTGGGAAGCCATTTCTTCTGATACACTATGGAAAAAAAGAGAGTTTAAGTGTTAACAAAATTACCAAAAGAACATAGAGATTGCAGGTGCCTGTCTTTGAGATCTATCTAACACCCGTTCCCAAGGTAACCATATTTAAGTGAATGGTGTTTGATATATATATCCAAATTGTCACATAGAGTGCATTTTAGGTGATTTAAGCCGATATTCATTTGAACTATTTGAAATGTTTCTCCAAGGTCCCCACAATTTCCTTTTCCTTAAAAAAATCCCATATATTCTTGATAGATGTCTTACAGTAGCTGAAAAAATGGAATCCTCAAGATTGATTATTTAAGCCCTTAAAAATTATTGAGAGCTTTGCCTGAATGATTCTCTACAAAATGAAAATGTTTGTACAAATCATGTTGGGGAAAGATAATATATGGTAAATCCTTTTCAGTGTGTGGAGACTTTTAATCATTGGGGTAGGGGGTGCAATGGGGAGAATTAGGGAGTTCTGAAGTAAAGTCATGTCCAATTGTCATTCTATAAGTAGAAGTGACTGAATACATTATGTGATGTACTTATTTTTCTTACAATAAAGGCTTCACTTGTCAGAAAAGTTCGGGATAGGCAAACAGGACAACTTTTTATGAGAAACAGCTATCATTTCCCCATCACCTGTCGGGTTTAGTGCCATGGTTTTCAATAGATGTATTCAAAATAATGCATATATACATGTTTATGTGCATGTATTACATGTAATGCAATATACATGTAGTTGAATGTTACTTCTATTGACGACAGAATCAGTGGATTGGGAGCTGAATCAGGATTGGTCTGTATCAGGATTGGTAGAAAGACCAATCTTTATTTATTAATGAGAAATATAATACAATGCATTGACATTTGACATTTTCTGGTGTAATTTATATGGTATTAATTATCAGCAGATAATGCTGATAAAAAAATACAGCATTTTTAACATAGTTTAATGTAAAGGTTTTACAAAAAATGGAATAAATGAAAATGCAAATCTAAATGTGTGTTGCAATGGTCAATGAAATCTGTCACTACTCAAAAGGGATGTGTGTATCATGCCTTGATTGTTATTTAAATGGCATTAGGGTGGGGCTATCTTTCCATTGAGATCATGAGCGACAATTTCTTGTTAAAATGGGGGGGGGGGGGACCAACTCCTTGGGAAATTGCAAAGAAAATTTGGGGTGGGGGTGGGGAAAGACGCAATTTGCTTATAGGAGGCATTGTTTAAACATGTATGGCTGTCTAGTGATGTATGTATTATTTTGAGAAAATAGCTCTATGGTCTATACCTACTGGAAGAAATCATTGTCGCATTTCTCCCCCCCCCCCCCCCCCCCCCCGCATAAGAAATACATGTATTGGAGATGGAGAGCACATGGTCCCTCTTCCCTGGGGATCGCCACACTGCAATGAATATTCAGGTCGTGATTGACTCCTGAGGAGTGCTAATTTTAGGAATTCATTTCTACATGCAAGAACCAAATCACCAAGAACGCCCCTGTCAACCATACAAATTGAACAGAAAGTGAAAGAGGATTAATCAAGCTTCAATTTTATGTTGTCTTGCTTGAACACTTTGACTTGAGAGTTGTGAGAAATTTTTCCTGATTTATTTTTGTGTGGCAAGTTAGTACTTTACAAGGATCGTTTATAGGGGAAAATCGGACACTACGGACAGTCCGCTGAAAAAGGTAAAACAGGAAGCACTTGCTCGGGGAAGGGCGCCCCTAGCGTTAGGTAGGTAAAAAAAAAAGCAGATTTGCTCTTAGACTGTTTCTCCTCCCCCCAAAAAATATGGGGACCGGACCGGTTGTCGGCTGCTATTTAAAGCCATTGATTGGATCACCTCTGCGCGCGCAGTTTGGCTACGTGCATGGACGGTGGTGATTAATAGAGCAAGGAGCGTGGAGATAGCTCCATGATTGAACACACTTACCAGAAAAAATAATTCAAGTTTGTCTTAATTTCCACACAAAAAGTACGCAAAATCATCAATGTCTCCAGGAAGGCAACTTTCAAGTATTTCAACTGCATAGGTTTAAATATACTGAGCATTAAGTTTCCTCTCTTTATTGATATTTGCCAGAGCACTTTCAGACCTGTACACGTCATGCATACATTTGCATGATGCCTCCTGATGTATGCAAGATTTACCGCTAGCTACTTGTCCCAGTATTTGAAGTCCGAATGAAAATTAGAACAGGGAACCAGAATATAAGTATAGGTTATTTTTTCCCCAAAATGTTCCGCGGTAGCTCCAACAGCGCCCTCTATTTCTGCACCTCCTCAATTTTTTTTTACCAAAGAGCACCAAGGAATGGGAAATTGCACCAAGGCAAATGATCGAAAGCACCAAGGCAAATTATGGAGGACACCAATGTACATGAGGACACCAAAAAAGCAAAATAGTACCCAACCTTGTGGGTACAATCCAAGCTTGAAGAAGAAAAAAAAAAGGCAAAAAAAAAAAAAAAAAAAGCCGCGTCGCCGCGTCAATTCCGGAACTTTGGTCTGACCAGAGACCGAATATTTTTTTTTTTGGCCTTACACTGGCGTTAGCAATGTCTGCCAATCTTTTCAAGCCTCACAAATGTTAATAAGGTTCCTATCCATTATGGTGTGCAGTAAAAATTTGCGTAAAAGCCTCCTTCACGAGTTATTGATAAATATCACCCTTTTTGCCGGCTTCCATTGGTCGATACCGAGACCCACGCCAAGTCACGCCGAGTGACGCTAATATGCTAATATGCGATCGTCCATTGTGTGGCGCATGGCCGGGCCGAAATCGGCCTACGGTGGTATTCCTCGTCGACATTTTTCTTAGAGATGATTCAATGTGCAACGCAAGCGTTAGCAACAACAGATTAAGCTGAAATTCGGAATATACTTAGATGATATAAGTGTTCAACTACTCGTGAAATAACAACTTTCGTAAATTCCTAGAAATTGATATAAATACATAGATTTGGGGACGTTTTCGAACGATTTCTTGCAGATTTGAAGGTCAGCTTTACCAGTAACCAGTATTGCCGTTTCGGCATCAATGACGGCGATTTTTTCACTGACATGAAGTTTAGAATTTCTTCTTCCGTTATATTTCAACATTTCAATCATACTGAGCATATTTTCTGAGAAACCAACGTTCAAAATGCCATGTTTTGGGGTGCATGCATTTCACTGCTCTGTTAGCTGTGTTAGCAACAATAAGGTTGATCTCAATATTTTTTTCATTCAAATTCATGAACGGTTTACTTCAATTTCGTCTTGAAAACTCATGATCTTGCATACCCCATGTTCAATTTCGTCTTTGGTCGCTCATTTTCGCACTTTGTTCAAACAATTTCATACCTTAGCCATACCTTTTAGTGAGACAATTCAATTTCGTCGTCTGCAATTACCGAACGTACGAAATATAACCAATTCGTCATTTTGCAATCAATGTTATATAAGTTTCATTCAAATTCGTCTCATGATTGTATGCCATCTTCGGTATTTTTACGTTTTCATTTCTACTTAAACATAATTACTTTATTTTGTTGTGTCTGTTTAGTACCTTATTTAACGTTGGTCTATATAAAATAAGCATTTTTCATGTAATAATTATTATGCAAAATTGTTATCTTTTTCAATACTTATTTTGTTTATCCATTTAGTTCAACAATTGTATGCGTCAACAACGGAACAAAATGAGGTACATGTATACACAGGCAAATGAAAATGCATGACTTTTCATTTCTTAGAAGACATGAGTAGGCCTATTAGGTACTTATAAAAGGCAAAATGCATTCATATTTTAACATCTTTCGAAAACAGTCAATTAACTTCTTCTTCTTCTTGTCCGTTGGATTGGTTGTTAAACCTTCAACTTCTTGTCCTGCAATAGGCCCTACACCGTGCCAAATACGTCTGTGCATGGTACACCAGTGCGCATAAAGAGTTGTGTATGTGCTTATTTTGTCTGATGAATTTGATCGAAAATGTCTTGAAATCGATTGAAAAAAAGACGAATTCAATCCTTAAATTATGTATGGCCAGCAGGTGAGGCGAATTCCATTGAAATTTGACGACATCGAATGGACAAATGTTGAAATCGATTGACCTTTGACCAATTAGAATGACTAACGACTAAATTAATGGTAGCATTTACGCGTTCCAGTCTTCTCGAGACGAAATTGAAGTTAACCGTTTATGAATTTGAATGAAAAAAAGTTTTAAAATGTGCGGGGAAGCATATGTGTCACACACACACAACGTGTACCGCATATTGAAAGGGCACGGCTGGAAATACGCATGCGTCTGCCACAAAATGTCCGCTGTGTTAGAAGTAAAACAACCAGGATTTCCCGTGTTTTTTTTTCTCGGGAACAGTGCGACATTGGGTTAGTTTTATTTCAACTACCTTTGAAATAGGGATAGTAAACAATCCAAAACATAAATTTTCGGGGATTCCAGGCCATAATGTCTTTTTAATAATTTTCCTTTTCACACCTTGCGGTTGCATAACAGCCACATCATGAAGCCGCCCGGTACAATATAGGTACTTATCTTCAAGTAAACTTGAATCCTCGATCCTGATTGGTCGATCCATGGCAACAAGCCGTGCTACATATAACCATGTACATGGTTAATGTAGCACGGCTTGTTGCCATGGATCGACCAATCAAGATCGAGGATTCAAGTTTACTTGAAGATAACTTATAATGTAGTGTTGTGAATTGAACATCAAAATATGCCTGACTAAACTAACCCACTAACATTGGAATGATTGGAATCCAACTTTGCTACTCGTTTAATGTTCGCTAACTCATTAATTTGGGACAAAGAGTGTGCATAAGAGACTGGGTCTATATAAACATGTAATATATAGGTTTTCCCGATTATTTTAACACTTGTATCACACGAATTAATTCGAATTCCCTATATCGATGCTTTAATTTCGTCTCCGAACATCACCAAGCTCAATTCTGAATTTGAATTTCAGAAAGCCACTACCAGATTTGATTAAGGTTCAGTATGATTCAAATTTTTAGCATTGTCCTCAATTTGTCAAATTTGCTCGTGAAGCAATCGGCGTTCAATTGAAATAGCACATTCGTTTTTTTGTCATTCGTTTTAATGTTGTCATTACATTTTGTCTGTGGTGACTTAAACGTTCAATTAAAAATGTGCCAAATATTTGGACTTTTTGAAGAATTGTGCTCATTAATTAAATTTAATTTTCAACAAATATTTCCTTATATAAAATGAAAGTAGTTAGCTGGAAGTTTTGATTTTTTTACAATTAACATTAGAATAAGGAATATAACTTTCACAATATGCTCTTTGCTTTATTAGCACATGGAAATTAAGCATGAAGATGAAACACATTCGTAATGTTGCTCTTTGATATATATGTACATGAATAAAACAACAGTAAGGTATGTCTAAGAGCAACATTAAGAAGGTGTTTGACCTTAATGCTTAGTGTCCATGTCATAAGTGAAGGGCATATTGTTAAATGTCTATTCCTGACTCTAATGTTAATTGTGAAACACAGAAATAAAAATTCAAAGATTACAGCTAACTACTTTTTATTGTACATATAGGGAAATAGATGTTGAAATTATCATTGTTTTAATGCGCACAATTCTTCCAATGAGTCTAAAGATTGGGCACATTTACTAATCGTATACGTTTTAAGTCACCAGAAACGAAATGTAACGACAACAACATTAAAACGAACGACAAAAAACGAATTTGCTTTTTCAATTCAACGCCGATTGCTACACGAGACGAATTTGACAAATTTAGGACGAATCGGTATGCTAAAACAATTGAATTTATATACTGAACCTTAAATGAAATCTAGTGGTGGCTTTCTGAAATTCAAATTGAGAACTGAGCTTGGCGATGTTCGGGGGCGAAATTAAAGTATCAATATAAGGAATTCGTGTGATACAAGTGTTAAAATAACCGGGAAAACTTATATTAAAACGTTCTAGTTGTTGAAGCAACTTCATATAATACTTTTAGAAATGTTTAACTGAATCTACTGATCCTTCAACCTTATCATGAAATCGCCGCTCCTATATAGTTATAATGTTACTAGTAGAGCCTGACGGACCATTTTTACAATGCATTTTTTTATGATGCCGTTCCCCGGTATATATTGGAGGCATTATTGGAGATAATCTCCCGCCATCGATCCCGTCTTCAGTTTTTAGCTTGTGGATGTTTGTCTACACCTTCAATGCGTTGAGATACTTCAGAGGAAAATGTGGAGTCGGTGTATAGTTACACGACTGCGCTCTCTATATTACCGCCCTCTTTGGGAAAATTTAAAGAGGTTGTGGAATGCTCGAAGACATTTCCGTCATTTTTCGGGTATATGTAGCCTAAGGTGTGATGAAATAAAAACGACTATTGTTTCTGTCATGAAATGAGTACAAAAGGTACTTTTGAGAGCTGTTTTTCAGGTCCAGTTTCGACCCGAACGTGCAACTGTGTAAAAGTCGTCGTTGCGGGCAGCAAACAAAACACAGTAAATCGTGACGTAATAAACAGGACTCGTGTATGCTACTGTGCATCGGGAGTCCTGTTTATTACGTCACGATTTACTGTGTTTTGTTTGCTGCCCGCAACGACGACTTTTACACAGTTGCACGTTCGGGTCGAAACTGGACCTGAAAAACAGCTCTCAAAAGTACCTTTTGTACTCATTTCATGACAGAAACAATAGTCGTTTTTATTTCATCACACCTTAGGCTACATATACCCGAAAAATGACGGAAATGTCTTCGAGCATTCCACAACCTCTTTAACCCTTCCGTAAGTGGACGGGGCCAAGTAAACATAATATACGATCTGAGTAACCCGACTGGGCCACTTTTAATTTTAATAACTCTAATTGAGGCAGGTTTCAGGTCATTTTGATGATTGGAACTTGCTTTACAATTATTTTTGGAACAGTCTAGAGTTTAATTTATCACTATTTAAATCATGCGACGTGACAGCAGATGTCCCATTAAATGTGTATGTGGACAACAAAATAATGGGGGGGGGGGGTTATTGGTGGCAGGCGTACCCAACAATATATTTACATGGAACATGCCCGGGATTGCCGCCTAGGTAACACAATACCATCATGCGCTTGTGCGATACATAGTAGCCATATACGCGGACCTAAAAATAATAATGTCACTTGCAGTTTTGTGGCCGTATGTCTGTCTTTCTCGTCAAAGCTTCGTCACACAGAGCGGACCCAATGAGAAATAGACCGGGACCACTTACTTAAAGGGAATGTACAACATTTGCTTTTGCTTAAAATGAAATGCAGCAATTTGTAGACGATGGTGAATTATAAGGTCAGATAATCAGTCTAGCTGGCTTGTACCCCTTCACAGTTGTGCAATCAATTGCAAAGAAAATGTGGAATAACTAAATACGAAAAATTAGGAGCAGTTGTTGAAAAAAGGTAGTTTTCTCCAACGCTGGTCGGCCGACCAGCGTTGGAAATTGATACAAAAATACCACTTTACTTAAAAATGTCAGTACACCAGGAGCCAAGATTGTACGGGATGCTTTAGACTGTCATTCCCCAACAGTCCAGTAACGAATTTCGTGGTATTTAATCATTTTGTTTTTTGATGTTTGCAAATGTTGTATCTTCTCTTTAATCGAATGTCAGAAGCTTGCTACCGCAACGAGAACCTCCTGGCATTCAAATTCATGCGAGTCACACCGAAGTCTTTGAGTGGGTTATCCAAACCCGGCAGGAACACTCCTATAACTGGGGTATCACACAGTCCAGTCTTTTGTTCGATTTCTTCCTCCATGCTATATGCTGCATCTTCTATCAACTCTTTATGCGCACTGATGCTCCTTTGAAGCCTCAGTTGCTGAATCTCACTGCGTAGGCGCATCAGTTGCATAGCTAGCACATGATCCTGTGACTTCATCGCCGCCTGTATTTGGAAAAGAACGAAAACATTCTCGTAATCACTCTTTTATCTCTTCTGGGCTTCAGTGTAAACTTTATGGGACTAGTTCTCGTTCTATTTTCTATTTATTATTTTAGAGGTTGGTCTTTTGGGGGTCCCGGGTCATCCCCTTCCCTGTCAACCATGTCAACACAACAGCATTCAATACAATATGTTTATCAATAGCGAACATGTTATAAAGATGGGTGATGTATATGGAACACACAGGCTTGACAAGTCAATTACAAAGAGTACGTCTTCGTGGCCTCGTTTTCCTTTTTTTCTATCCGTTAAATCTACACTTTTTTATGGCTGACTTCTGGCTTGAAGTCCCAAACAAGTTGACCAAAGAATGAAGTATGCTTGTAAGGATCCATGTTTTTACACCCGGCCAGTGAAGTATGGACTTGGGAGGTGGTGATTATTACATGCATTTGTTTTCTAGCAGAATGATAGATGTGTTTTTGAGTGATGTGTTTTTGAGTGACCGCTGCACTTCTATTGATGTGGGAGATCTTAGAACACGCCTTTATTGTGTTTGATAGTCATCATATTTTTCTTTCATTTCTTTGGGGTTTGTTTTAGTTTGATTTTCTTCCTGTTGCTATTGCTGCTGCTGCTGTAAGTGGTGGTTATTATTTGATTCACACGAGTGATCAAAGACGCAAGAAACTTGTGATTTTTACGTTAAGATACACTTACATCGGCGACATGAAGTTCGCATGAAGTTACGTGAACGGTTCGTCACGTGACAGTTCTCAACAAATGGAATGTCACAACAATGGTTTCATTGAAAAAAACACCGAAAATTGTTAAAAGGATTAAGAAATACATTACACTCTGTAGCAAAAATCACCTGAAATATTATAGCTATTCTCAACAGAACGTCACGTCTTGTAATCTTTATGGGCTCAGCAATAAGCGCCCTCAAACACAAGAAGTATGAGGGACTCAAACACGCGCATGTTCGTGCACGCCCCGGCTACACACAGTTCTCATAATCACAGGGCGATGTTTGATCGCGCGCTTGGCCATTCATTTTAGCTATTCTTCGCTTCATGTATGTGTTCCATTTTTACCTCCAAACGACTTTTGAACAAACATTTTTTCGTCCTCAGCAACAGTTTTATTATAGTCAAGTAAATAAGATATGGGTAGACCTTTGACTCAACACTCCTGCCATACATCTCGTTGTGGGCCCACATAAGTGTCACTTTGTAAATACGCGTCGCGCGCACTATATACAGGGAGCGGTAGTTGTATCGCTGCGTGAGACCATGTCAATACGGAGTCACAATGTTCAGACTTCCCTAATTATAGATAGCAATACTTTGACACACTTACAATACACGCTTACAATACACATGATAATTCAGTGAATTAACTTTACTCTTGCTCCACAAAATACAACGGCCCTTAACCCAAAGTGTTTTTGCCATAAATTTAAGATGTCATTTACAATTCCATATCTTAATTTTAAGTAGTTTTTTGGGGGCTGGCGACGGCTTGGTCAAAACTTCCGCTAGTCTCGACACGTGTGTATAGAGTCACGTACGCTGATCGCAATGGTATGGTACCCATAATTCTTTGCGTTTCCTACTCAATATTATGAGAACGAGATCAACCATCACCAGCGCTCTTGAATAGGGCGATGGGAATAAGCGAATTGAGAAACAAGAAACACTGCAACTATACATTTCAATTAATGGATGACCTACGACAGTTAATAGGAAGGCTCTAGATAGGTCTATTGGCATTCGGGTATATCTCGCGACCTCAGATGACCTTACCGTTTTTAATCTGTGTGTATATTTATCTCCATTGCCATTGACATTGATAATATGTAGAATTTGAAGTGTATGTTTACTGAATTTTATTTTGAAATCTTCGAACATTGAAAACAATGCATTTTGGTCAAAAAGTGAATTTTAATAAATTGGATATCGCTTTGAGGGTTTAATTTTGCAAAAGCAGAGGACATCATTTTTGCAATTGGTAACTTGTGTTTTCTTTTGGAAGTTGTGGTCTTGCTAATAAATTTGGTTTGATTTCTCCAGATACTGCTAAAGAAATCAAGGTATCATGACCAGTCAAAGCTTGACTTTGGATTACAATCGGATGACGAATATTTTGGAAGACATCCACTTACCAGTTCGTCTTTGATCCAATCGATAGATCGTTGCAGTGCCTCCTTCCTTTCTGCGTCTGTTTTTTCGCAACACTCCAGGCATCTACGGAGGCCGTCGTCAGAGTCACCAGCACAGTCACCGTTCTGCAAAAATGGTGGCTTCTCCAAAGTCGCTTTCCATTCCACGATGGATGGACGAGTCGTGGTGAGGTGTAGTCTAGTTGTAACACTCTTTAGTTTGTCCAACTCGGTTAAACTTTCCTCGTCCTCATGGATCGTTTGCAACTCGCAGGATTCCCTGAATTTAGGCATGGAGCTTTTGCGATTGTGCAGCAGGAGTTCTGAAGAGCCCATGTTGGTTTAGTTGGGGGATATTCCAAGTAGTTTGCTGTTCAGGCGTTCATTTCACATCATTAACTGATGAACTGAAACAAATTCGATGATCTCACCAGAGGGACTCCGATTCTCGAATACCTGGGTTATATCCAGTAATTAAGTGCACGGTATATCACACAGACACCGCTAACAAAGTACGTTAACAGGAAACTGTGTTAGGCCGCGTTCTATCTATGCACAGGAAGCGGTCATCAGATGATGGTATCACTCACAGGAATCAAGTCCGACTTTTGTCTCGTTATGTAAGACGAATCTATTTTAATTTCTCACAGGAAGATAGTTGTTTACAACAGATTATTGCGACATTTGTCGTGACTGAAGCGTAGTTGTTTTTGTCTCAGTACTATTTAAGTTGACTTTACCAATATCAGGTCTGGATTGAACCAGGCAATCACGGAAGTGAAGCAATCATTCTTATGTTGGTCCAGGAAGTTAAAAGTTCCATTGACAACATCCTTTACGATGATAAACGTGTCGTCTGTAAACAAATTAATAAAATGCGAAGTTGAATGCGCGGCCGGCAGACTTCGTTTCTTCGTCTTCAGTGATGTTCAAAATTTCACCTCAGCGAGGAAGTTTGATCAGCTTGATTCCTGTAGTTTGCTGATGTATCATTAATAGCCCAGCATCAGTAACCAGCAATGTATTGAGCGCTCACTTCACCACGTATTCAGCATAATGTCACAGTAGCCACCTGACGGAGCAAGGCTACATCGTTCTGACCCTTCAGCTATGCAGGCCTTGTTTGGATAGCAAATACTGTGTGTGAAGCAGGTGAAATCTTGTCCCAATGCAAATATTATCCAGCCGTTTTACAATAGTCAGGCATGTCGAAGCATAGAAGCCTTGTGTTGGCTGAGCGACCAGTTGACAAGTTTTTAGAGTAGGTGAGAACTGGTACAGTAGGCAAATCACGGGCTGATCACACTCACTTAAACATCAACAATAGCTTCTCGTCCTAGTCTATTGGTTTGGAAAGGGGGAAAATGGTTCGAAATAATAAACCTCAAACGAATATTTGTCAAAGGGAGATGGCATGCAGGAACGATGTATACTTTTCGAGGTCATATTGATTTTAAACATGACTTATGCTTTTTATAAGTCACAAACTAACCAATTGTCACAATGATCGAATGCTGTTATTTTTTAGCCATTTATTATATGTAGGTTTTACCGACTATCGCAAAACATTTTTTTTCCCATTCAAATTCACCAACTGTAACATTCAATTTCGCCGGAGAAAAATTTCACACGCTTTTAACAAACCCACTTTACGGTCATTTACCATATAATTTCAAAGTTGGGTCACCCTCTTTAGTCACCGGGTCGAGAATATTCGTCATTGCAGATCAAATTCGTCTAAGCTGTTGCCGAATGGCAGCATTCAGAGATCAAATTCGTCTTATATAAATCAGTTAGACAAATTTGATTTCTGAATAACAAGGTTTGGCGTAAACGAGACAAAATACCCCTGGATGAAAACATGTGCTCCGTAGTTTGAATTTGAACTGAATTTGAATAATTGTCTAACAACAGACGAAATTAATCATTGGAACTGCACTGAATCGTGTTGATGGAAGAATTTGAATATAATAGTAACGGTGAATTCGAGTGATAAACGTTTAAAAATAGTTTTAAATTATAGGTTTATTACAGTGCATTTTTAAACCACTTCGAGTAAACCCAAGATGACCTCTGACCTCAATTTCTGACGATGCATCATGACCCCTTAAGGATCACTTCATCCCAAATTAAAGTACCTCTCCATGGTACTTCAAATGAAACAAGTGTCAACTTAACTGGGAAAACCTATTATAGCCAACAAAACAATAAGGCCATCAGCCTGGGGTTTGGCCAGTATCAAATCAGGGCATACATGATTATAGTGCGCATGCGCAAGGTATACCGCCCTAGAGTGGTAACAAGCATTTTGATGGACATTTTGAAAAAAAAGTGATAACACCCAAAAAGCTGCCACCGCTGCAATGCTATCACATATTTTCCAACTCTGGAGGTGTATACCTTGCCAAAAATCGCTATGACGATTATTCCCCTCATTTGATACCGGTGGCCAAAATTTTGGACCGAGGCTGATGGCCTAAATCCACATCTAGACTGAACCATGACTAGCAAAATAATACTACTATTGCAATACTACTTTTGTACACTCTTCTTTAGCCTATGCTCAATCCATTATCATCAAAGCTCACATGTTATGCTAATTGCATCACACCTGCAATAATAGTGGGAGTCACGTGTCATCTTCAACGATACTTACAGTAACGGAACACCCTAATTTTCAAGTTAACCCAAACTGCTTGTAAGTCACTGCGATGATATTCCTCGTCTTGAGTTTTGGAACACGGCACGCACAAACTATGCACTTCACTCACCATTGCAAATGCATTGCCCAAACTATGTCAATGTTGGGAAAACCACCTCTGCAGGAACTTGGTTTTAAAAACAAACTTCGTTTTGCGTGGGATTGTGTAAATCCCACCTCGTCACCTGTGAAAGTGTGGACATACATACCTGAAGCCACTGCACTATGCTAGCGGGCGATCAACCATCACACTTCAAATGTTCACAACACTCTATTCCAGTTATTAAAAAAGGGGGCGCACTTGTGTTGTGTTCGTATAACAGCAATCCAGTAGTGAATTAGCTCAAACCTGAATTCACAAGGTCCAAATCATTGTACACAGGGTGAGTCAAAAAGAAAGTTTTTTCTCCCCCTTAAAAGCAATTAGATATGACAAGCATATATACATGTATTAAACGAGCATATTCTTCCACTCATGTGAAAAAGGATTTACTGAAATTGATCCATGTTATGAGAAGTTATGCATATTTCACTCAAAATATTCATTTTTACAGCTGTCTATCAGTCCATGGAATGCCATTTGAAGCCATTGAGCTGAGTGAGAATTAGAGATTAGTACACACAGGTATACAGATACAAATGAGATTTTTGTAAGTTTTGTCAAAACTGAAAAAAAATAAATTACTGACAGATTTTGTGTTTTGACTTTATATTTCTGAAATAATTTGGCCCTTGATTAATTAAACGCCCTTGTTTCATTGTATTTGAACGATAAATGATCATTGGTGGAATGCTGAATTGTGTGATTTTGTATTAACATAGACACAACTTGTGAATATTCTACGCAAATTATGTGGAATTTTCACAGTTTTTAGTCAATAACAGTTCTTAATCCCTAAGTTATTTTTATGAAATGGAGCGAGCCACATATTTTAAAAAGAAATTCTCATTAAGTCACTTTTTCACTCACCCTGTATAGGCCTACAGTATTAACTTGCTAATTAAATTAAAAAGAGAACCACAGTATGGGAAAGCCCAAGGGGTGACATATTTTGAACAACCGATGTCAACGTCTCATCACCCCGTGTTTATGTCTCAATCTATAACACCTCAACCACAGATTCTGTCAGATAAAGCAGTCAATATTTGTATAATACATGTACATCGGTTACCAGTATGATTAAAGGCACGCAGGATCATTCGTATTTATCCCAAAGGTAACCTAACGAATTGTCATACAAAAAGCTTATACTTGGATTAAGAATCGTAAATCATTCCGTCTATAAGCTTTTTGTCATTTAGAAGAATATTAAGAAATGATGATTTCCAACGATCAGTCAATAATTGACTGGTCGTTGGAATACTAGTGTATTATCATTTGCTTTTCGTGCATTTTGTTCGTTTCCAATAAACACCACTCAAAATCCAAAGAAGGTGGTTCCAAACCTAACCTGTTGAACATTCAGCTCAGTGGATGTTACACTTTTCGACAAAACAGTGAAAAACCATGCACAACCTTTTGACTATGATGAAACACGATTTTGTCCATAGCACTCTTTATTCATTCCAAAAATCAGTCAATTGACTGATCGTCGAAAATCACCTACATTTCTTGATTTCTTCTGAATGACAGCAAGTCAGACGGAATAATTTCACGGGGTGTTTCGTACCAGTACGATCTTTAATCCAAGTAAGTTTTTTGTTATAATTCGGTAGATTACTTTTGGGATAAGTGCAAATGATCCTATATGCGTTTAAATCATTGAGCTATGGGAACAAATTGAAGCAATCTGCACCTATAAAACAACATGTTTGGTGTTACGTTTAAGCTTCAGAGGAAAACAATTGCAAAAGTCAACAATTGATTTTTCAACACAATAAGTGTTTTTTCTCCCTTTTTTCCCTTCTAAATACGAGCGTTCCGAAATAACTGATTTGGAGTAAACCAAGCAGACAGACCACAATGAAATATATAACCTCCGCTTCGTGAATGACTAATCATAATCTGCTGCATACAGAACCGGGCTAGTACGGAAGCTGAAAGTGACCATCCTCGATTCCGCGTTCCGTAATAAATTATCACGGATAGCCCAGCTGATACGACTTTCAAAGGAACGATATCAGGGAAAGAACATCACAGAAATGTCTTCTCGAGATACAATTTCACGGAAAGTCGTCTTAATGTGCAATAATGTTGACCCTCGGAAGCTACGGTCGTCTTCAACATCTTAGTATTCCGTCTTCAAGCTTCCGTATTCAGTATAGATTTGGCATGACAAACTTTGCTAAGTTCTGGTTGTAGTAAACGTTGTTGTTTGAAGCAGCTAAACCAAGTCCGGTACATGTTTTCATCTGTAGGGGTTCAGAAGAGACCAAATTCCTGGTACGTAAATGAACCACAAGTCCAGACAAGTCCGTTTGGTATACGCTGGTAACCGAACACATCCTTTTTGAATCTCGGAGTGAATGCGGTTGGCTGGCCTGCCATTGGCAGACGATCTGTCCATGGCAAACCTTCAGCTAATTCTTTGCAATTGTATGTATGTTTCAAACGTCGAATTTTACGAATATTGTTCGGCGTAACTCTGGAATGCCAGGCTGAAACGTGATAAGTGGCTATTAAATTCCCAACAAAAATATGCTTCGAGTTTAAAATGGAACAGGCTCGTTTTATTTGGATGAGCCTACATTGTTTATTTATAATTGTGTCCCTACACTTTTCAAAAATGTTGCCACTGCGGAAATTAGACAAAAGGCTACTCGTAGGCCTGTATAGGCTATAGGCTCTTTAAAATATATATATATATATTGTCTACATTCTAAGACAAACAAAATGACACGGATTTATGTAATCATGCCTCATTTTCCCCAAAATGACGTCCGCTGTTAAATTTGCATTTTTTTCATGGCTGTTCAACGTTTGTTTTTTAAGACCATTTACTTTAAGCACTATATACTCTCGACACAAAACAGGGTTAGAATCCGCCCCAAACTGGGCATTTGCTCTCAACTTTCCTCCTGTATTCTCGTAATTTCCATCACTAACATTATAGATGATTGTTTGTTGAAGCTGCATTTAACATAAAGTATTGACCAAATGGCGATTTTCTACAAATTTCGGAGTGATATCCAAACCACAATAGGCCCACCACACATTTAGTTATTTGTTTATTTGTTTAGTTATTTATTAGGAAAGTCACATCAGTTTTCGATGAACTGTTTCCGCTAGGTTCCTTGGACCACACATAATTACATGTATTTCAAATTATTTCTTAGTGATTTCCAGACAAACGAGTTCTCAGTGTTGTCAAGACATATTTTGTACTTGTTCAGTAACCCGAATAATGTTTTAAAAATGACTATCTTGAGGAAATTAGCAGCCTGAGACGTTTCGGACGCATGATCATTATCGATAGAAAAATTTGACTTTCTTTTGGAAGTCCATTGACACCTAGCCCCATGAATATGGCCAATTTACTGGACTACCTCCGTAAAAAAAAGCCACACTTGGAACATGTAGAACTTTGTCAAATTTTGATTTTCACATTTAGGCTTTGTTTTTAATTATTTTTGCTTTAGAAGTATACTCACCCTCTTTCTAGGATATTACAAAAAAAGTGCTGCCCTTTTCAGATGTCTGTTTTGCGTGTAATTTCATGTTGAAATTTTGATACGCAATTGTGTGCAAACGACTCTGGGAATTACACGAAAAATAGACATCTGAAAAAGGCAGCACTTTTTTTAATATCCTATAAAGAGGGTGAGTATACTTCTAAAGCAAAAATAAACTACAAATAAAGCCAAATGTGAAAATCAAAATTTGACAAAGTTCTACATGTTCGAGTAGGGCCTACATGTTCCAAGTGTGGCCTTTATTTACGGAGGTAGTCCAGTAAATTGGCAGAGTTGTAGTACTCATACTCGGTACTCGTACTCGAGTACTACTCGAGTACTTTTTTTGGAGTACTCGTACTCGTACTCGTACTCGTACTCGAATGTCAAAGTACTCGTACTCGAAATGACGGTACTCGTACTCGACATGTCGAAATTGTACTCGATCATTAAAGTACTCGTACTCGAATAGCGGTACTGGGGGGGGGGGGGGTGTTATAGCTTCACTTACCATGGCCTTATTTTATCGATACTTTCAGTTGAAATGGTTGATTGGCTTGTGGAGAAATCGAGATTTCCTGATTTTCCTCTGTGCAAGTCCGGACAAACACATTTAACAGCTAGTCGTGAGTGGGTCTGATTATCGGTCTGACTGGGCCTGAGCCAATTATGCACAATGAACCATTTGCCGTATGGCCGTATTTGGAAATGCGAGTACTCGACACCCTGCTCTTTGTTGGTTACACCTCTATGTTCCGACACCCCTATGTTCCGACTGCACATATTCCTATTCCTAACCCTAACCCTAACCCTAACCCTAACCGGGAGTAACACAATCTAGGTTGTCGGAACATAGGGGTGTCGGAACATAGAGCAGTCACCCTCTTTGTTCATCAGGACTGCACGGTAATGACATTTATCTATGGACAAACACATACCGATATCTATATGACTTACCAATATTGTTTGCTGAGGTTTGTTCATGCGTTGCGTCGTTACTTGTCAGCTATAGTATGTGTCTGTGAATTCCTTGAAGCGCTTGGTGTCTTGAGTTGGTTTGAGGAGCAGTTTACCGGGCAGCCAATGTCGGTTGCTAAGCAGGTACTGCCGACTGACGTAGTAGCAGCTGCGTGCGTGTTACACGCACTTTATAATTCGGACAATCCTAATACATTATGCATAAGGTGAAATTTGCAGGCAGGTGATTTTGTTACTGTAATGAAATTGACATGTTATTCGTCGGTGACATAAATGATTCAATATCTGTAAGTGTTAACATGCACTCACATGCAGATACAAAGTGTCTCTCTAAAGACGTTGATTGTGTATAGTATTCTGAGTTGTTTTGTTGTTGTTGTTGAGAATATTATCTATGTGTAGGAATGTTATTAGTTCAAGAATTATGTCACTTCGTTTAAACTGATTGATGACCTTTAAAAAAGTTATTGAAAATTATTTCACATGTAAGTTATTCGAAGAAAGTCAAATAGATGGGAAGCATTGCTAACCGTCAGTTTCAGCTTGCGACAAATGAAATGTAACGACCGACCATTAACATGAATGCTGAAATATCGATTTTGCTTTTCCAATCAACGTCGATCCCACATAAGATGAATGTCCCCATGCTAGGACGACTCTACCCGTGCACAATTTGAACGGGGAGGGGGTACCCCAGTGTCCCTAACAGCTTCCTATACACAATATAGACTACTACCAGTGTTACCTCACAAATCCCCCTAGATATCTCAAAAGAATTCCTAGATTCCGGTAACACAATGACCAACACAAAAGAGGGGAATGGATCCCCCCATATCTTACCTCAAATGTATTAGTACGCTACATTCGTGAATTACCCTGCACGGAAAATGAAATGTATTGGTGCAAATTAAACATGGAGCCTAACGACTTAATCGAACGAAATTGAATGTCTTTCAATGGAATTTGCACGGTACAAGTGTTAAAAGTAACAGGGAAATCCTTCCTGAACAACGAATAACGCAAGCATCTTAGTTGTTACATTGTAAACAAAAGTGTTTTTAAACTAGTGAAAGTAGAATTCTTTCTCTTGCTTCGTCTATTTTAAATGATTCCCTTGGGCGTCTCAATCAGGGATTGCGCGGAGATAAACACGTTCAGTACACATCTTAATCCCATAATCTGATAATGTATATGGGATATCGCCATAATACTACAACTCCTCACGCTGTCATCCTCACGCACCTTTATCATAACAACAATCCCCGTAAATTAGTTTGGTACAAGATTGGCAGTTGGATTGTTCAAGACACAATACCAGCACACAGAGTTAGCGGGCCTACTTGAAGGATTAAGTGACTTGATAAGTGTTGGTGCAATAACCGTCAAGGAAAGAGGCAATCCCGAGGACATGAACGACATCACCGGTCAGATCTTATAACCGTGTCAGGAGGCGGCTTCGTTGCGTCTACCCAACAGCCTTTTCCATAACACATGTATCATATTGTCCATTTCACGAATGACACATCCTGACATCCTTATATTTCATTGTGCTGAGGTTTTCATGTCCATTTATCTTGCTGTTTTATTATCTGAAGAATGATAATACAGGGGCGGATCCAGGAATTGTTGTCGGGGGGGGGGGGTTCATCAGCAAATCAATGCTGAAATGTATGTTTTCTCCGGACATTTGGCCTCCGTAAAATCAATGGGGGGAGGGGCTCGTACCATACTTTCAATAGGAGCGCTGTTCAAATCCAACGATCATGAAAACTATATTACAGAATAATGTACATTTTAGAATGTTACATGGTGTCACGTGGTGTCCAGCCTCGCCCCCCCCCCTTGCACTTTTCGAATTTCCACGGCCGGGCAAGTGCAGGATTTTGCCGTATGGTCATCCCCACTCGCCGACACGGATTTACGTAGAGAATCCCAGCAAAATGAGCCATGCATGCCAGATGTCCATGGTCAACTTTACATACATTTAGAAATGCAACAAAAAGGAAAACTGGAAATACTTCATAAATCTACTTAATAATTATAAGAAAGTCAAAGATATAGGAAATATATCTGACTGTAAACTTTTCAGCTTGCCAATGACGAAATTCAATGGCCGAAGCATTTTTTCCTGGATGATAAAAAAACAAACAAATTTACTTTCTCAATTCAACGCCAATCTCCTCATGAGACGAAATTCCCAAAAACTGGAACGACTTTAGAATGTTACAAAAATAAAATCTATTTGTGCAAATTTAAAATTGGAATCAGCAGTGGAGCCAATTACGACATTCTGGGACGAAACTGAAATAACTTTCTGTGGAATTTGAATGATACAGGCGTTAACGTAACTGGGAAAATATTTAATCTTTACATTCTTCCACTTGTCCCAAAGTGTTATGAAAAACAATGCAGCAGCGTAGCGAGAACGTGGGGGTGGTGGGGTTGGACGTCATTCGACGCTTGATACATGTAGAATACGTGTCCTGTACAAAGCCGCGTTTTAAGTCCATCCATGCAATGAAGTGTCTTTAGTTTAATTCATTGAGAGTAAATAGCTAGAATTGGCTGCGGGATACTTGCTTTCCTTTTTTTCATTTTTCTCTTTTCCTTTTTTTTTTAATAGCTGGAGCAGGGTTTCGACCCCACCCCCTCTCGCCACGCCACTTACCAAATGGGGACTTCACGGTTCACCCTCTTCATTTGTTTTGTTAGGTAGCTTAAGGCCAAGTATGATATATAAACAGGAAACACGGCCCGCCCCAAAATGCGGGTTTTTTTCATATGATTTTCCTTTCCTTTTTCTTCTTTAATTTCCAGTACAATTATCTGACAAATTCAGTGCTTTTGACCAGTCGTCAAGATTCTGTGAAAAGTGGATCTGAGTGTCGGGCTAATTTCAACCCCTTTCAATCACAAAACAAATATACTGTATTTTATCAGATCAGCCCAGACATCAAATCGTTCAAAAATGAGTCGTTTTACACAAGCTTAAGCCTATACATTGTATACGATGTGCCAACCGATCACAATCCAATAAACACAACCAGTGACATGTCGAGTCCCACTACAAAATCGTCGCCCGTAAACAAAATCTGTACGCCACAGGCCTTGATCGCCAATTATGACGCCCCATCGTGACGTCATAGCACGGGCAGCCAATGAGGTGCTGAGAAGGATGAGCAGTCCGAAAGGCTAATCCTTAAATTAAATCATTTTAGAGAACAAAATTATAGGTTTAATAAAGCCAACATCTGCGGAAGACGACACGGACCCGTCCGACTATTCACGCGTGCTGCACGCCTGACTCGACTGTAATGCGCAATATGCACGCAACGTGGACTTGCAAACTCAAATTAGCCTCCATGTTCTCGTTACTATAAGTTTTTATATCACGGGAAATGTATGAACTGTCCGTGCTCTCCAACCAAAAACGAATTTTGACCTTTGGCTGTTTCGTTTTAAGGCCAAAAAAAAAAGTTTCCGGTTTCTGGTATGGAGGTTGTCCAAAAAGTGGTGCGGCGGCGCGGCTTTTTTTTTTTTTTACCTGACTTTTTTGCTTCAAATGTCGGCTGATGACTGCAAATGGTGCCCGACTAAACTTAGTGAAAATATATGGGGTCCAGAGAGGCCACATAAAGCTTATTCTCGATCATAACCCCATCTAAAAACACGTTAAAATTGTGCAGCAGCAGGATTCCAGTCAAACCAGTGAGTTTGGCGGTTTTGAGACATCATCTTTCATTGAAAAAAAACCTTTTTCATTTTGCCGACGCGCGCGCATACCAGAAACCGGAGACTTTTTTTTTTGGCCTAATGGAACCGGTTTTTTTTTCTATTTTGGGTATTTGCAAGCCTCTCATAACAGTGTTTAGCATCGTTTCCCCTACATTGAATGAGATGCCCCAAAAGAAGGAAACCTTTCTATTACTTACCTGAATATAATGTGTATTTGAGCAATAACAAGGGTGAACTATTAATTATATATATTGCGTGGTGAACCTACAAATTTGGTAATCATGAAACAACACACAAGTTCTTCCTGGACTTAAAATGATATAAATGTCTCTGATAAACACCTTTTCACACTAGACAAATCTCGGGGTTGACGCAGGGTTGAAAACATGCGGCAGCAACTCTGTTTCATGGTTTATCTATATTTTAATAAGGGAATAAATGTGTGCTCCGGAGGTTTTTATCACTCTGTTTAATACCACTTAGAGTCTGGGTGCTGATAATTACCCGAGCCGGAGGCGAGGGTAATTATCAGCACCCAGACTCTAAGTGGTATTAAACAGAGTGATAAATACCGACGGAGTACATATTTATTCCCATTCATAAATACCTTTTCGGTAAAAAAAAATCATATAATTCGTTCAAAACATCCCGATTTTGTTCAACAAATTCACTTTATGCTTTTTGAAACATCCCTCCTGCAAAATAATGGAGTGTTCAGCTGGCGAGTAAGATGAAAACAACCCTTTTATGGAGATTGACGCGCGCGTATCATGTTCTACGCGATGTCGCGCAGAACGCACCTGGCGCGTTGCGTTTTGAATTTAGAACTATAAAATTCTAACTACCTGGTAGTGTTGCGCATGCCTACGTGAGGATTGTGAACGTTCAACCAATGAAACGATAAGAGGCACTGGATTTTTAGGAGTCCACATTTTATTGTGACACTGGAAAAGTGTTTAAGACCAGCTAGCCAAGTCTTTATCATCCGTTTAATACCGGCCACGTGACGGGCTCTCGACCAATAGGAATGGCTAAACTGTCTGAGGTATTTATGAATAAGGGAATAAATGTGTGCTCCGGAGGTTTTTATCACTCGTTTAATACCGCTTAGAGTCTGGGTGCTGATAATTACCCGAGCCGGAGGCGAGGGTAATTATCAGCACCCAGACTCTAAGCGGTATTAAACAGAGTGATAAATACCAACCGAGCACATATTTATTCCCATTCATAAATACCTTATCCGTAAAAAAATATCAAATAATTCGTTCAAAAAATCCCGATTTTGTTCAACAAGTTCACTTCATGCTTTTTGAAACATCCCTCTTGCAAAATAATGGAGCGTTCAGCTGGCGAGTAAGATGTAAACAACCCTTTTATGGAGATTGACGCGCGCGTAACATGTTCTGCGCGATGTCACGCAGAACGCACCTGGGGCGTTGCGTTTTGAATTTAGAACTATAAAATTCTGACTCGCTTGTAGTGTTGCGCATGCCTACGTGAGGATTGTGAACGTTCAACCAATGAAACGGTAAGAGGCACTGGATTTTTAGGAGTCCACATTTTATTGTGACACTGGAAAAGTGTTTAAGACCAGCTAGCCATGTCTTTATCATCCGTTTAATACCGGCCACGTGACGGGCTCTCGACCAATAGGAATAGCTAAACTGTCTGAGGTATTTATGAATTTATATTTATAGTTTTCTTTTATTAAGGGTTATCTTTCTTTTTATCCTTTTTTCTTTAATCTATGTTTCTCATTATTTTGTTTGGGTTGGGAGTATAAGGGTCGATCGGTAAAAATTAAAATCCGTCGAACAAAGTGCTGTGTAGATGTGTAGATGTGTTAATTTATTTCAAATAAGTTGATCATGGAACAAAATGAAAAACGCCAGTAAACGTGTACGTCATTTATTGTATATACTGGATATCGTGGGCCTTGCAGAAGGACGCGCGTATGCGTACGCCCTTATACGCGCGAACGTGTAATCACCAAAATCTTTCCAGCAAATGGGCATTATGCAGAAAATTTCCTCTATCTTAATGAAATTTAAAAATTTTCATCGAAATTTAACACAAGTTTTTGCCAATATTATCATACGTGTGACAAATTTTAAATTCGTATAGATTTATAATAACCGTGCGAGAACATTAGATTCATAATACGCATTGGAGCCTTTCAATGCAAGTTTCTTGAAGTGATTGTAAACATGTTTAAATGCTAAACATGCCAGAGTAAGGATGGATAGTGTTTAGCCATTGAACATTGATGGTATTTTTTAACACATAATTTTTAGCTTCTAAACATGTTTAGAGGTCCTACAAAGTAATAGCAAGATTGTTTTTAATTGCTAAACCAGTTTTTAGATTAATTATACTACAGTTGCTCCAAGACCACAATTTTTCACATCGTTTGTTCACAATCGGATTTACAGATACAAATCTGGCCACTTGTAACTATTCAGAAGTAGACTAATGTGTTATCGATTTGGTTGCTGGCTGAAAACAAATCACAGGCATTACGGGTGACAGTTTTTACATTCCCTTTCTATATAAAATAACGGCACTTTTTATTGTGGTAGAAATTTCCTGTGAGACCAGCAATAAGAGCCTCAATACTGTGTTTTTCCACCTCATAAATGGGGGTGGTGTTGTGATCGTGCGAAATACTGCAAAAAATGTAAAAACGCTTAGCAGACACATAACGACATCCCGTCCACTCCCTTAAAAAGGAAAGAGTGTACAGTAGTATGAAGTCATTATGGGGTTAACTACAACTGAGATACGAACTTTGTTTATGTTATAAAGTTTTTTTAACGTCCGTTCCCTTGTTACCGATTTAAGTTGCAAGTATACTAGTCACTGCCGGTTATCAAGGATTATACAGGTATCAGCGGATTGATACCGCGCACATTGCGCTGAACATGTCAGCTTCTCTAAACGTCTATACTTCTCACTTTTGTTTGCAACTAACAAGCCACCATCATCATTATAAAGGATTGAAAAGGTATTTAGAAAAATCGCTTGAAAGCATGGATCGGGCAGGACAAACGGGCTTTGCCTTGAGCGATGACACGATTTAATCCTGTCACAAGCGAAGCTTGATAGAGTGAGATTTGTAAGGGCCATAGGCCTACATGGGCTCTCTTGGCTTCTTACCTTCTGAGCCCAAAAGACAGCTTTTAATTCAATGAGTGTCCGGCCCACTGCCTACTTTATGTCCTGTTGCATGCAGGTATAGTTCGCATTAATTGTTGAAATGTGCTTCCAGCCCGATGTGGGACTACTATGGCTGCATCACACAGATAACCTCTGTAATTCTACCATACCTTGGTACCTTTGTGATGATGGTCAAGAAGGCCATATCATGTCTGTGTATCGAGGTGATTAGTTTCCCTCTAATTCCGCCGCACTTTGACGCAAACTGGATAGGCCACAGTATCGCAAGTCAACCACAATTACGTGACAAGCTGCCGTGTTCAAAATGAAGTGTGACATTATGCCTTCTTCATTGTTCTTCCCCTGTCTCTTGTGACCAGATAATGTGATTGACTTGTCTTTTGACATATGATAAACTTGAATACAACTGTCAGAAGTGTATCAACGCGTATTTTTTTTTGCACACAGTTTATCATATTTGGTTTAGGGTAATACTTTGATCGAAATGGTTTGGGGAGGGGCGATAAGTGAGATTTAACACGAGAACATTCTTTAAAAAATGGCCGACACAAGATGACCTAAATTGCAATTACAATATAGGCATATCATATATGATTCACTTGCAGCAAGCATGACGTAATACAAAAATGTATATACGGACAGTAAATGATTAAGAGCGGAATGAGTACATGTATATGAATGTCCTGTCAGGCCCACCCTGATGACGCAAGGAGCCATAGACTGTACTACATAGCGCTACTGCACTCAATCCCATCATGAAGATCCAATCTACATCCGAACCTAATTTTCCATGTGTCTCATTCCACTGCTGGCACCTATATGCCTTTTTAAGGACGTCCCATAATTATGTCCGAATTCAGCATATCCGTATAATAATCCATAGATATACTGAGGATAATACCAATGAGAAGTTTTAGGGTCGAATGATATTTTCTGAATCTCTCTGTATATATTTAGATCAAAACATTTGTTTGGCCATAGGCCCTAATACCTTTTATATGATGTTATTGTATCTAGGTTCAAGCTTTAATTCATGCCGCACAAAGTTTCTCCTGTGCATCCAGCCAGCTTTATACATGTACATGACCCAGAATCCCCTGGAAGTTTTACTTGAATAGCGTCGGGGTTTTGTGAACAAAGAGGCCCAGGACCACTTTCTTCCGAGAGAGTGGCATAATGAACATACATTTCTCACACAATCAGCATCAGCTAATCACGTCACAAAAACGGAGAGGTAGGGATTAGTGCACTTTAAAAGTCATGCAACGGAGGTTTGTGTAGGCCTACATACATTCACCCTTACCTGACAGGTACAGCACATCAGTGCGAATCACTGCGTTCGAAGTCGCCCTCCTCAGGCTACGAAAAGAAGCATTTGGGTGAATAACAGAGCTAATTGTAGTAGCAACCTCTTGCAAGGAACTTGAACATCTTGTAGTTGCTGGCATGTGGGTACAGTGAATGCATACAGCGCCCACGGATTGATACATTGCATTCAGTCTGTTAGGCCATGACTGGCTGGTCTCTAGGGGCTCACAAATATGATTTAAAGAGTACGACTCTGACCCCATGGCCTAGGCCGTTTATTAACATCAAAGTATTGACTGTTGTAGACATTACAAAAATAAACATTGAGCATGTACAGTATTAATGTTGCAGCTCTAGACTGATAAAATTGCTCGAAATGCACCTTTTCTACCGTCATGCTCCTCCAAACTCTCGGTTTACTTCGATTTCTCTCTTTTCTTCATCTCTAGAGGATAAAATAACAATTTGAAAGTGCTAGAAAACCTGAGGGTTTTTTGGGGGTGGGGATGTTTTGGGTTTTTTTTTTTACCAAAAAGGTAATTTTTTTTGGAAAAAAAGTTGTCAAGTGTTTTCTTTGTTTACTTTATTTATTTGTTTAAATTTTAATAGTGAATACATGTACTTTTATTAAATATTTAAAAGAAAAAGTCTTCAGGGAGGCGTATTTTAATAAATAGGGAGGGGGCATAGCCTACCCAGTACCCCGGGACTACCATACAGTCATGCACCCCTAAACTATAAGCATAGTCCATTCCCAGGCCACTTCACGGTTGAGTTTTATCACCCAACACGAAATTATTATCTCGTTATTCACCTACACAAGTCAAGCATCAGTTTGCGCTTAGGACATCTTTTGAAGCATTGGGGGCGCTGTTCAAAAAATGTATACATTTATGCATGTATGCACAGAGTAACATGTCAGGCCCAATTTTGACAGTTTATGTTTAAGAATAAAAATTAATAGTGCAATAAATCGTCTTCCTTTCTTGCGTAGAGGGAGGCAAGTGACCCCCTTAGCGCCCCTAACTCTGCTGATGTGATGCGGGTAGCCAACGATCCAGATCCCCTCGCCACGCCCATCCCACTGGCTTATAGATCAATGCAACAACCATAAGCATGCAAATATGACGTGAGCCACCCTGCAATAGATATCCCGTGCGTTTGTGCTGAGCTGCCGCTACAGATGGACAAACCCACCTCTCATCTCTGGACCGTGCAATAACCATCCATCCCTGTGTGATGCACGATAACCACTCATGTCTTCAACAAATCCAAACTGTAACCGCCACTCCCACGACACTCAGATGGAACCCGAATAGATGTTCCCATCCAATTACGCCAGATATATCGGACAGAATGTTCACTCAAATTCGCATAAAAACCGAGGCAAGCGATTTCACAGCCGGTTCACTTTAGCGACAGTTCAAAATCCTTCAGGGTATCTTAGTCGTTCATGCATAAGAATTAGGCAGAAAATTACGAAACTTGTGCATTAATTTCGTGAGCTTTGGATTTCAGTCCCTCTCGGGAATTCAATTCGGTGCATATACTTTTACAAAAAAAATATAATTTCGAGAAAGTTTCATAAAGAATTGTACAGCTATGAAAAGGATAATGTATGCGTAAACGAACTTAAAAATGCAAAGTGTCAAAGTGATAGAAGGAATAACTGTTTGACCTTTGCCGTTAAAATACTGCGTAAAAAGACAGATTTGTCTGTGCAGACAAATATGACCGGTTGGTTATGTATGATTACTTTGTGGAAATGTGACATAAATAAAACGGTAAAACTTTCTTTAAATGAAACTGATATTCTCATCGCCAATACGATTGAGGTTTGACAAAATGCAAATGCCAGATTTGACAAATGCCACATTAAGTTGACTCCTAATTTGTTGCATTATTATTAAAAATGATTTTATTTACTTCGACATTTCTGTCGCGGGTTGTGGAAAAGGTTATTGTAACACATTAATACAGTAATATAAACTATAATGTGCCTATCAATTGTTTCCCCCACCCCTCCCCCCCCCCTGGACTGCCCCACCCAAGACGTGGGGATTGTCACTTTTGAAGGGACAAAATCCCCATCTCTCGGGCAAAATGTAAGTGACAGTCGCCGACCATGCCCCGACATACATACGTGGGGCGCACTAGTGATTGCCTTTCCATGTAGTACGCCAATGGTAACAATGTAATTTGAGTGACCAAAATCCTCACCCTGGGGCATGAAAAACGTGACCAAATCCCGACATCGGACCTGGGGCAGCACGGGGGGGGGGGGGGGGGGGGGAGGGGGAAACATTTGATAGGCGCATAACTAAAATCGGGTGGTGCAATAAAAACAATATTGGGGTAGAATATAGTAAAAATGAATTAAAACATACTTGTAAAGAATAATTAGCACAAAAGAATTTAAAAAAAAATTAAACTTAAAAATTAAACAGCAAATAAAATAAAAATGTGTAAATCAAACGCTACAAAATAAAATTAGTTAAAATATAAACTATAAAGTAGTGAACAATGAGCATTGGCGTCGGTAGGATTTTTTCCAGGGGAGGGGGGGGGGAGGCGAAGCAAATTTTCCCCAAAATTCCTTAACTTTTTCATTATATATTATTCTCAATTTATCTTTTTTCCGAGTGTGAGCAGGGGAGCATTTGCCCTACCCCCCCCCCCATCAAATTAACAGCAATATTGCTTCTTACCTCTTTTTCCTTATTTTTTTTTCCTTTTTCATTTTTTTTTCGTTTTCGGGGGGGGGGGCATGTGCCCCCTTGCCCCCCCCCCCCACCCTCGCCACGCCCATGACAATGAGAACGGGTACACAAAAAAGTTTTAATACACAAGATAAAACAGTTTTTAAAACAGTTTTTGTGTCAAATTCTGTATCAAATTTGCTTATCATAGGTGTGAAATCGAAAACTAACAAAGAAATAGAATTATGACAACATGCTTTACAATGAAACGAAATCGAATTGCGATTTAAAGCGTATGCCTACCAGAATGTCATTGAAACCTCACTAAATGAACACTATAGTGGACCAGCCAAAGTGGAATATTACACTTTGGACGGCATTTTTTGGCAGGTCACCATGTCAGATCAATCGGTAAACAAAAACGGGGAAAAACGAGCTGGCTGTCCGTAAACTGGGCTTAAATTAGGCAAAGGGTCTCCTAACGTGGCAGGCTTGAATAAGTTCAAGGATATCCCCCCCCCCAAAAAAAAAAAATTGCTTGCCAAAATTATGTCAATGTCTAAATGCTTTCTTTCCATTAAATTTCTTTCAAATTCTTTTGGGAATTTCCTTGAACTTTTTCAAGTCTTCCACGTTAGGCAACCCTTCACTAATTAGGCCAATTAACAGACACCTCGCCTCGTTTCCCCCTGTTTTTTGATTGCTGGGCTCGTTGTTCACATGAGTTTCTATAAGGTTTTAATAGGGTAATTGTGCCAGTAAGCAACTTGGTGCATTTGAAGTTCATCAATACTGAGGTTTGGCAAGACAACTTGAAGATATCTGGAGACAAGGTAAATGCGCGCAACTTTTGGGTATAATAGTAGACGTTTGTATCGTTACTATGTCCTCATACACTGTTAAAAATGCCCGTAAGTAATACGGACTCCGTAAAGTGAAATATTCCGTATTTTCGTCGTAATAAAATGAATCTTTCCGTAAATGCAAATATTAACTATGCTAATTAGCGCGATTACAATCAACCACATCTGCCCAAACACCGTTATTAAAGTACATCTAAGTACATATTGTTATTTCACTCACAACAGTGTACACAATGTCCAAACTCATGTTAAGGGTCTGTTTATTTTACGGAATGAAGAAACTTTCCGGAAATTTTGTTGCAGGAAAGAAAATAGCGTTCCGTTTTCCTGCAGCAAAATTTCCGGAAAAGTTTTTTTCATTCCGTAAAATAAACAGACCCTTAACATGAGTTTGGACATGTGTACACTTTTGTGGGTGAAATAACAATATGCACTTAAATGTAAAATATTATGTGTAGGTGTTTGGGCCGATGTGGTTGATTGTAATCACGCTAATTAGCATACTTAATATTGGCATTTACGGAAAGTCCGTATAATTACGCCAAAAATACGGAATATTTCATTTTACGGAGTCCGTAAATTTACAGGCATTTTTAACAGTGTATAGTTATTCAGTCACTTATATGCTTTAGTATGTGTAAGTAGAATTACCAAAATAAAATGTAAAAAAAAATAAAAAATATATATATATATCATACAGCCAAATTGGGGGGGGGGGGGATATTACACGGCAGGTATTAACGATTTATAGGTACATGTATATTAAGGGTCAAAATTAACGATGGCATCCACCCACATCTTGTTTGTTATGGTTCAAAGAATTGATCTAGCATGGACGCCAGCTATTACCAAAAAATGCCCTGAAATTATTTCCTAGAGAACTTTTCCACATTTGGTTGGCCTACTATCTGATTGAATGAACGAGTTGCGAAACAGGACAGGAAAACCTATTAAAAATGGCACCCCCCCCCTAGAATTGTGACGTTCTAGCATGCAGTTAGTTTGAAATTGGCTGACACTGCGCAATGCGTTTGACATGTCACGACACTCATGGCGCTTCGAAGAAAGAGTGAAATGGTTCTCATTTTTTCGAGAGCCCGACATCAAGCTTGCGTCCGTGTTACCTTCTTCTGTCGTCTACATGAGTCAACATTAAAATCATGTTAGGTCATTTGTTTTAATATTACGAATTACGGATTTTTCAGCTCCCGAGATCGGGCTGGTAGCAAATTATTTTTCTCTCAAACAACATCCGGATTACATGGTTGCTGAGCGCCCTCTACGATACTTTTATGATACGTAGGCAGGTATTACCGGCACCATGAATTTCCAGGATTTGTCGAGCAGTTCGATAGCTCAGTTGGATAGAATTGTGATTTTGTACCGCGAGGGGCCCTCGCGGTATGGGTTGGAATCACCATTTTACCCGAATTTGTTTTGCTTTTCTAATCTGAGGCTTTGGAGGATTTTTTAAAAAGGGAAATAAAGTCCGAATTTCATTACGTTCCAATTCAATTCTTTTTTTTCTAATTATATATATTTTCTCACGTTTTTTAAGAAAAATAAAGTTCAAAACAAAATAGCGTACACCCCATGCGGCCGATGTCGTTTGGGGAAAAAAAAATTCGCGGGCGGGTAGCGGGGACAAAATTAC